TCAGACCCAGCAATGTCGCTAGAATGATTTTAGTAAAATCTCTCAGGGGCTTCGTTGATTGAAAGAAATTTCGTGAGGAACGCTCCTGGGAACGCATTCAGCCGGGTCTATTCAACAGTTGTTCATATATTGCTTCAACATCCTATACGACTGCTTAATAATCTTACGTAAGATCTCAACGAATCCTGAGCTCTTATAAAGCCCAATCGCCTCCACATTGTCTTTTTGTACCATCAGAAACATAGCGACCACATTCGGCTTAGCTCTACCGATCTGAGAGATATGAATAGATCAAACTGAGTTGATATGGAGTAAGTTCCTGGATATGGGGATCCAAACCTGGGCTCAGAATATGCGAGACTAGAATTCCCATGGTGCCAACAGTGATATTCAGAATAGTCAACCCGAGTGAGTGAGGGATTCCCATGATATTATCTCCTCAAGTCGATGAATAATACTATGGATGACTTACCTCTGAGAAAGCTGTTGATAGAAGCTTTCTCGCGATTCCTTTCCTACGCCAATCCAAGGCTACTGCAACCTGAAGATCTTGACGTCAACTCTTCGCCGCTGCCGAGCGAATTTGGCAGGTTGACCCTACCAGGTAGGGCTTACGTGATCTATATAGCCGATGATTCCATTGGGTTTCTTCTTGCTCGGTTCCGGCCTGTAGAAAAGAAATGTCGCAAGGATAACAGAGAACCTCATTTTGAAGAGTTTATACTCCATTTGGGTAATGTTGGAGTGCTAACACGACGAACTCCACCCACATCGCGGCTTCGATAGCTTCCTCAACCCCTCCTGGTATATATGCAGCGGGGATAGTCATCTCAATTACGCCGACGACAGTCTGAAACAAAGATTATACTTACATAACTGATGTTCTAGACTTGACAGTATCGAGTAATTCCCTAGTCCAGGATCCTGGATCAAGATTCATGGAGTCTGGTCCACAGTCCTAAATGCTTAGGATAGAAGATATCTTCGAAGGAGGAAATACTTGATCGTTAAGCACATCCTAATCGTCAAGCATTCAAAAGCATTTTATCATGAGAATGACGTCTGAGCAACATCCGCAACATAGTTCAGGTGGTGAAAATGCTCTTCCATTCGAAAACGCAAGCGCAAAAGATATGTGACCGGATCCCAGTAACTGAGACACGTGCCATACGTGGCGGACGTCAAAAGCAAATGAATACGGCTCGGAGGATGGATAGACCTATCGAACTTGGCAGTTGAATTCACATATACTTTTCTCACCAACCAAGGCGATTGAGACGCTTAATTTGAGACCAGCCCTACCCGAGTTCCACTTGCAACGGCGACCCAGCATGAGATCCGACGACAGGTAATGGGCATCACGTTCTTCACAAGTTTCAGGTCATCACCACGTTGGTAAGCGCGATAGTCCACATCATTGAGCGAGCGCGGCGCAGGTTGCTCCAGCAGCGAGTGAGGCACGACTTGCTGCGGATGAGCTCTCGCCGCTGCAAAGAGGATCAGGCCAAATAACGAATAAGCGAGCATCTTTCTATATATCAGACAGCGTCTCGTATCTAACATTTTAACAGATCTCTGAGCTTAGACTGCTCTCACGAATACATAGCTCGAACTTCGAGCTTAGACTGCTCTCACGAATACATAGCTCGAACTTCGAGCTTAGACTGCTCTCACGAATACCATAGCTCGAACTTCGAGCTTAGACTGCTCTCACGAATACATAGCTCGAACTTCGAGCTATGTCCCACGAGATGTGACACCATGGGTGACCTGACGCGAGGGGTTTGAGCCACTCATCCGTTTTTTCTATTTGTATTCGACAGCAATAATCTACTTATCCCACAGCGGTGTTGAAGATGAGTTCAAGTGCAACTACAACACTATCTTACCAAACCTCCGCCATCCTCCCATAGCGTATGACCCCTATAATATAGGGCCTATATCGATTACTATGTTGTGCTGGTTGTGTATTCGTACAGAACCCAAGTCCAGGTAGTGCGCTTAGTGTTGTTGTCCTGTGGTCATAGTATTGGTTGCTCTAGCTCGAGTTCCGTGTTGTGTTGTTCTCAGACTTCATCACCTGATACCGCGACAGTAGGTATTCGCGTATTTACGTGTATCACGGTGGTGACTTCTGTTCACACCAGCTACGGGCTGAGATCGCCTCCTGCTTACCACTGCCCAGGATTTAAATATCCTGCTACTGGTCGCGTGGATGTGGTAGGGTGGTTCGGCACTAGCCGACCCTAGAAGTACTGGTGTGGGGAAGACACCGAGGGGCACAGGTGACTCACGCGCCGTGAGACTGCAGGGTATGGGCTCTTTTTTTGAACCACCCTCTATCATCACACGTCGGAAGTAAACCCAGGCTTGAGAATCAAGCCTTGAGCTCACACTGTGAGCCTTACAGTCAGGAATGACAGGGGTCTGAGAGCTGACCGACAACTACACCGAGAGCCCAGCCGATGCGAACGTCTTGGTCAACATCGATTTCGAGAACGTGGAGAAGCTGGATAACGATAACCTAATCGGCGAGGTCGTCGCCGGATTCGAGCCTGGTGAAGCTCTCGACATAAGCAGCGCGTAATATCGAAGGCATCGCCGCTGAGAAAGTGTAGCGTACTCATCCAAAATAGGTTGAAGGGGGCGTCCGAACTTTATGCGACCAGAAATGAGCCAGCGGTGGCTATGAAGATAAGATGGTGGTGAATCGTGCCCAGAATTTAACTCCTGGTGTGAACTTGGATATAATGTCAGATGTTAGAGAAAATAGCAGTTCTCCTATAAAAACCTCTATCTGTCACATGCACGGCTCTAGGTGCTCGTTTGAGTGCTTTTAATACATATTCGAAAATTGCAGCGCACTGGGAGCGTCCCTATATTGAATATCGAATATAATATATTCGATTGAATGAGAATGCTGGAGTGCCAACACAATCAATCCCACTCACATCGGGGCTTCGGTCGCTTCCTTAGCCTTCTATGGTGCGCAACCAGCGGGAATAATCATCTCCACTACACCAATGACAGTCTAGACAAAGGTTATACTTACATCACTGATGTTATAGATTAGACAGTCTCGAGTAGTTCCCCAGTCCAGAATCCTGGTTCAGGATTACGAAGGGACACTTGGAGTGAGTGAAGGAATGTCGTCAAATCCATTCGCAGCCTTCCATACTGACGCCTACATACTAAGCCTTTCCATGAACCAGTTGACTAACCGAAATACTAATTTACCCACACAATACGTGATCGGATATGAGTGAAACAAAGGCAGCACTTCACTGCCTCTTGTCCAGTATCAGAGTCCTACTAGGAATATCATCAACGTGTTGGATACAGTTATAACAAGGAATGTACTCAGTGCTTGCCCTTCTTGCCGCCACCTCTACGCTTCGGACCAGCAGTCATTGAAGTAGCTCCCATGGCTTCGGCGAGGGCCGAGGATGGCCTAATATAATAACCGGTAAAAGTGTATTGAGTCCACCAAAGGCGCACCTGTTCGGTGGTTCTCTACCAGCTTGTACACCCAGAATAGAACCGCCGTCCACGTTACCAGTGATACCAGCAGCCTCCTCTGCTTCACGCTTATTGGCAGCAGCCTCACGACGAGCCCTCACCTAGGTGATGACTAATACATACTTCTCTCCACAGTGAGCGTTCATAACCCTACCTCGGCCAGACGTCGAGCTTGAGCTTTGAATTCTGAGGTCTCACCCTTAGCCTGCTTCTCAAGATAGGCCTTATGAGCCTGAGATAGCACCACCACTCGACATGGTGCCCAGCTCTGCCTCCCACCGCCTCCTTAGCAGCTGCCTCTCGCTCACGTCGAGTTGGCTGATGCTTCTGATCCGCTCCAATAGGTGCAATATCGTCATCAGAGTCGATCCTAGTGCCCCCAGTGTAGGCCAGTATTAACAAGAGTTATGCCCACCTTGCCTTAGCCATGGTCTTTACCTCCGGTGCCATCTTCGAGTGAGCTGCTACGGGAGCGGTAGTAGGCTCATCGTCATCGGACGACGACCCCTCCTCAGCTAGCTGCTGCTCTTGACGACGTTTGATCTGAATATGCGATTCATATGATATTAAGTCCCTCTCTGAATGCAAGTCGTTGCTTACCTGCTCTACATCCCGGTTCCTTCGAGCGATAGCATCAAAGTCGTCCTCTTCTACATATTTCTTGCCGCTCCTGGTGCCACGACCACCTCCACGATGGTCTACCTTATTCCTAGAACGCTGATCCCGACCTGGCATTACCGAGCAACTGAAGGGAGCTGACACCAGGTGTTGAGCTGCCATCACCCCCTCCAGCGACTTTAAGCCGTGAACACCAGTCGAGATAGCAAGTAATGACTGATGACAATGACCAGGGAGAAACTGTTACGATGTATGTTGGGATATGATATTGATATGGTACGACGTAACGACCCTTCTCACCGGATTATCGACGCATACGAGGGCCAGCAGCCTCACCACGACCTGAGCCCCACAGAGATGAGTATATCGATAATTCGCCCCTTCTACCTTTGCCTGCTGGTATACCGCCACCCTTCCCTTTGCCCTTACCCTTGCCTAACAACACACCACTTCTCCCCTCACACTATACAGCTACCATTACCCTTTCCAGCACCTTTCTCGGCCTTCATACGTTGAAGCCTGATAGCGTCCTCCTGTACCATATCCACCACACCGTCTGGTATCCGGAGGTATCTTCAAGGTTCACGATGAGCACTGCGGTCACCACAGTCTCAGTCCTACTTCACATGATTGCCCCTTATGTATGCCTCAGCTAGCTTCCAGAACCGATCGCCATCCTATGACCATACCGAGCTCATGTCCATACCATACTACTGCCGCCCCGTTCTACTTTACTAGTGAGCACTGCGTCTCTGATGTGCAAATTCATCCACGAATCGCAATTGGCCAACACACCCGAATATGCTTCGCCATTCTTGAGCTCAACCATCTAATACCACACCAATGACAACAAGGCCGTAGTGCTGATACCTACTATTGGCTGCCCTTGAGCCGTCTTTAGCAGACTCATAGGCAAAACCATGTTCACCGCGAGTTGTGAATACCAACTGCCTTATGATATACCTCCCTACTTTCAAGCAACACAATGCAGTTAGTCTTGCGAAAATACTTAAAACGACATAGTGTTTCTGTTCTTGATGCAGTTGGAATGCTAGCACTCTTTTCGTTTATCGTTGCATAACCAAGCATAGCAGATCCATAGTCTTCATAGTAGAAGGCACACACGAGTGATCGAGCCGATGGTATGCTGATACTAATCATGGGTAGAGCTCTATTCCTTGCCCATCTGCCTGCCAGCTCTGATAACCTCATCAACTAGCAGAAGCTGCTGGGCCAACACCTAACAAAAATACTAAAAGGAGTTGAACAAAGCACAAGCCTACTGGTGCCAAGGCAAGCATCTCCTTCTTAACAACGTAATTATCCCAGATACCCTCAGCCTCAGGGGAGATAGCATCCCCAGTGTAAACGTCTAGACCGACCGGCTCCCCATCAGCGTTTTGATACTCTGAACGGAAAAAGGTGCTGAATACGAATAACAGACCACATGCTACTGCTACCCTCCTCCAACTTGAGTATAGTATCCTGGATATCAAAACCACTATTCTCAGCTAAGGTCTGTGGTATCGCCTAGCAACCAGTTAATAAGCGTCTACTAATAAAGGAGGTCCTATTACCAGTAGGGCCTTGGCAAAAACTTCAACGCCGAGCTTGGTTTTACCACTCACGTTCTTCTTCATGAACTCCATCAAGTGGTCATGACCAGCTAATTCGAAGGCACCTGCAATATTCAGGTGATACAAGTAACTCTTTCACCAGTCCTGGTACCAGCTCCTGGTACAACTGCACCGTCCTGAGCCGCATTCCTCACAGCACGTAGACCATCGCGAACCTAAGACAAGATCACAATAAAACCCATCGGTCAGCATTCACCTACAGCATCCTTCATCTGGTTGATAACATAGTCATTAGAGCCCTTGAGGAGGATGGTGCAGGAACGAGGATGTCTGTAGTGAAGAGGAATACCAAAGAGCCAATGAGAGTTATGGTGCTGCTTACTGAACTCCTTCAATGAAGGTATACTTGTCATCACCAAGGACCTTCTCATACACCTCATCAGCATATCCGAGATCATCAGGGGTAAGCTACAAAGAGAAATGTACCAAACTCACTGAGTAATGGCATATTACATCCTCGACAGAGTTAACAGCAACACCTCCACATGCAAGTACAAGGCGTTCCATATTTCTCCGCTTAGCCCTACGCAACGCCATGATGCCCTCCTTTGCCAGCATGTCCAATGCTGGGGGGTCGATACCTATCACAATCATAAGCCAACAACAAGCCTCGGAACCAACACCTGCACAACACCTACCCTTCTGGTTGATAACAACAAAGTGTTTGCCAGTCTTGTCCGAGTCGCCACATACAGCTTGCTTTAATTCGATGATCTTCGCTACCTGATAACAGACCAACAGCATTCATCACTACGTTAACCATCACCCCCCGTCCTCACCTTATCATCAGTGAATTTCCTCTCTGATTCAACCAAACGCTCCCTCTGTTCAGCGTTGCTGTAGGCGAACGTAGTGTTCACCTAGTATACTACTAATCAACCACACACGGTCTCGCATGTGGACCTCACCTCAGCCTTTTCATATTCGAGACTAACATTACAGGTGAGTATATAGCAGTTGTCAAGTCTATGAGGCATATCGGGATGACGAGTGCCGTGGTCGAGTACGAGGCCCTTGACTAATCTGATTCGCACACCACAATGTCCACAACACAATGTATTAACCATTGCATACCTGGTCTCCATGGCGAGCCTCTCTTGCATAGTCATAACCTCTACCATATGCAAGTCCACTTGCTCACTCTCAGTATGGATCTGATAACATCAGCTCTAATACGCAATAGGAATGTTGTTCACTTCTTACGAGCTGAAGGGCCTGCACAATGATATCTGCCAACTGATCCGCCTGCTTGCCAGGGAGCTTAGTCCGGAGGGACGTTCCTAACATAATACAAGTAGTAGAGAGGGATCCCCGATGAGAGTATTACTGGCGATGCAGGAAAGGATGTCACTATCATCCCAACCACAGTTGACCTTGAACGCTTCTAAGAAGGTCGCTATCTGTCAAAGTCTAATACTCCCCTGTCCTAAGTGATAGATCAATTCCCTACTTCCATCCGAGCAGCATCAAAACCATCCGCTAGAATGCGGGGATGTACACCATCAGTAATGTACCTGTTGATATGCAATTCGGGTCAGCTACCCCTACACTGTCCTCCTACCTCTGAGATAACTTCATGAGCTCGGCAATAAACAGAATGGTCGATGTGGTGCCATCACCACTGGTCTCATCCTGAGCTGCTGCGGCTCGAGCTGCATGAAGCAAGGTGTTGGTCACAAGATGCGCTGTTGAGGAAGTTACCAATCATTGAGGCAGTAGGGTGTTGAATTTGCATCTCTTTAAGAAGAACGCTCCCATCCTTGGTGATCTTGATCTGGCCAGCACCTCCGACGAGCCTATAACAAGCAATCATGAATTCACGTTGGTGTGGTATGTTAATCCTGAGCTGCCTGCCCCTAGTACATCTTAAGAGTGCCCCTAGGGCCAAGATTGCTCTTCATAACCTCACTGAGGCCTTGAGCAGCATTGCAGTTTACCAACAATGCTTGAGTGGCCTTCAAGACATCGGCTTTGGAGTTAACGACGCTAACCATAGCTCAGAAGGAGAGGGATCACAAACTAACTGTAGTAGTACTCAAGCTGATGACACATGATACCAGATAAGCTTAGCCACCACCACCACAACCACCGCTGCCGCCTGGTAATCATCCGTAATGATACTATCCTCCACTACGTAGATTATGCGTGCCCCTAATAGAATCTAGACACATGCTCATACTCAGTTGTGAGCTTCCTCTATCGTCAATGAGTGGCCATCCATCGACCCAATCATAGATCCATCTGTCTGGTCAGAATTGATAAGAGTCTATAGCCATTCAGTCTTATGGCGTGCGCTCCCTGTAGCGTAAAGCTCGCTCTCGCCCGACCGTTTCAAATATTGTCCGTTCAAACCATTGTTCGGATCCCGTGGATCTATCTGATCTGTCTGCACTCAATCTCCACTAACTATTGAATCCTTATGTCCGGTTCTGCATCGAGTTCTAGTCCTCCGGAAGCCTTCGACCAGCACTTCCTTAACAACTTGGGGGCTGCATGCCGAGAATCCATATCCAAGAACGAGAGACTGCTGTCCAAGTGCTTCCAGGACATTGAAGCTGGTTCTACCGTCGACGTTCAGATCATTCTGAGAAACACCTCTGATGCCCTTACGCCTGTGAAAGCAATGTCCGTACCCGGCCCTATAACGGCCCCGGCGTCGGAATCGGCTACAGGCTCGGGGTCCTCAAGCTTGCCCGCTGGAAGCGAACACGCGAGCTCTGATCAATCAGATGGCGTCTCAGTAGCCCCGGTGGTTGTTGTAACGACTTCATTGACTTCGGTCTTCGAAGCAGTATCAGCCGATCTCTGCCGCCTTGCTGATGACCATCTACTCAGCTGTGACCTTCCCTCATGGGTGACTCCGGTCTCACGACAACTTGCGAGAGTTATCATTAACCTCTCCTCATCGGATCACTATCAGATTCGATGGACAGTTGCCATTCCGACCCAAGCACAGCTGAAACGTGAATCGGTCGCTGCTATCAGTGAGCATCGCTCTCACTGCATGGCACAATCATCTCAAGCCAACACGAATGCCATACCTGGTGTTCCCACGGCAGGTGAACAGGCTAACACCTATCACTCCACCGGTGCTGTTGTTACCACTTCACAACAGCAATCGGTCTCCCAAGTGAGCTCGTCTATCGGTGGCCCTTCCAACTACGACATCCAGCACAATCCCACGGCCGTATGCTCAACCTTCGGGGGGTATCAAAATTATACATGCCCTCCCCGTATTCGTCCGTTGCAGATTAAGACTGATGTCACGAAGCGCCCTATCGATCAGGCTATTAAGCAGGTTCGTGTCTTCATCGGTCATCCTGTACATGACCGCCTCAAGTTCGACCCTAACCACAGTGGTGCCTATGCTAGATGGCGTGTTGCCTTTGCTGATGCGATCGAGCGCGTGCCATGCTCTCGACAAGTTGCTACGGAGGCAGTTCTGGCATGTCTACCAGAGCCTGTCAAAGGCACTGTCGAACGAAGTGTTCACCCAAGTGACATCGAGAAGTTTGGTCACGTCATCATCATCTATGCCTTGGACCATACCTATCTGACGAAGCTCGAGTTGCGTAGTGTCTCCGCTGCGTGGGAGAGAATCTGCCAACAACCCAATGAGTCTGTCCGCCAATATGCTACGAGGTTTGAGCACTGTGCACATGTATACACAGCTCTCTACTATACTCATGGTCTTTCTGCCCGTGACATTACCACCAAATTCTCTGATGGTCTCCGTGGTGCCCGTGAAGTTCTGGGAAGATGTCTCATTGACCCCCAATGCCAGCTTGGCTATGAAGCTTACAAGCTTGCACTCTTCGCTTTTCTCGACAACGGTACACCCCTGCCCGATGATCTAACGGCAATGATGCCCGGTCAGTCACGGTCTCAAGGTTCGGGTAAAGGTGGCCTCAAGAAGGTCGATCATTCTCAGATCATCTCCATCTGTGCACTAGCTACCAAAGAGCTTGGTATACCGCCTGATAACTGCCTACGCTGCGGATTGCCTTCACATCAGGCCAACTCATGTCGTCATACTCAAATCTTCAAGCAGAAGGAGCGTTGTGACAGGTGTGGCCGACTCCGTACTGGTAGCGAGCACAAGTGCCAATCCAAGAACTTCAAGTGCGGTAGATGCAAGCGCAATGGTCATTTGAGTGGTGTCTGCCGAAAGGTTATCAACAATGATAGTATGACATCCACTACTCAAGCCAATATGTCCACTGTTGCAACGGAGATCTCTGACGGCTCTGAGCTAAAGATCATCCACAGCAGCGTCGCCTGTGCTTCATCTCGTACAGCACTTCATGATATCGTCGGCTCACTCCCTGCTGATCCGGTGGTGAACCTTGTTGCTGGTCATGATGCTCCAAAGACTTATTGTCCTATCCAGGGACTCGTGGATAGCGGTGCGAACGCCTCCATTCTGAACAGCTCTACCGTTCACTTTCTTCTTGCTAACGACATCATAAGGCCTCCTGATGTCAAGGCTCTATCACCGCCTGTGTCCGTTACCTTCGGTAATAATCAGGCTCTCTCGGCTGACTCTGTCGCCAAGGTCCCTTGCTTCCTTGGATCCGCTGGCACTGTCACCATCTCATTTCTGGTCGTTGATGGGTGTCGTCCACATTGTCTTATAGGCCGTAACATGTTCTCACTTTTGGGCATTCGGCTGGTCTCTGACAAAGGCGTGGACATCGTTTGCAACATGGCCTCCGCCAAAAATAGTCCGGCGCCCGCCACATCAACCCCACTCTGTGCCCGCTCTGAAGCCGCTCTAACCCCGTTGGTCGAAGTCATTCCTGATGACATAGACCCCAAACGGAAGAGGCTGAGAGCTAGGCTCCCTGCTGTCGAGGACGCTCTCATCTATCCATATAGAGCACCATCACGGAAGAGGAGTGTGGTCGATCAGTCCATCATCCATTCGCGCCTGACGAGTATGGCCGAAGCTGGCAAGGTCAAGCCATCTTGTCCGGAAGCATGCACTTGCATCTTCCAACCTGTACTCGTCGACAAGCTCGATCACGGTGATGACAACGCTCCTGCCCGTGTCTATCCATCTGATGATCTTCATCAACGATATCGGATCACTACTGATATCAGGCCCCTAAACCACCTCTCACTGCGGACAGACAGCAATGGTCGCTTCGTCTATTACCCGCAATCTGTGGTACGAGATCTTCCTCCCACTTCTGATGTTACCTCTAAACAATATCAGTCGTCGGCCATCGATCAACTCCGTCGCACGGATATTCACCACTGCAACTTCTGGTGTCGGTTGGATCTGGTGGATGCTTTCGGCTGTGCCCGAATTCATCCCACCCTGATGACAAAGATAGCGACCACTAGCGTCGACCCTATCACTGGCAAGGAGCACGTCTGGCAAATCTGCACCATACCCCAGGGATGGTGCTGGTCAAGTATTCTCTTCCATACCTGTGTACATTGGCTTGTACACAACCCCATCAAAGAAGCTCTCGCAAAAGCTAACTGCCCGTGCTCTGTCCTATTCGTGCAAGATGACATCCTGCTAGGTTGTCCTACCAAAGCTGATTCTATGAAGGCTCTTTCTATCGTCACCAGTGTCCTACAAGACTATTGCTTTGCTGTTAACCCCCTGAAGACTGTCGGCCCGGCATCGGTAACTCCCTTTTGCGGTCTGGTCATCGAGTCAGGTGGACGCTATCGTCCGCATCCATCGAGGAGGGTACTCACTGAGGCATCCTTTGATCTCGCATGGGACGAGTTTATCAACGGAACCTTCAAGGCCAAGCGTAAGCGAGGAGCTCCTAAAGTTGCCGCAGCTGCCTCGAACCTCAAAATCTCGTCTCGGGTATCATGGCTCAAATCATGGTGTGGTACATTCAACTACTTCCTTGGTCACCTTGCGAAGCAGCAGCTTGACGCTCTGCATGCTCTCACTGACGTGTCCAAGCGACTCCAAGATCCTGCTATTACCGACGAGGAGGTGGAAGCTCAGAGTACCCTTGTACACGCGGCTTTCAAGTCACTGTTCGACTATTATCTCAGTGGTATACCGGCTCTATATGCCGCTCGAGACGGTCAAGCCATCGGCACCATTGTCCTTAGTGATGCCAACTGCCATGGGTGGTCTGCTATCATCTTAAGGGTTACAACCTACTGTCCGCTCAACAACGATAACTGCGAGGCCACTCAGTCGTCGCTACGTTGCAGGATCCCAAACCTTAAAGAGTTCTTCCCTGATGTCAACCTGGCACTGCATGCTCTACCCCTCCGACTCGTTGGTGGAAAATGGTCACCTCGTACGGCTACATCTCGCAGCTCTACCTGGAAGGAGCGAGCCGCTATTCTCCTGGCCATCGATGAATGTATCGGTCTGCTCGAGGGACGAGTCGTGGTCATTGTCGACAACCAGAATGTCCAGAAAGAGTGGCGCAGTTTCGCCAACGACTTCACTGGTCCCTTCCTACACCGTTGGGAGCAATTCCTTCGAGTCGTACATGATGTCCGCTGGTCTCCACGAGATACCTCTCCGGTATGGCCCGATGCCCTTGCACGAGCCATCTCTGATTATGGGGAGGAGAGAGAGGTCTACGATGAGCTCATTGACTCTGCTGATAATGCGAACTGCCACGTTGTCGACGCCACGGAAGACACCGCTCCGAACGATGATGAGCAACCCTCATCTGGTCCAGAACAGGCGCTCAGGCACATCGTCCCGGTTCAATTGCTCAGGCGTTCTTTCGATGCTTGGCGTGGTCGCACGACCTTTCAAGAAGTGGCAACCATCCCAGTCGACCCCGCGGCTGCACGCACTTGGCTCCGAGACGTCCAGACCAATGACCCTACTTGTCAGAGGCTCGCCAGTCTCCCCCGCTCACAGTTCACCATTGACAACGACGGATTGTTGCGATATGGGCATCGTTACTTTCTACCTCAACGGTTTGCTCACTCGGTTATCGAAGATATCCACATCTTCCTCGGTCATTGTCCGCTCAAGCAAACCCACGACAGTGTAGTAAAGGCTTTCTACATCCCTGGTGTCTCTCGGCTTGTTCAACACGTGGTGTCAAGATGCGCATGCCAGTTCTCAGCCGGCCGTCGGGGCAACGTTAACCCCATCGGTCCCCCATTGAGAAGTACTTCAAGGCCTATGAAGATCCTCGACTGTTGCTTCCTTGATATTGTCGGTCCTCTGCCTGTGTCGGAATCCTTCTCCCACCCCTTCAAGTTCATCATATCATGCATGGACTGTTGCAGCGGTTATTGTTGGTTCTTTCCAACTCCCGACATCACCAGCAAGACCATCACTGGTATCCTCGAAGCAAGGCTGATCGATCAGGTCGGAGTCCCACGAGTCTTCACAGTCGACAATGCCCGCTATTTCACTGGTGTTTACTTCCGCGCCTGGGTTGCCAGCATAGGTGCTACCTTGAGATGTATCCCTGTCGCTAGCCCCCATCGCAATGCCCTATTAGAACGTCAACACTCTGGTCTCAAGAAGTCATTGAAGGCCCTCTGTGCTGAACATCCTGAATCGTGGCCGGCGTATGTCACTAAAGCTCAGCGGAGGATCAACACCCGATCTACATATGGCTACAGTCCTCAAGAGCTATTCTACGGTTTCGATGCTCTAACGCCCTTCTCAAGACGGTTTGAAGACGTCAGCAACACTATCGACGAAGACTCTGTCCGTTTCGAGGCTCGACGTCGTGATCGGGAACGACAGAGAATGGTCGACAGCACTCTCAACGTAATGGAGAAGATGCGTGCTGATGCTCTCTCGCGTATCAATCCATCAACCTACACTCGACAAGTCGCACGACGACGTCTATTCAAGGTTGGTGACTCCGTGATGAAGTGGGTCCGTAACGTCGACCCCCTTACTCCTTCATGGAGAGGCCCTCTACTGGTTCAACAAGTACTTGGCGATTCTACTTACAAGCTTTCCGACGGCACTGTTCAAGATTCCAGAAATATGCGGAAGTACTTCGGTAAAGCCCAGAATATGAATCCCATTACTATTGCATATATTCAGTAGATTTAATTCACTTTTGATATTTGTGCCAATCTTACGGGGAGGAGAGATGATAAGAGTCTATAGCCATTCAGTCTTATGGCGTGCGCTCCCTGTAGCGTAAAGCTCGCTCTCGCCCGACCGTTTCAAATATTGTCCGTTCAAACCATTGTTCGGATCCCGTGGATCTATCTGATCTGTCTGCACTCAATCTCCACTAACTATTGAATCCTTATGTCCGGTTCTGCATCGAGTTCTAGTCCTCCGGAAGCCTTCGACCAGCACTTCCTTAACAGAATGGTGAATCGATCATTCTGGCGGGCGCTAACTCAATTCTTCCGCCGCAGGGCTGTATCAGATTTCGCCAACTCAGAAATCGCCAAAATGACGCCAAACAGATTCGCAGGCCTAACGACAGGAATTGTAGGTGATACCAGGGTTAAAACAGATTACAACAATGTGGTGAAATACGCTACTCTACAACTGATTTGGACTAAGATTTGGTGGATTCTGTAAAATTCAACAGATGTGCAGTAATCTGCGTGTTGTTCTCATTCCGCCAACATCAGTATTGGCAATAACTGCACATGGACAGCTCCCGCCAAGTTGGTCTTCTGGACAAGGATTGCCAAATAGGTGATTTCAGGGTTGCGAAATATGGATCGAACAGCGTGCGCCTTGGCTATCGATTTATGTTTTGGACGGTCCAAATTGGACCAGACTTTTGGTGCCACCAAACTGGTGGTGTCCAGCATACATAGTCATTGGAGTTCGTACAAGCTCATTATATCAAGACTCAACGTTGGTTCATCCCCATAGATGATGGTAATGGACTCCATTAAATGGAGCAGGGACCAATTCACGCCGTCAATTCATTATTTACGACTCTCAGGATGGCTCGCGACTCGGCTACTTCTCTTAGTCCTCGAGGTCAGTTACAGTAACTGAGTTACTGCTTGCAACGACACTCCACTTCTACTATTACTGCTTCTTCTTCGTTATCTCCCCACGATGACGATTCTGTGACGAAAATTTCTGTCGCTGATCCTGAACGGTTTAGGCTGAACCCGCAACGAGTAAGCGTATGAGGTGCTACAACTTCTGGACGCGATGAGGTCGTTCTGTTCAACTCGGGTGTGAATTTCAATTGAATCCGAGAGCTTTCACACTGTGAAAGCTCTCGGATTCAATTGGTCTTATTTCCTGTCGGTGTTTTCGTACTGAGTCTTCACATTGTGAAGACAATGTGAAGCTCACAATGCCCGGCTAGGACCGGTCAACAGTGTCGTGATAAGTTCCGTTCTCTACTGTCTTCCGGTAAGTAGGAAGTTTCGCGTTTTGTGTTGAAGTCGAAGTTTTGTGTTCTATACTGTGTTGCTTTTCAGGAGAAGTTGAGTCTTGGAGAACCTTATTCTGTTTAAGTTTATTGTTGACAACTCGCTCTCACTCAAGCCCGCCCCCGATTGTCGTGTCGATCGCTCTACTACTACAACGTCGGGTTCTGTTAATTCATAATCTCGGAAAAGGGTCTCTTTCAGGTCTGATCCCCCATTGACGAGGCACCTCACGTTCGGGTATATTATGCTGATATGATCAGTCTGATCAGCTGATCACACGCTCCAGCGGGCATGCGACATAGTACAAACAACGCTGCCGAGGCCCTGCACGGTGCCCTGAAGTGTTTCATGGGTCATCGCCGTTCACATGAACGATTCTTCATTCATCAACTGAGAAAGCACAACGAGCGGATGCGCATCAAGCTCCGAATGGAGGATGGTGAGCCTTGAATAAGGCGGTGGCCTTTCAAGGCTGGGGAAAGGCGAGTGAGTTAATCTCATTAGTTGGTGTTGTTTTTTTGATGATAGTGTTGACTCGGAATTCAGAATCCTTGTGCTAATCACATGTCAATAGTCCCCGGAGACAAGGTGTTCGTTTGGTCGAACTTCTCTCTAGACCGCCAAGTTCGTCAGGAGTATTCGGTCGTCAGTGTTGAGGACGACTGGTATGCCGGAGAAGACGATCCTTACCTGTATCGTCTTCGAGGAGACCGTGATGGTGAGGAGTTGGTAGTTGAAGGTGAAGAAGACCTCTGTTTGTTAATCGGCAGAAAGCGAGCCTTGTGGGGCTATGCTGAGTGCTGGAGCAGTTTGCGAGATAACACAAGAACTGAGTAGTGTAAAAAACACGTTTTAAAGGGGAACAAGAACTGGTTATTCTCAAGGCTTCGTTTAGCTGTTCACTACGTTCACGGTGTCTTATGGCAATTGTTGCGCTGTTACCAATAAGGTCGTTTCGGGACGCAACGACTAGTAATGGGATAACCAGGTAACGGTAACTAGTAACCGGTAACTGGTTGGGGACAACACCTTGGTCACTAGATACACCCCATGGAACTTGCGCTTCTGGAACTTAGAGCTATGTACTGTGGCCGAAGAGTCTCTTTAAAAGGCAACTTTGTCGCCCACCTGAACCCAAGTCACCAGCACTAGGATACTATCCTGTTAGGACAACCTACCTGAAACACCTCTTCAGGCTCCATATCCTCTCTATGTTCCAGCGCTCGCTTCCCTGCCACCTGCTTGATGTATTGTGACCCAATTTGTTGAACCTCCTTCAAGTGCTGCCGCAGTCTCTTCAAATAAGCCTGAGGTGCTTCTTGGTCGGAGCCTTGGTCGGAGCCTTATTCAGCCATGAATTATTGAACTCGAGCTTTGGTCGGAGCATTCCATCGAAAAGGAGAATCTCTATGGAGATATGATGATCGGAGATCACTGACCGATTCATACAAGGCCATACGACGCTGTTCAACTTCTTCGTTGGGCCTTGCCGGCGCGGCAAAGTTGACAAAGGATTAACTCTGCCGTGGTAAAACTCATGTATTACATGAGTTACTACTACTTACATCTACTTACATGACATGTAAGTAGATCCTGGGCTTCCCACGCGAACTCTCCTGTACTCGATCGGTCTATGATAGACCGTCTATCGCCCTACCACAAGACATGATAATCATTTGAACTCAGAGTCCAAAGACATCGAAAGTCACTGAGAACAGACAACGAAAAGCAGAACCAAGGGGGAAGTGTGCGGTTGAATCCAACTTGGCGGTATGCGGCCTTGATACAACTCTCGCCGGACAGGAATCATCATAAAATTGTGGCGAAAGCCTGTCACAAAACCAGATTTGAACAAATCACCTGGCGATATTCGACTCCGACTCGGGAATATACCAACCGTGATCGATAAAAGGCGGATATCGCCAAAGATGGTGTAATCTTCATAAACAAATGATTATACCAAGATATCGGCGTTTTACGACACGTACTTGGCGAATACCGATAAGTTCACCAAGTTTTATAGCAATATCTGGGCTACTGTCATGTTACACCAATACCAAGTTGCTGTAACCGTGCGCACAGAACGGAATAGATCATTTGGGCGAACGAAATTACGGATTACCTCAACCAGTTTCCGCCACATCTCGGTGAAATTCGTTAGGTGTCGATGCCAAAGAGGTGAAATATGGTCCAGAAGCGGTCGTATCCCATGATTGAGCGTGTTGGCGAGAGTTCATTAGGACCCGAAATCACCAAGCTTGGCGAGTTGGTGAAACCTGGTTCTCCGCGCCGCAGTAGTAGTATGTCGAAGATGAGGATATAGTGGAAGGTTCATCCTGTTCCTAACATGTGATGCTCTCGGCAGAGACTTGGTTGTTGGGGAGTAGGCTTGGAAAACGTAAAGGGCGGGTTCTGGGGTACCATGGGTGGGATCAGTTATTCGTTTTCCTCGTACTGGAATGGCTCCTAAGAATAAGGGAAAGGGAGGTAAGAACAGACGTCGCGGAAAGGGAGGACGCGGTGACGTCAAACGTGAGCTCGAATTCAAAGAGGACGGTCAGGAGTATGGCCAGGTACTACCCTATTTTAACCCATTCCGCATTTGGAGCACTTCACTGGCAGGTATTGAAAATGCTCGGTCAAGGCCGTGTCGAGCTACAATGTTTCGACGGTGTAAAGCGACTCGGCCATATTCGGGGTAAGATGCGCAAGCGTGTATGGATCCAGATCGGTGACATCGTAAGTTGGGTGGCATGTCAGCTCAACAACTGAAGAGGCGATTATCAGGTTCTGGCATCCCTCCGTGATTTCCAGGATGAGAAGTGTGATATTATCCTTAAGTAGTACTACTACCACCCTCGTGTTCAGCGAACTTGATGGGTTAAACGTTCTCTAGAGCGCGGGAGTGGTTCGGTATATTGAAATAGTTCATATGCACGTATGCACGCTTGAAATGACTAAATTCGCAATACAAGGGTCCGCAGTCACTACTATCGCTGCTACTACTACTAGATACAACGTCGATGAGGCCCGTGCTCTGAAGCAACATAAGGAGATACCGGACAACATCAAGATCAATGAGACTGACTTAATGGGGAATGAGGAAGGTAATCAAATACATTCTATCCAAACTCATCGTTACCTCTCCCTCAAGGATTCTCTGATGATGGGGTCGAGTTCGCTGAAGATGGTGATGATGAAGAGGATACAGGCAACCTGTTGGCCCCTCCCTCTGCTGCTGCTACCAACCTCAGTAATACACTCGAATGCAACATCCACATAGTTTTCTCTCAGCTAAAGCGGATATTGACGATATCTAAGGAGCCCTTGGTGATGACTAAGCTGTCGTTTCCCTGTACCCAGATCGAACTATTGCAGTCAAGATATTCACTATCTAGTAACTTCATCTTGATTTGTGTTCTTAACGTTGGATCAGTAGCACCAGAGGCTACTGAAGAGGCATCATCGTGCTTGTGCTTCCGCTGCGGCGTTGATCGTTAGTTTCAGACGTTAATTTCGCAGTGGGGTGGAAGAAGTCACTTGTCAGTCAGGCTCCTACTACTACCCCTGGTGGTATACAGGTGACTACTTTGGTGGCGAGTTGGTCTTATTGAGCAGTGATCCCCTCATGCTGCAACTGTGAAGGTTAAGACCGACTGCCTAGTACTGCTCTATTCCTTTTCACATTCTATCTTCGCTTCGTAGGAGTGTTAAGAGGCTCGCTCCTTGGCCCTCTTGAGGACATCCTAAAACGTAACACAGCTCGTTATTAGTAGTTGGTATATTTTTCCTCACCAGTAGTGTTCGCCATTTCCAAGTGTTAGTAACTGATACTGATACGAGGTCGCCTATAACAGTCCATATCACCTCTCGATGTCGGAGTGGCTTCGTCTAGCTGCTGTTTCTTCCAGTATACTCTATGGTGGATAAGCTATCTGAAGGGAAGTAGTAGTACTAGTAGTAGTAGTGCATGTGGCCGGGAGGTCTGTCTAGGATCATTGCATAGTAGTAGTAGAATATTCCAGCACGCCAGAGAGGAGGCCATATTCAAGCTCTTGCTGCTCATGTGGGATAAGAATATATCAAATATCATCCATCTCGAGCCCTCATCCCGGCCCTCTGGGGCCAGCTCCTTGCGCAGTCCCTCTCATCGCATACGATTCGCTGCACATTCCGACCCAGCCCCCAAGTAGAGGCGGTTACCCATGCTGATGGAGGTACCCGGATGCCCTTCATCCTGACTAGTGCAGGATTATCCTTTGGGAACATCCTTGTTGGAATACCATAAACAGTGTATGCCAACAGTTAGGATTGGGCGGTGATGAGGTCGGAAGTGATCAGTCGAGAGAAGGCCCTTGGAAGATTCGTTATTACTCTTCCTTGCGTGGACAGAGGGAGTGGCTTTCCTCATAGAGGAGCTTATATCGATAGAGTTTCACCCGTTTTACGTGGAGTGGCGCAAAACTCGGTGGAACACGCGATATTCGCGGCGCTATGCAGTAGTCGTGAGATTTGTTTCCCACTAGTGTTTTTCACATCGCGGGTGAAACTCCGATGTTATTATGAATATATGAAATTCCCACATTGATTATCATAATTCGGTTTTAATATTAAAGTTGTATAGTATACAACTGACCCGCGTCCCAGCAGCCAAAGGCAGTATAAAACTCGGAATTACCTTTCTGGGTCCACCGAGTTTTGTGAAGAACTTCTGATCTGATTATTCATGTTCATTGTCACATACTGTGGAAAGACCTCTTCTAACCCATGTAGAACTCCCTCTACAGCTGCTGCAAGCCTAGGCTTGTGCTACTGCGATCCTCATTATTGCTTCTGCTACCACGGCACATCTTCTGAGTTGATATCAATATGATCGTGGATGTACTCCTTCATGCAGTATAATGGTGTCCAAGAAAGATGAACCACCGGGCAACGGTTTAGATGAAGACGCGTTTCCCGCCTTCCGAGATCTACTCAGAGCCTTAGCTGACTATACCAAGCTTACTGGTTTCCGCTACGAGTACTCGTTAAGCCGTTCGTCATCGTTACTGAGAATGGTCGTTTCTCAGCCCGCGAGATTTTCAAGACCCTTCAAACTGTGACCCGGCGGTCAGCAGCATAGTGAAGGACTACCAAAGGCGACTCGTCACTGGATCGGACCCGGAGTTGTGGCGGCAAGCAGTGAATGCGGTACGATGTGCCGAACAGGAAGGCATCAGGACTGTTATGATGGCTACTTGCCGTGATCTGGGCGTGTGGCCTCAGAACGTGGATGCGAGTGAGAAGTCATGTAATAATGCTAATGCCTTCTTCTTGTTGTTCATACTACCTTCTGTAGCTATGGCCTGGCAAGACACATCAGAGCCTCTGGATAAGATCGCCCTCGCCCTCTATAATCAACAACACAACGTAGCAGATAGTGAAGGTTACCAAGTACACCTAACGCCTTGTGAGGATTATTATCGATTTTACTGTCTTATTAGGCGGTCTCTAGAACAGCTAGTTTCATATCCGATTTTGTCTATGCTACTGTTGGGAGCGAAAAACCAGAGCTCCATCAGGGTACTAATACGGTAAGTGGTAGTACTGAGTAGAATTGATCAGGTGAGAAGTCCAAGCTGATGCTCACAGCCTTCCTGAACAGAGTTAAGGAGTATCAAGCACAGAGAGAGGTCGATATTGGCCGGCAGGAGCCCGAGACATACAAACGAATACGAGGGACTGTACGACAACAACAACAACAACAACATCGCCGACGATTATGCGACAACCCCTCCTCCTCCTGCTCCTCTTCCATGCTTATTGAGGTCACGGAATACTCCCTCACTTAGGTATTATCAGCTATGGAGGGATGGGCTCCTCCATCGTTGGTAGCATATATAGGGGATTGGACTAGTGATAACTTCCCATCGCCTACTACTGCTGCCTTAGTAATAACACTATCACTACTCGATCCTAGGTCTGCTGCTACTGATCAGCTTGGTTTTGGAGTTGTTGCCGCGGCTACGGCTATAGGAGTGGCAGCTGCGATGAGCAGATCCAAGAAGAATAAGGAGCGAAGACATGACTAACAAGCTACTATCAATTCTCATACATTCGTCCAACATTATTTTTCGCTAAATCAAAATAGTTGTGTCGATGAAGTGGCAGTTCTTCGCCTTCCCGACAGTATATGGTGTTGACTTCAAAGGCCCCACTTGGTATTACTAGGGGGGTACTCCGGTCGAGCGTCCGGAACGATATGGTCAGCGACTCCACTGCTTCCCTCACTCGTTTTGGTTCATTTTCAGTAGACATCCACATGTACCGTTCCTGAAAGTGAAGCCGTACATTTGCTTTCAATCTGTCATCTCGACAGGAGCAGCCCATGTCGTCACTTAAGGTTGAGAATTGTGTGGTGGAAGGGAATATTGTGATCTTGGATACATCTCAGTCTAGGCAAGGATGTAGCAGTAATAGTAGTTGAGGTGACTCGGACATCCAATGCTCAGCGACCAAGACCCTCTATACTATCCACTGTATTATTCGATGACCTATGTTGACGGGAGTAAGGCTGAAATGCGACCGCAGAGCTCTAAACAAGTCCGGCTCTCTTATTCACTCTCAACATAGCTGCTGTTGCTGCTAGCGTTGCCTTTTGTTTGGGTAGCTTTTGATTTTGTTGTGTTCGATTAGAGTACTCCAGCACAGCGGAAATATCATCAGTATGCTATCAAATTTAATTTTTTATAAATCTTGGAGTGTCCCGGCAGTAGCGGCGGCTCGGCATCCATTCCGAAGGCGAACTCTCATTCCAACTGTGTCAAGGGGGATATCCTCAAACTCCTCACACAAGGACAGCAAACCGCCTGACAACCACCTGTACCAATTCAAGGCGAGGTTAGTAAGCTCATCATCCTGGCTCCTTCCCTATGCGCCCCTTTGTGTTGCAGTCGTATAGTTATACCCAACTTCAAGAAAGAAGTAGGGGAAGACGCTTCATTTCATAGCAGCTTGTGAGGATCTGCCTACTATGACGGTGTGATCTAACTTGTTAGATACATTGGAGTTGTGGACGGCGTGGGGGGTACGAATGTGCCAGGCGTGGATCCAGCTCGATATAGCCGAACTCTCGTGAATAAGTGAGTGAAACAGCCGCTAATAACAACATACGATATTGGTCAATCAGTATTGTGGGGGAAATAACTCAATACGAGAAGGAGTGTTTAGCTCATCAACCTTCGATAAGGGGAGGTCCCGCAGCCTATCGCCCGCCAGATCCCCAGGCGGTCATGGCTCGGGCTGCATCTCAAACGACTTACATACAAGGTAGGTGATTGGTACTGCTGCTCGTCGAGGTGGTGTTACATTTTCTATCAGGTTCGGCTACTTGTCTCCTCGGTTTCCTCTCCCCTCTCACTGGAGTACTCCATACGTGCAATATTGGAGACTCATGTTTTCTTGTTTACCGCTCGGAAAAACAGCAGGTGGATGGTATTCACTGCGAGCTGAGCTCGGTATTTATTAATCTCAGACCCTTTATCGCTCAAAGGAACAACTGCGAGCCTTCAACTTGCCCTATCAAATCGGCCCTGCTAATCCAGATCTGCCCCTCCTGAGTGGGGAAGTAGATGAGATACAACTAGCAGATGGAGACAAGGTGAAAAGTATCCCTCTGTCGAAGAAAACTAACCTGATTGAATAGGTCGTCTTCGCTACAGACGGCCTTTGGGACAATTTGTATGATGAAGATATTTGCAGTGTTATCCAGGATACTGCCGATGATGTTGATGGAGCATGTCAATCACTAGCAGAACAAGCATATAGGAATAGTCGCGATAAGTCCGTGTCCTAGTCTTTCGTTGAGGCTAGTTAATTCTTCTCAGGACACACTACTCGCCCTTCAGTAAACGCGCTGAAGAGTTCTTTGGTCGTCGTATTCATATTGGAGGTAAGTCGTAAGCAAGCACCATCGAAGTCGTTCTGCGGGTGACTTCAATTCTGTCAGGCAAACCTGACGACATCTCCATAGTGGTTGCCGAGGTGAAGCGGAGACCATTCGGTTCCATCTTGGGTGAGTGTACACAGAGGGTCTTACTGCAATTTTATTATTTCAGGGGCTCGCACAACACAGTTCAGTGAAAATGATGATTGTTTGCCTAGTCCTCGAACTCTTGCACAGTTGAAGTTCAGCGTGGCTGATGCATTCTGACATCTTGTTTACTATTTATCCCAACCTTAACTGCCTCTCTGTCGATGTAACAATGTTAGTGTCAGTAATAATAGCTCTGATTTAACTATTGTAATCCATAATATGAAGAATACATTTGGTGTTCCTCTTAACTGCGTGGAAAACGTCTCGTTATGTTGAGTTGATGGGCGTATCGTCAAGAGTGAGGGACGCGTACCGATATATACAGGGTAGTGTGTAAAGAGGTAATCGTAATCTCGCTGCGAGTGACAGTTCGTAAACAAAAAAGGTAACATTCGAAAGCCCTCATCGAGCTCTCTCCAGCGCCGTATGAGCGGTTCTGATATCCATATTGTGCACTGATCTATCGTCATACGCGGAATCGGCTGCACAGGGACAAGTTGTACCGGTTTATTCCTTCGGTGGAACCTGAGATCCCGGACCTTCACGTCAGTTACGACTCGTTAGTTGTTCCGACGACTGAGTTGGTTTTGAACGTCCCCAACCACGACCATGATGGCAAGTCTATGTATCAAAACCTAAGCCGTGATATTTTTCACAGTGGAGTGGGGCTCAATTCCCTTCTTTCCCACTCCCAGTGATAAGTTTAACACCATTCATACTCGCAAACTCAATGTCATAGGATAGGAACTGGACAGTACATTACAGAGTACACTGGAGATTATGGGTAGAGGAATAAAAACAGTAACGGAGTCAATTGTCTTGCTGTTCGAGGAGATGCTCCATAGTGGAAAGGTCCACGCACCAATAGTCCCATACGCAAGGATCTTTTCTATCTTCTTGGCCGGACGATGCTGAATCGATATGCTTGATGGGAGTTGACCACCGATGATCAGCTCACCTGCAATCGCACGCTCTTCGGAGGTCACACCAGAGCAGACTAGAAGGGATTGAATCCCGGAGTTCAAACCGAAGTGGATGTCCGTATCAATACGGTCACCTACTCGCAGTCATCCAAGACGAGCGGAAGACTCCACCACTACTCACCAACCATAACCATCCTTGACGAGGGCGTATCCGGATGAGCCTTCCGAATGGCAGCTTGCATAGCGAATGGTTCCGGCTTGGCTATAAAGCAGTCCGGTTCTCGACCAGATGCCGTAGCGAGGGCACGGACGATGCAAAGATTCCCAGGGGCCATCTGATGAGACAACTAAGTCGATATTCCCAAAACACAGATGCTTACCAAGGCTCCCTTCGCTACTGGGATTTGAGCATCTGGATTGGTGGCAATGAATTTGCATCCTGGTATAAGCTGAAGGCACAGCGATGAATAGGCGAGCTTGTAGTAGTTGATCTGTACGTCAAAACCTGCAGCGACAACCATGGTTGAATCGCACCCGTCAAACACCGCTTACCAGAAATGACCGCCTGAATAGTCGGGTCCACATTAATCTCCCTCAGAGACTCAGCATCCATCGCTTTCCCGCTGTCGGCCTCTCCACCACCCACAACAGTAATGCCTCGACTCTCCAGCTCACGGACCAAATTCTGCGTTCCAAGCACGTACCTGCGAAGTCCATCATATAGGCGTTCCCTTGCCTCACTCACTTACACTCGTGTAATGCCGAGCTGCTCGAGTCTCAGGCCAGTAAGATATGCGCTACACAGGACTCTGTCCTCCTTGAAGAGGCCATCCACTTCGGGGTACATCTTGGTGACTTTATCGACATACTGTTGACGCGTTTTCGAGCTGTTGTTGGTGAAGCACCAAACGTCCTTGTGTTCATCATACAGCCTCTTCAAGAGGGATCCAACGCCATCAAAAGTGATGTTACCGTCATAGAGGCAACCGTCGAGGTCGAAGATGAAAACATCATGATCGTCGAGGAACTTACGGGCCTCTGAAGAGGTGCTTATCTGCGTCCCGGCTCTAAGCCGATCCTCATGGGACGAAGCACTAGTTTGACTGCTACTAGAGAGGGTGGACATACAAAAGACGAGATAGGAAAGGAAAGTCTGAACGGCTAGTGAGTCAAATCACGAAGACAACACACGAACAAGTATACACCGAACCGCTGAATTGACTATGACCGTAGCGATCAGAACTTCATACGTCATATTTTATCCTACCCCGCGAGGATATCGTCGACTTGTTCTGCATCGACCGCGGAACCCTCAGCTGAAATGCATTCCGGTGGAGGCATGCCCTAGATTAATCATATGTACATGGTGGGATTACTAGCAGCAGGAGAATACACATCTAGACGGACTTTCCTGACGCACCTGCGATTTCGGCAGGGCCCGTGAAAACTAACGCAGCCGAGTAGCCGCCTGCTCAGGAGAGAGGAACGCCGACAGATCAATTTGGTGTAGGACTTCTTTGGTCAACACAAGTCTGTGCAGTGGGCCGAGTCGGACACCAAGAACTGCACAGCCTCGAAGGGACAGAGGACACAATGGCATTGGTCACCTCAGCTAGTTCATCTCATACGAGTCCATATAGTGGGTTGCCAAGCCATGCTTTAACAGGTCCACGCTATTCAGGCGAACTCCTGTTGGACCTACCGCTCCGGGGTGAACCGACGGCACATGCTAGATAGAACCCGAACCCGAGAGATGAAGTAGAAGACAACAATGTCGAAGGCCTAGACCGGTGACCTACGCATTTATCGAAATCGGTGACGATCTCAGGCATCGAGTGCCATATAGAGTTCTCCACTATAGTGATATGATGAGTGCAAAGGAATGGCCAACGCCTCCACCCGTTTGGAGGGATACTTAGCAGCTCAGGATGAAGAAGGCACTAACGAATGAGCCCGGTCATTCATTTACGGCTCGTGGCCCTACACGTTGGTATTGGTATACTCCCCTGAGCGATAACTTCGATATTTTCGGAATAAAATACTCCACGGACTGTCGCCTTCATTCCCCAATACGGCCCTCCGCAATCTCGAACATCCTTCAACTTCTACCAAAGAAACGAAATCTTTCAATATGTATGATTTCGAGCCATCCCCCCGGCGTTAGAAGCACTCCAACACGACACGGCCTTGCCTCGTCAAGCATGCACACAGCGACTTCATGAAGGTATCACCGCTAGTTCAGTCGTGTGACAATGATTGTATTAGTGCTATTGCTCTCACCTTGAGTTGACGTAGACCACCCTACATGATACCACACCACCAAGGGCCACCGAGGCAATCGGTATTATGGCATACAATGCGTGATACAACCTCAAACTGCCCTGCTTGCTGATCGAACGGGTCAGGGTAAGTTGGGTAGTACCTAGTGACTAAGCGAGACAGGAAGCTATGTATCAGCTTAGTGAGCGCAAAGATGACACCAGGAAGAATGCATCAGAGTAACCGGACAACGCGACAGGTTTAGATAGGGACACCGACAAAGTTATGGTAAATGGCATGCTAAATTCAATAGTAAACTCGGTCCATACACCCGATCTCTCCAACTTCCTCGAAGACTTTTCTCTCCAAGTCCTCTACCTAAGTACAGAAAGTAAGTAACAATATAGTGCTACTGAGGAGGCTATAGTGATCTCACATCGTCGGCAAGGTCTTCGATGGACCATGGCCCTACATCCCTCTCCTGCTTGGACCTGTCACTAGGCTTGTAACTTAATGCGCACAGTGGTTACCTCAGCCCATGCTGGAGTAGATATCGGCGATATGCCCTACACGACTCGTATAGATCACGACGATGCTCCAACAAGCTCACTCGTCGAGCCTCGCGAACCTGACCAAGGGGACTCCACGGCAAGCACGTCCCATGACCCCACCTGGGCTCGTTGCCGTCTCTTAAGTACCACTCCCTCGAGGACTTTCCCTTGTCGACGGTCCTCATCTGTAACCACAACCGGAGCAGCAGCAGGTCCACGAACATGATTGTCCCTCCGTGATGAAGTAGAGGAGGAGGAGCTACCCCCAACACCCAACGTAATTTTCTGCCGTCTCTGATACCCAACACGACTATCACGACGAGCCTGGCCACTGGCAACAGGACCAGCAGCTGCTGCTGCTCTCGTTCGCCCATAGATAGGCCCTGGGACTTGCAGCTTCGCTCGGAACCTGGCAGTTCTGATGCCCTCAGGCCCTTGTCGTGTATGGCCATCTGACGCCTTGCTCTCTCTCAGAGCTCTGACCCTGGCTGGAATGGCTCCAATGGGTACTCGGTTGTCACGCGGACTTGCCGCGTAACTCGGTACAGCCCTCCGCAGGTCTCGTTTTATAGCACCAACCCGCCGATCTCGAGTGCCAGAGGTAGAAGTTGTATAATCATTTTCAATCATCGGTCTGCGTAACATGGTGGAACATGCATGTGAACTGGATGGAAATTTCAATGTCGGAAGACCATTGCGGCACACGACAAGGACCCTAGGTAGAAACGTAGAGTACGGATATTGAGGAACTAAGTGACAGTGTGACGTCAGGAAGGGGGGAGAGTACAAAGCGACCAAACAACTCTATTCTTGCCATGGAACTTCAGCCATCCAGCCTCGGCATTACGAGGGTCACGAGCCAGGAGCCATCGGACCAACTCCTCGTGGGTTCTAACAGGGACATGCTCTCCATCTCGGTCAGCAACAAAACCTGACGGGCGACCTGTACGATGCTTACGATACGCTGAACTCACGGTCAGTGAACTCATCCGAGAACACACAGCAAGGCACGATAGCATAGGGCTTATCGAACTCCATCGCAACTGATTGGACATACCCAGTAGCCTGGTCCGGGTGCATGCCGACAACAACACTGATGAACCAAGCCCTAAGGGTTACTCACAATGACAGAGTTGCCCACCTGCAGTCACGGAAAATGCCTGCCTTAACTTCAGCATCTACTTCATCGTCCAGGAGCATCTTCAAGTGCCGTGTGTGCTCCAGTCGCCAGGCCACACATTTCTCCTTCGACATCTTACCACCCATCATTCTATTCACGAGTTGCCGTAACCTCCTCGTCGGGGCAAGGTTCTGTCGTGGGTCAATGACCGTAACAGGTATACCTGAGGAGCCTTCGTAAGCCCTGTACTCGCCATCGAACTTGCCGCCCACCCAGTGCTGCCAGCTCTACCGCCAGCTCCCCCTTGCCTCCAGCAACATCAACTACACCACTACCGGACTGTAGCACAGCCAAGGTAAACGTATCCACTAGCCACTCTAAGGAAAACTGCCAATCTAGGGAAATGCCAAGTCCGATCAGTCCCACCAGCGAACACCCGAGCCCTGTTAGCATGCTTCTCCTTCTCGTGCATCTCATATAGATCATCGACGTGATGTGAGGCCGCGGACTGATTCAATGGTACTTTGAGAAAACAGTGGGGGGGGATATATGCACATGGTCATGTATTGGTAAAACTATGGAAATTCCGAGAAAATTATCGTTAGTTTCTGTACAGGTGGATTTTCATAATGTAGTGAGGAAACTTACGAGCTCAGTTGAGGGGAGCAAACATGAACAAACATATATTCCCACACGGCAAGAAGATAAACCAATACGCATACCTTAGATTCCCGCATCCTCTCCATATACTCTTTCCTAGCCCGACCCGAAATTTGGATGTGAACATCATCACAGACCTTCCTATGGCATCTCCCGTTATTGTTGACGAAGAACTTGCAGACCCTCTCCAGCGGACAGGGCAGGTCCTTCAGGTCGTATACCCGATCCTGGTGCTCCGGTGGTACGAATTCCCCATGAGGAGCTGTCGCCGTATTAGTGAGGAACCCCTTGCCTAAACTACTGCTTATCATCACCATCAAACACACCCCGAGAGCTTACGACCAACAAATGGCTTCAGTCCGGTCCATGGCTGTATTATCTCCAGCGAGTCACCACTGTTATCTAACCGCACGGCCATCGCCCCTGGCCGGCGAGTTTCCTGTATAAACCCCTCAACACGGACAACATCCCCAAGGTGGACCGGCTTCAGGACGGCTCGAGCACCCTGAGTAGATAGCAGTAAAATACCAAAACACCGCCTACCCCTGTCACCGACCCCATCCACTATGATCTCCAATGGTTCCCCAAGAGCAGGATCAAAGCTCAGTGCCTCCCTCGATGCTTGCAGGTCCAAGAACCCACACCCTCGACCACGGAACCGTTTCGCCACAGCTTGGCCCTAGGACTAGCACCTTCCAACTACCCGAGCCTGGTTCCCCGCCTTACCATCACAGAGACCCTACCACCAACCTCGCCTGCCACGATGGAACCCCAGACGCTCGCCGCAGTCTGCTCTCCCATTCGAATTGAACTGCCGCTGAGGACCAGGAGTAAGAATAAGAACACAACAAGCCCGTAAGAGGTGAATGATATGCTTAGCATGTTGACGTGAAGTGCTCTAATCACCAGTAGCATCCAAACCATAATGAACCAACACAGGAGGCAATACAAAATACCGTCAACTCGCGTTGTATTGACAATGCTACAGAGGTACCTGAATGGCCTGATTCGCGTACATAGAGACTGCAGGACCATCTACTCAAGGTCACATCCGCCACCTCGGTTTCCCCGATTGGGAGTTACGATTGAATGCTGGTGTAGGGGACGGAGCCCTACAAGAGGTACCTTACCCCAGACCATGTAAGCACCATGGTACCTTCTCATGTGCCCAGTAAGGCTACGATGCCGCACTCGGTCAAACGGTGGCCCAACACCGCCGACCAGTCCACCTGAAAGGAAGCTGACAAGGATCTCGGGAGGTTGGCGCAGCCGACCTTTCATGTTGTCATTACTGCTGCTGTTGTGCTGGTGCATCATCTGTGGTGATGGCGACCCGGGCCTCTGAGAGGGCCTCATACTGGGGCTCGCTGGCCTAGACCTCACAGAGGGGGAAGGGGGCCGATTCTAACGAGCATCAGTGCAGATGAGGATACTGGTGGCGTACATAGGAGCCCGTGGGCGAGGACCTCATGCTACTGCTGTTGCTGCCATTGGCCAAGCTAGGCGCAGTATTTGGCCGCCGACCCACTGCCGAGCCCGGGAGCCCTCGTTTGCTGAGAAAACCAGTGACTACCGAATCCACCCGGGGAGAGGACCTCGGGTCAAGCATTCCTAATCCTTCCGAAGAAGTAACCGCCCCAGTAGGCATCGAACCTGAGCAACCTTCCCAGTGAACACCACTCTGTCCACCCGACTCCTGCCCACCCTGGCTGCTTCTGAGACTACTAGTGCCCATATAGTTCTGTCGGAGGGACGATGTTGTCGTAGCGGTTCCTTTCGAGGAGGCCGCCGAGCCCATCAATGAGCCCATACCACTGCTGGACGGTAACTAGAACAATACCCTCCACAGCTACATCATAACAACACCTACTCCCCTGAGGAGGCCGCGACGTTCCTGCTGCGACTGCTGCGAGGTAGCCGATCTCTGATAACTCCTCATCATAGGACTGTCGGATCGCTGATAACTACTACCACTTCCACTATAGAAGCGTTGGTTCCTAAGGGCGGAATTTAGGCGCCGAATAACTCAACCTTTATCACCCCGGACTAGGGTCTCTATGGCCATACCGATGATGATGCTGCTGCTGAGGAGGAGGAGCACGGCCAGCTGGGGAGGGTTCCCGCCGACTAAGCGAGGAGCCTAGACACACTCCGCATACAACAAGGAGACATCCCAAGGGTAATACTCCTGAGGGGATTGCTAGACCCCATAGTGGGGCTGGGCAACCGTCGGCTAGGTCCATCCCCTCGGCCCGAAGCCCACAACTCCTAACAACCTCAGAGTTACCAACCATACCACACCACCATCACATCCTCCCACCACTTTATTGGACTCTCCATTCTCACTAGTTTCCCGGAGGATCGGCGTCGAGGGTCGCCGGGAGGGCGGTGACTCCTCAGCCGCTGTCGAGGACGTATCACCCTATCGTAAGCCCAGTAGAGCCCAACAGCTCCTCATAATACTACCCATGCTCTCGTTGGTATCCTCGTACTCCCAAGTCTCGATGGTAGGCCAATATCTAATCCTCCCAAACAGCAAAGGAGGCAGGGCCAATACTTACTCGATGGACCGCCGCTACCGTTGCCTCCAAGATCTCTACCCCGGCCCCGGTCCTTCTGCATCCCCTCTGCCCCTCGACGACTACTATCATCCTACAATACTCATGGTGCCACCACACCTAGGAGTTCCCATATTACATCAGCCCCCGACAGAGCACGTAGTAGACTTCCATCAAGACTGTTCCTTCGACTAACTCCTCCACCACCGCTTCCGAGCTCCACTGAAGTGTTCAGTGTATCCATGCTCAATGAGGCACTTCGTAGTGGTCCTGACCATGGTCACTGCTTCTTACAGCACTTCACCCCACCCTACTGTTAAGCAGACCTCCCTTAGCACTATCAGGGCTATGGTCACTAGCCTCACGCCTTGCCGCCCTACTTCCTTTCAAACACGACTTCACCGGCTGTTCTATTGTTGTTGACAATTTCTGAACCCGCGGTGGGTTGCCCGGCACCTCTAGCCGTGCTATAATGATAACACTGGTAAGCCTCCAATAGGATACTCCTGTCCACCTTTATCATCTTCGCCGGCGTCACTCCAATCAATGCTACGCCGCATCACACCGTTCATCAAGTTGCCATAATACAGTCTACATGCAACAATACCCCTCCCCCCGGCGCAAGCGGAAACCCCCTCATGTGAGCAACGGCTGCCATAGAGTAGCACCCCATCTACTACTTCACATCCTTATCACTCCGAATAGATAAGTCCGCCAGCGGGCCCATTTGGCTGTTCATAAACGTATTCCGCAGCAGGTACTCTTCGGAGTCCAGCTGGGGCGTTACCGATGACACTGCAATGCGTCAATACCCCAAGGCTAGTTATTTCTCAAACATTGATTGCAACAGAAACGCCGTTATCCTACAACTCCAGTCACTCGATAGTTTCATCTTCTGCGAGGATATGAGCCGCCTTTCGAAGGCCCCGAGTTGCTGTAGATAGCTCGGCCTTAAATTGACATCCGGCCTCCTAGACTGCAGGAACTCCAATGTTTTCCGCATTCCCCAGCGGTATCTACGTCTAGCAGTCAACCCGACTGAACTTTATGGTGAACTCACTTTCGCATTAGGTAAGCACACAAAACTACACAGGATCTCCCCTGACCGCGTTCACTATGGATAAGAATCTGTACTATGATCACACTATTACACTTCAGTGCACCAACCACTACCGATTCTGCATTGTCCAAGGCCTCGTCTATAAAAGCAGTAACTTCGTCAACGACTACATCCCGGGCGTCTAGAACTACCTTAGAGAGATAGCCACATGTTATGACATAAGTTACAAGGCTCGTGTTACTTGGGAGTCATTGTCGAGCCAGTAGTAAGTTAGATAAACTACCCCTATGGGCTCCCAGTGGTTGGGTATCTAGTAATAAGCTCCCCACTTTTCGGACCATTAACCTCAACTACTTGTCGGCCACAGCAATTGATGACATGTGTGACTTTGTTGGTAACGACAAATTCCAACTCCTAAAAAGAAGTCTCTACTACGACCGGAATAGAGACGAGTCTGGTGACCACCTGAGCAGCCATTTCGTCTCCTATAAAGAGCCCGTCCTTCACTTTAACAGCGCCAACTATCTCCCATACTCCCTGCTGGGCTTGACCATACATAGTTTCCCCGAGGGCCGGCGCCAGCTGCGGGGCTGCTGTCATTGAACAGGAGCCAAGCTGCAATTCAGTAGATGCGACCATAGTGTGGCGAAAGAGCAAATTGACGGTAAAATTCACTTCCATGGGATCGAACCGGCGTCGTAACCCGACCAGCAAGTGAAACCGCCCGTTCAATAGACAATGCTGTCTCGCGTTCCGTAGATACGATTTCAAAATTCGATTCCAGCAAGGATTCCAGAATGGACAAATAAAATGGGGAATGGAGAGATGGGGTTCCGGCTACTTGAGTCCCCAGAAATGTTCCCAAAAATAGCCCCAAAACTGTATGTACCCAGATTGTCCCCAAAAAAAATCCACCTGCGCGCGCCCGGGAAAGATCTGCGCAGCTTATTACTGGGGATCCCAACAGACCTCTCCCGAATTTCAGTAGCGCTCCCAGGATTGAATTTAACGAGTTTGATACGATCCTGAGAGCGCTCTGGAAACTCCGGAGAGATCCATCGAACAGGCGGACAAATTTGGTCTGCCAGACCTAATTTGTGGGCTTTATTGAATTGCTCTTGAGTTTTACTAAGAGTACTTTTCCTAATTGTGGGCTTTTCAGAGTACTTTTACTTTCAAAGTACTTTTACTTTGAATTGCTCGAGCTTCCTGTTCTCGTAGCATGAGCACTGGTAAGTATCTCTTCTAATAATCCTTATATTCTTCATGAGCGACGCGTAGTCGTCAAACGTGCCCCAGCGGTCGTATATAGCCCCACTTGCCAGGTACTTCTCGATAGAGCTGAACATGGTCTCGTCAAGCTTCCTGTGATTACCACAGCACCAAACGAGCTGAATTGACGGTATGAAATAGTACTCGCCCTTGTCGTCAGCATAGATTGTCTGCGCTTCTTCCGAATTGCACCATTGTGCTGCCATCAGCAGCGACTGTCGCTGGTACTCGCTGGGTGCCTCGGTCTCTCTACGAATTGGAAAGTCCGCCGTCGCCGCCATGTGCTCCCGCACCAGGGTTGAGAGGCTCGACCCAGGATGAGTCATACCAGAAGATGTAGGAGTGATGAGCAGGCATTTTTGAGTGTATGTAGTGTACGCATACCGGCGTTGAAGCTTCTGTTCATCGCTTCAATGTGGTCATTGTCTTTGGGAACTCTGGCGGCGCTTCGCTCTCATAGCAAGTTTGGCTCCACGTGCATCTATTCTCCAGCCATGTTTCTCGGCACTTCTTCACCAATTCAGGATACCGCTCGTCCCATTGCTCGACGAACAATTCGCATGCGGTGGAGAACATCAGGTGTTTCGGACTCTGTTGTAGCAACCTCGCACCGTGTAAGAACTCTCCGATCTCTTCGTTTGCTCACTGCGCTCTGCCAACCAACTCGGCTTTGATCTCTTGTTTAGCCTTCTCCGCCACCTTATATATCATATGATAATGGCAGAAGGTTCTTATTGTTGTTTGGTCGTCGGACGGTGCCACCCAGTCGAGAGGCGAGCTCAGCTTGTAGCTTGCTCATCTCTCCATGTACCTGCCATGTTTTCGTCAGGCGACTCTCACGAAGATCAGTATTACCACTGTGAGTGAAGCTACTACCACCTATGTGACGAAGGCTACTACCATTCGGACAAGAACGGAGTTCCCCGGGATGGAAACTGCGCCCACCAATAACGCACTTTCAAATTCTACTTGGATTTGGAACAACGGTTGCGGGCCAACTATGAACGATTTTCAAATTCTACTTGGATTTAGAACAGCGATTGCGGGCCAACTATGAACGACTACCATTACGTGTCAATGGGCTGTTCATCTACTCCCCCGTTAGTAAGTGGTACGGTTATGAGATGTTAACTCAACAACATGAAAGTCAGAGATGACGCGGATGATTCCCCCGCAACATTACATAAGCGGAAGTGAACATAACGACAAAATGAACCTATGGTTCTAGAGAAAGTTACATTAGTGCAACACCTTTCGAGGCACCAATACGAGTGGCACCAGCAGCAATGAGATCATCCATCTCCTGCTTGGTGTGGATACCACCAGCGGCCTTCACACCGCATCTGGAACCAACAGTCTCACGCATAAGCTTCACATGGTGGACAGTAGCACCATACTTGCTGAAACCCGTGCTGGTCTTTACGAAATCGGCACCGGCGTCAACACAGACATTGCAAGCCTTGACAACTTCCTCGTCAGTCAAGAGGCAACACTCAAGGATAACCTTCACGACAACACCATCGGTTTCGGGGTTAGCCTTCTGGTTAGCCAAATAAGCGCGGACAGAATGGACAACGCTGTAAACATCATCCTCAACTTTATCCCAAGAACCACTCTTGATGTAGCCAATGTTAATGACCATATCGACCTCCTTAGCACCGTCCTTAACAGCCTCGACAGCCTCAAGGGACTTGGCAGCAGTCGAGGTAGCACCAAGAGGGAATCCAACAACAGTGCAAACCCTAACATCGGTGTCCTTGAGGAGCTCGTGGGCGAGAGGTACCCAACAAGCATTTATGCAGACACTGGCGAAGTCGTACTGCTTGGCCTCAGCGCACAACTTGCGAATCTTCTCCTCAGTGGCATCAGCGGCGAGCTGAGTATGATCGATAAACTTATTCCTCTTCTCAGGGGCCTTATCACTAGCATAAGCATTAGGGCAAGTGAAAGTAGGAGGGACGGGAGTCATACCCTTGAAGAATGGAACGGGGAAAGACATTTCGAATGAGATGGGCAAATTATAAATCCAATACTGAACGGATGAACATCAAGACCCTACCGAATCACTACACAACTACAAATCACCTCGCAGTATCATTCGAAAGCGAAATAATACAAGTGAATGTTGAGTCTGTGACTAACAAAATGTTACCACAGTGCTTAGCTTAAGCCACCGTCGGAGACAGACCGGCATAGCAAGCTACGCTGAACTTGGTTAAGCAGCGCGCAAGAGCTTCGGAGGATATACAGCAGCTCTAAGTTGTCAAAACTTAACGTTCCGCCTTCTCCAATAGGTTCCTAGAGTAACTCAGATTAGAGTGAGTGGTGCCGGGCATATTTTAGAAATTGTGATTTATAGATGACGAGCGTATTAGAGGATCTTATATCAGAATCCTAGTTGTCAAGTCGCTTTTTAAGACCTTGAAGATGATAAGGCCTAGAGAAAGATTAGAAGATGGATTGATCGTAGACGAACCACTCATTCCACTCCAACCACTTCACTTACATAATCACTGTTAATAATTCAGTACAATTCCAAGAGGTCTACACTTCTAGTATAACCAAGAGATATCAAGCGAGATGTGAACTGAGCTTCATAAGTTCTACTACAACATCAACCATAACACTCAAGACCTTCAAACCCTGTGACTCTCAACCACTCAAGTGTCAGCCGAAGAGTACGGAGATTCAACCCTCACTAAAGCCTGCCCATGGTTACTCAACAACGCAATACAATATGAGCCATTACAGACCTCGCGGATGATTCCCCCGCAAGCATCTTGTAAACTAGACATAGTATGATTCATTCAATAGCATAAAACAGCTGAGAAAGTTACATTAGTGCAACTCCCTTGGAAGCACCGATACGAGTGGCACCAGCAGCAATGAGATCATCCATCTCCTGCTTGGTGTGGATACCACCAGCAGCCTTCACACCGCATCTGGAACCAACAGTCTCACGCATAAGCTTCACATGGTGGACAGTAGCACCATACTTGCTGAAACCCGTGCTGGTCTTTACGAAATCGGCACCGGCGTCAACACAGACATTGCAAGCCTTGACAACTTCCTCGTCAGTCAAAAGGCAACACTCAAGGATAACCTTCACGACAACACCATCGGTTTCGGGGTTAGCCTTCTGGTTAGCCAAATAAGCGCGGACAGAGTGGACAACGCTGTAAACATCATCCTCAACTTTATCCCAAGAACCACTCTTGATGTAGCCAATGTTAATGACCATATCGACCTCCTTAGCACCGTCCTTAACAGCCTCGACAGCCTCAAGGGACTTGGCAGCAGTCGAGGTAGCACCAAGAGGGAATCCAACAACAGTGCAAACCCTAACATCGGTGTCCTTGAGGAGCTCGTGGGCGAGAGGAACCCAGCAAGCATTTATGCAGACACTGGCGAAGTCGTACTGCTTGGCCTCAGCGCACAACTTGCGAATCTTCTCCTCAGTGGCATCAGCGGCAAGCTGAGTATGATCAATAAACTTATTCCTCTTCTCAGGGGCCTTATCACTAGCATAAGCATTAGGGCAAGTGAAAGTAGGAGGGACGGGAGTCATACCCTTGAAGAATGGAACGGGGAAAGACATTATGTAGTATGGATTGATAACTATAAAACCTAAGCACATGAACATAAAGATGACTCAAGTCGCCCTACACCAAAACACTTGAATAGAACATACTAACTCATTCCTAAGCGACTCGCGCATCTGCTAGCGCCAGCAAGCTTAAGCTTTGACTAAGCCATGGGGACAGAGTTTGTGTGCCTGCGCATTTTGATGGGGAGAACTCCTGCTACAAGACTTCGAGTACAGTAGTATCGTCCCGACACTTCCTTTCCCTCGCTAATGTGCCTTATCATCTCGTTCGCGACAAATTTCACGAGGAAAATGCGGATCAGCAAGGATTCGCATCGCGGATTTCGCATATCCATGCGAATTCCCCCTTCGGACCCGGAGTTCCCGTGGCACCATGGATCTCGGTTCAGATTTACCTCCTCTCTTCCTCGGACGTCTCTTGGCACCGGCGCTGGTTCAGATAGTGGTTCAGCCACTGTGTTTGGAGTCTACGACGAGCTCGTCCTTCAAGAACGAGCTCGATAGCTATACCAAGTTGGTATATCTATTGGCCTAATGCCAGAAGCCGAGTTACACACTGGTGTTGGCTGAGACCTTTCTTGAGCCAGGTCATTAGCGCTCCCAACGATGAAGCCGTTGAGAGGCTGTTATTTAAGGAGGCAACACACGACGTTGGACTCGGACGACTTCAAACAGATGCGCCGAAGCAAGCAAGAGACTGGTTAGCATGGCGGTTTCAGGTGGCCCAGGGCAGCAGCCCAAAGTATGAGACAGTTCATCGATCTTATCCGCTCTAGAGCACGAACGAATTGGAACAGTATACCCTGAACGTAGACGGTATATGCTCAGAGAGCTACACTGTGACCATTCCACATCTCTCAATCGATCGACTGGGCGCACGCGGCTAACGTGCGCTGACGTGCGTAACCTAGTGACGAAGATGACAGTCGGCTTCAATAGAGATAGTGAGTGACTGGCCTCGGTTTCTTCAGATCGTCTTGGCCGATGACGTCGGTCGTTTACTTGCGTCGCTCTTGAGCTTCAGAACAAAACGGTATGTGGAGTCATGTTGATGCGTTGCGCCCGTGTGTCCGCGTTCACTCCAACACGCAACCTCAACTGCGAAAGAAGTTCAAGTCGTGGTCCACTACCAGATGATCGGACGTTACGGATTATACCGTTATTTCTCGTCTTCGCGTGGACTCCTCTGTACAAGGAGGGCCATGGACACTGCAGTGGATGCTCGCCGTTTTCACAGCTCGCTAGGCATTCACGTTGGCGCGTCGTAGACACACATAGGGTTTACAGAAGCGCCGCATCTATCCTTCATTGGGATTCTGTTCACCGGTTCTTGCTACTGCAACCACTGAGATGCTATTCTATGGAATGTCAACCCACCACAACATCGAGGTAGCTCACAGTAACAACTAATCCACGTGGCTCTGTCGTTGGTGAGGTCATCATATTGGCAGTTATATTCCTTGGTTTAACCGCTAGATACCTCATCTGGGAGGTCGAGCGGTGGTATACTCTTGCTGTCGGGTTGGTGTGTGGCCTCCTCACGTTGAGAGGCCGAACTGTGCATGCAGCGAACCTTGCGCGAACAGCGGCGTCGAAAGCGAGTGCTTCACTAACAATAAACTGTATCGGTCGGACATTCTTTTGTGTCGGGTGAACGACACGAGAACAGAAGTTAGCCATCGCATCCTCACAAAAGCAGCTAGGGTGACACCTTTGGGCTGAGGGCCTTGACTCTCCATAAGAGCTCAACGAGCAGCAGTCAGTAGCATTGGTACCATTGCACTGCTAGAGGCATGTTTTCCCTGAACGGAGTTCGATCCATAAGAAGGTTGTGTTTCCTTTCATTCACTGTATTGGTATGGGGATAAAGATAGGATGAAGTAGATGATAGGGAGACGATTGATTTTCGTGTGGCCATAATATTTCATACTGTACCTCCTTGAACGTCTTTGAGATTGTCTCTCTATGATAAGCGTGATCTGCCTGATACTCCTCGTGAACTGGGAGTAGGTCGCAACCTTTTGGGCGTGGAAGTGTTAGTTGTTGTGTCCCGTTTGTCTCCTTTGTGTTAATCGGAGGTGCATTTGAGTAGGATTTTTTCCAGGCGTGGATATTGCTCCGTCGGGAGGTCTATGTGTATCATCGGGTCATGCGAAGTCTGGTTCATTCATCAGTTTGTTTTTTCCGTTAGATGGGAGCTTGTGAATCATGTTTTGAAACATCTAGGTCTGCTGTTCCTCCACCAGTAGCAGCTGCACTGCCGGTACAAGTGGTGTACACCATTCAGGATCAGGAGGCCGTACCAGAAACAGTGGTGTACCAAGACACTCTGGATTTGCCCACTGTGACCATGGCCAACCAGCCTTATACTGTGACTACCGTGACTACTGAGACTACTGTATGTCCTGGCCAGACTGACCAGGTTGTTATTGAAGATTCTGACGATGAACACATCCCCGAGATAGAAGAGATCTCCGTGGTCAGTTCCGAGGAAGATAATGCTACTTCTAGCTGTGATGTTGAGATCACTAGTACAGCTGTCGAGCCCTCGGTAGTCACTACACCCGAGGAGGTTGATACTACTAGTGATGGTCACGAGGAGGTCTCTGAGGTACCTTCATCTAGCAGTCCGGTATCGGTGGAGCTCATCCGTACTGCTGCTGCATTGGAGGCTAGTCAGACTGCACTGGATCAGCCTGAGTCGACTGTCCCTCAGGGGCTGACCAGTGAGGGAGCATCCTTTGCTCTAGCCGCTAGTTCTGGCATCGTACCATCCCCTGGAGAGGGATCTACGCCGGTGCCTACGGTCATGCAGACTATCATGACTATGACGTCTGGTGTTCAGCCTCAAGAAAGCGGCCCTGTCTACCAAACTGCTGATTCGGGAGGAGACTCTCCAGAAGCTGGCATGGCACTGGAGCCAATGGATGCTGGACCTCTAGCACAGCAATCATTGGGGCTTGCTGAGGTCTCGACACAGTTCGATATCGGTCTAGTGCCGCAAGTGACTGATGTGACAAGTGTTGACGAGGTGATCACTACAGATGAAGTGTTTATGGAGAAGCCAACGATTGAGGACTCTGTGGTGCTCGAGGAGGTCGTTGAGACCACATCTAGTGTGCCTGCTGGTGGAAGGAAGTTCCCCTATCTTTATGACCGTCCTCAGCTATATACTAGGCCCGATGAGAAAGCTGCTAATCTGGGGTCTTTGCGGAAATTTCCGTACTTGTATGACAGGCCAATTTTTGAGTACAACGATACGGTTGTGGCGTCATCGTCCACTAGCATCGCGAGGCAGTTCCCTTACATTTATGATCATCCTGCTCTGGATGCACACTTATCCTTGGGAGAATCTTCTGAATCGCTTAGTACAAGGGTATTCCCTTATATCTATGATCACCCTCAGGTTGGAGCTTCCCGAACTGAGGTACCCTCAGCTCCTCTAACTAGTCGTAGACAGTTTCCATATCTATATGATGCCTCTGGAGAAGTTGCAGTCATTCCGCCCAGGGCTGAAGCCAAGGCAGATGTCAGTGAGTCCAAGCAAGTCCTGGTGAACGACCATGAGGATGAGCCTGTTCAGTCAGAGGCGGCTTATGAACTCCAGTCGGAGAATAAGGTTGCGAGTGGTTCATCTGTGCCCGCAGGGATGGTGGCTTCCGCAGCAGCTCCTATGGATGGCACTCATGATCAGAACGGTTATGACAGTGTTAGTCTTCAGCCAGCTGCATCGACTTCTGCTGATGATAGCTCCATCAAGAACAAAGTTTTCCCGTACCTGTACGATGAGATCGAGGTGCCTGCTGGGCACGCCGATGGGGGTATTCTGCTGGAGGCTGCTGCCCCCAGTGATAGGGTGTTCCCCTATCTATATGATGAGTCGAGCTCTGATCAAGGCAGTGATACTGTTATCACAACCGTTACAACTGTAACGACTATCAAGACTCGAGCCTCGAGAACCAACAGGGCCTCTAAAACTGCACTGCGGGAGTAACTGTCGATGTATGATGAGCGCGGGGATCATCTTTACTAGCTACAATCTTAAACCACAATTCTCGTCCTACTGTCACTGTTGCATAATCATTCGTATATCTTGTCTCAACATAAGTAGTAATCTTACTAGTTTCTTTTTTCACTGCAGACACTCTGAGTTTCACAATATTAGATGATTGTGGGACGTATTAGTTGACTTGGTCTTCATTCCAGACGCTAAGTTCTCCCCTTCCACATCCTTATGGGTTGCAACACTTCTACCGCAGCTGAATCACCGGCCGCTCCTGCAGATGCTGTCCCAAATGATGCTGCTGCTGTTGAAGCGGCCAGAGCTCCGGAGGCTGAGTCGGACGTTGCGATGGTAACCACTGGGAAGCCGACAGGCAGTGGTAATGAAGATAACAGTGGAGCGGTTACTTCTCAAACTTTCCCCTACGTTTACCCCGAAGGTTCCGAGGGTACTAACGTTCGCAATTGAAGAATGCTGGTGGACTTGTAGTCGGTGGACGACAATTATTTTATTTTTATTTCGTAGACACTTTCTAGTCTACTCTCAAGCTAAGCCGTCTTGATGGCGCACAGGTACATTACTATCACATCGTATAGAGGGAAGTACATTCGCACGCTTGACCTCCAGAGTTGTGTTGCTAGTCAGGGTAGCCTACTCAACGGGGGGGGGAACGAGCCAAGCAATGATCCAGTAGTATAACCGGGAACTAATCAGGGGCATCTTTTCGAGAACTGAAAAGAAAAAATGGATATACGTACGCTACCTTCGTGAGGGCTTCGAGTAGTCTCGGGTACTGATCATCATCTTTGTGGAGTTTTGTTACGGAGGAGTTCTTCTACTGGTTGGTTCGCAGTAATATCGCACTGGAGTTGTTGCCATAGGCCTCATCATACAAGAAAGACTTCCAGAAACGCTGTCTGAAACATTCAGGAAGATCATTAATGACTGCGGCCCTGTGGAAGCGAGAGCTCATCTTTCGATTGTCGAATAACGAAGGTCAAGTACGACGCTGTATCAGAGAACACTCGTGTGGGCGTTGCAACGGCAAGGTCTGAACTGTCTGGGGACGAGTCAATGAAATTCTATCAGATTCCACCAGGCGTAGGCGTAGACTGCTTCGTTGCAGCCATCACTACGAGAGTGGTGAAGGATCTGATACCGGCTAGCGAGTCACTTCTCCGAGAAGTGGTAGGAGGGAGGACATCTAATGCGTTCTGTCCTCGTCTGTTGATCAGCTCGGCAATTGCTGTGATCATTTCGGCCGAGTTTCGGTTGATTTAGTGTTCAAAGTCATTGGCACTGCTTGCAAGAAAGTCCGAGACATGGTGAGGGGTAGCTGAGTCCGATACTTCGTATGCTCTTTCGAATGACCTCAGGATTTGCAATTGTGGAGGAGCCTCTTTGGGCGCTCTATGATGTGCGTAAGGCAAGCTACCTTTGAGGAGGGTATGGGACAATGGATGAGTAACAGAGGAATCGATGAAGACTCCATAGCCGACATAATGCAAGTAATTTCTAAGATTCCTCACTAACGCCACATCCATAAGCGTTCAGGCTTTGCTAGGGATGATGGACCCTTTCTACACTGGCATCATCGAAAGAGATGCTTTTCTAGAAGCCATGAGCCTATGCGGAGGCTCTGACCTCTTCTGTTCGCAGCACCTCCCGACCATGCGCTCTTGGATCGCGAAGAGAATGACAGCCATCAATAGTCCGGCGTCGAGTCAGAGCATGGGACAGGCTCCACCGATTCCTCAGTGCGTCATGTGCCTAGACTTGATGATCTCCTCTTATCGTTGTAGCGACCCCGCTGGCAGTCATTCCCCAGTGTCCGCACCCGAAGAGCCACCTGCTGTTTACAGTGTATCATCGTCTTATGTTGATGACGGGGTCTCGATGAGTCTGCCTAAGCCGGACGAGTCCAATGAGATAGTCTTCTCGCCGGTTACAAGGTGCCATAACTTGACCATACCAATGCTATGCCACATTTGAGCTGCAGATTAGACTCGAGCACCAGTAGCGATGCTAAGTATATCGTTCGAGCTCTTAGAAAGCCAGCTCATCGAGGACTGTGGACCGCGCTGATACGGCTCAGCCGGGGTTCTATTTCCACCGACGAGCCCGCCACTCGAGTGCAAGCTATGGTAGAAGCCACTTCTCCCGGCTCGTTTTCGATCTGGGAATCCTTGTGCAGACTCTGTCGCTTCGTCTCGGCATTATGAAAAGGATGGCGTGGGGACTATCGCGCTTACGTATACGTCGGTTTGAGTCCGTTCCCGAGTATCGATGGCGATGCTGGATCGATGATCCTGACAGTTGGTCCTCTAGGTTTAAAGACAACTCGTTCATCCATAGTGTGTCTTACACGCGATCACATCTAGAAGTTGTGAGTTAACATGCCACGCCCGAAACGCCGAGAGTTTGTTACTTCACGTTAGGCCCGACAGGCATCGGCGCTCACCGCGGCGATTTTCGCGCTGACCGCGGCGTTGCGAAGGTCGGTGTATGATGGATTCCATGCTCTCCTGGAGGCCGAGTATATCTTCAGCGAAAGGACGCCCGAACCGGAGAGTTTTATAGAGGAGTTGGTCGAGAGAACAACATGCGTGTGCACTCCAAGCTTTCGGACTTTCAGGCACGACACACGATATCGAACCTTGGAGCATCTTATTGCGTTACCTCACATGCCATCATTAAACCCTCCTCGTCCGGGTAGCATATGTCGCAGCGCTGCATCGACCGCCTCGCGTACTATGCAAGTTTTAGTAGTGGAATTCGGTATTCGACATGGCAGATTCTTCTACACCGAGAACATCGCATTCCAGACTACATAACAACTCGAGCTCTTCAAGTTACATGTCCTCATGTAACATTCCCACGCAAGTGCCTCCCAACAGAGGACAACAAGGCACCCCTGTTGTTGAGGGACCCTATGCATCAGCGTGTGCCCGTAGGGAGTGCTGCTCTCTATCGTCTACGTCTATTCTCGTTCTGTAGAAAACTTCGAGCGTATACTGGAACCACAGCAACAAACTCCTGTTAAAAAATGGCGGAAAAAGCAACCGAATGCTCTGTACCTATTTGCATGATGTGCAGTTCATAACGATCGGCTTGTGTGGTGTTCACTAGGAGGCAATTTTTGCAGTCGATGCGCGTCTCGTTGTCCGAGGTGAAATAAAAGACCAGTGAACGGATCGCTAGTTTTAGAATATCTGCGGCAGATATGGTCCCTACTTCGTACCAGCATAGCCGGCCGCCCCCACGCGACGCTGGCGCGTAAGGACCTGTGGGGGCGCTTCACTCGACGCTTTGGAATAATTTATGCTTGTGTCAGATGTTTGATTTCTGCGCAGAAGATTCGATTGAATAAGCCCGCGGATACTTGGAAGTAAGCTATCGGATATTTGAGCGACAGTCGGAGATTTGAGATGCACGAATTGGGCGGATATGAGAATGACCCTAGTCGGAAATTTTCATGCGGTGTGCCGGATATTGCACGTGACCGGATCGGATGATTGCGTGCGTATCGGAAATAACCCTGACGCGTCGGATATTCGCATGCGGTTGGCCTGAAATAACAGTGCGTAAGTCGGAAACATGAGCGGGAAACGTTGTAGTTAGTTGGCATGTTCCCACGCATGAAGAATGTTTCTATCCAAGTCAGATCGTGCTTGGTTGCTCAACAGTTGTGGGTGTTGGGAATTCGAGTTGGACGAGCTCAGCGGAGATCGTGGTCCATCCCGTAACACGCATGTGTGTATGTTGAACAACAAGTCTGGCTGGGGAGGGTCGATGAAACACTAAGGTTGGAGGTGACGTCTAGACAACCAACACTACTAATTTTGCTTTAGAGTCGCACGCATGTTCTTCTTATGAAGGCGCGCGCAATCCTGTGGTTCTTCTTTCGACCGTGTCCAATGAATTATCAAGACCCGCTCAGGACGCCTGAGCGTGTTCGTTCTGTAAGGCCGCACCTCCATATAATAATCGATGTTCAACAGGCCCAGGACTGTCCTATCAACATCCTTGTATGAGAATCCTGCTGCACATCCTACTGCCCATTCGATTGAACGATTGAGCTTGAATGTCGACTTACCATATTGGTGTCCTACTAATCGGCTTAGTTTTCATGAGGTCAGTGAAGCGGCCAATGGAGGTGTCGCTTTCCCATTGTGTAAAGGGCGCGTTAGCGAGATCGTAGTCAGAGTTTCATGCTTTTCTCGCATCTCTAATCGTGGGCCCCTCAAACAGTGCGTAAAGTTGACGGTCTTAAAGGTACGATGGGTCCTCCTCTAGCACGACTCTCGAGCTCCGGTAGCGGATTCAGGACGTGCAGCCTTCTGTAAGCGTGTGTCAACTTTAACCTCTCTTTCACCATGCTTCCTCCCCGTAATGGCATGTAGTTTGTTATGGGCGCTATAGATGATTTGAATCAACATCGTACATTAGGTTAGAATTCTGTGGGCCCGAAGGTGGTATTGGATATTATATTTCCAGTTTGGAACAACTCGCTTTACAGTCTTTGTGACGGCTACTGCGGACTACGCTCGCTTCCCTTTCTACACTACATAGAAATTCATTTGGAGGATACAGCCGCTATGACCGCGGGGGATAAGAGCTCACATACACGAGTAAGCACCCTGATTTGACGCTTAGATGTGATGGGTGCATCATATTAGCAGTGATTAGGGAAGTCAGTTTAGCGACGCGGTTCGAATTCGGGCCACAATATGATGGTTACACGATCAATTTCGCCGATAGGGACATCGAGTTCGAGGGCCACCTTGCCTTGCCATTTTTTGGTGAGTCAAGGCTGACACGAGATCTTCTATTGATATTTCTAATAATATCCGATACTACTTACCTTCGCTCCGCCATGGTAATTGTCATTGGCCGAGGTTGTTTGGGCAGTTAGCTTATACGGTCCTTGCCGACCAAAGTGAACGATTGGAGGTGAACCAAGGGCTCAAACGAACATGAGCGAATCCCAAAGTGCCTGTGGAGACCCTTCAACTTGAGGTTACCCTCGACTTGGAATAGAATCGACATGCCTGTCTAAGTGACCGGTTCCGGCACCAGATGCGTGTCTTCTACTTCACCAGGGCTACTTTCTGTGCCAAGGATGGAGAGTGGTTCCTCAGCATGTTGTCAGTTTCTTTACGTGTGTAAGCCTTGAGCTCAGAGTCTTTTCCGGCCCCCTAGCTTCCCTAGTGGTTTTTGGACATGCTGAATTCAGAAGATGCTTCTTCACCTAAGCAGGACGTGACATTGCCCGAGATGCCCGATCGTCTGAGCCCTCGGGCTGGTGCCGATTCTGCACACAACAGCGAATCTACTGATTGGCAGAGCCATGCGTCAGAATGGGAGTCTGCCAGTTTATCTGATGACGAGGTCGATCATACTACAAAGTGCGACGAATGCAACTCCCCCATGGACGGCAACGCTAGTGCCCACGGCACCGCTAATCTCGACGGTACGCGACTTGCTGCACATTTTATTCCAATCGATGCCCCCCCTCCTCCTCGCAGTTACTGTGACCACTCAAGAATACAAGAAGCTTTTCCGATCAGCATCTATCGATTAGTAATACCTCCTCCAGCGCCCCTCTTACCCTTCCACAGTTGTTGCCTGCCTCAGTAGAGGCGTCAATTGGTATGCAGCAGTAGGCGATCCGGACACCCGAAGGCCTGGTATGCGCAAGTACACCACATTTTCAGTTCGGGTAGGAGAAGCTGTTCGCTGCCAGCTCTCCCATGCTGTCTACAGATAACCGATTCTTCTGGCCGAGTCACCTCTGCTACCCGTAAGAGATTCACCGACTTCACTGTGTTGAGGCGTGAGCTCGTACGTAATGGGATCAGCCGTGCTTTGTTGGATGAAGGAATCTCCTTCTCAGGTTAAAGCATATCCTGGAGCGTTCGTGCCTCCTCTGACCTGTGAAAGTCAGATCAAGGTGATGATGAAGACAGCCCCCACAGCGATGATGCAGCACATGAAACCAGTCGACAATGTCACCGAGATCAGACGTCAAGCACTAGATGAATTCCTCAGCAGGTTCGAAGAAACTCTGACAAGGCTTCATCTCATCGTTGTGGTGTAGGTGTTGTTCGCGCCCCTTTATAATGTACTCGCCCGTAATGGCCGCATTCCTGGCCACTCCTGAGAGCACCTATGACGCATTGAGAAGAGTATAATGAACTTTATTACGTGATGCAGTAATTCCATCGGTCTCAGGATTTCTCTAACCGGGCTCCTGAGGAAGTTCTGGACGAGTACAAGGTAGCGTTCGCAGTGAGGTCCATCCCATCGTAAGATCTCTTTGATGCGCTAGCTCTTCCCTAGGATATAACCTTTAGGTTCAACAGACGTCTGGTCGGGTCCAATGGTGAGGTTGAGGGGCTCACGAAAGACGGTTCTTCCGACGACGCTTCTCATCAGAACTCAACTGATGGCGTTAACGAGTAGGTTCTTTAACTGAGATTCTCTACTGGATTGGTTTTTGTTTTAGTGCCGCTGTTGACAGCTCTATCAACGTGTCGGAGATGATAGCGACTTCGGAATCATACCTCGCCGACCATTGTAAAGTTCTTAATCAGCTCCGCACAATGCTGCGAACGGCGGCCTCTAACTTCAAGTGTGCTAACGCAGCCTTGAGTACAATTCATTACAAGTTTTCCGATTGCGAGACCATCGATGAGCAGGGTTCCGGCCATGTTCTGGCTCTTGCACAGGGTCTATCTGGTACCCCCCAGAGACTCAATTTGTCTGACGCTTTCTTCGAAGTCAAGAATATCATCAGCGCCCCAGCAGATGCGGCACACTTCGATCTGCTGGCCTCTGCCCTGAGTCGCGAACTCACAGACTGTTCGGCTATGAAGGCCTCCCTTGAAAAGGTGCTCGAACTTGGGAAGCACCGAGATAAAGCTATTGCAAAGCTTCGCTCCGCTAGGAAACATGGAGGGCCCGGTGGTGTTGGCGGGATCATTCGTGGCACCACCAGAGATCAGGTGAAGCATGCGGAGATCAACCGAGTTTTGTACGCTGATTTCTACTGGACTGCCGGTTACAACGCTGTCATGAACGAGGTGCCAGCTTTCATGGAAGGTCGAGCCCAAGTTTTCAACGAGGTTGCTCGAGAATTCGTCTCGCGATCTGAAGCGACTAGCAGAAGCTCGGCCGTGACCTGGGCTGGGAAGATGAAGGAGGCCATTCTGTAGATATTATCATTCTAAAGATCCGTGTTCCTGAATATTCATTTCTCTTAGGGGTCCCTATGGGTTTCCGTCTCATGCTGTCAATTATTAACTGGGAGTCCCGAATCTCTCTCGATCGGCCATGGTTATTCACGAGTCTCGAACACCTCTACTGGCTGATGATGACGGAATTCAAAGGCACTACAATTTCCCCAGGCCGGCAATGTTTGCCCTTGTGTGTGAGGTTCTCTCTAGTTGAACGGCCCACCACTATGTCCAACATTGCTAGAAACGGATGCTGTCACGATGTGCATCATATGAGTCGGTGTCATCCCGTGGACGCTCAGGTGCCGAAGGTACATGTCGAACTCCCCAATTATTCTCACACAAAAGCTGTACAATCAGAACACATGGAGTTAGAAAGTAGCCGCACGCCGGAGTGCAAGCGTTCCTGCTTGGCGTTGTCCAAGCATAACTTTATGTGATTAACTACATTTGTATTCACAATGCAGACGGTCCCAACAGTATTGCGTTAAAACAGTTTCAACGTGGCTGGAAAACGTATGCCGCAGGACTCTTTGAATCGCGGAGAAAAACCTTCTCACCACCTCGAGCTAAGGAGCTCATCATAACGCTTGCGTCCGTATTGACAGAAAGGATGACTGACAAATAACAAACTAATAGCCCTGACTGAGGATGTTCCCGAGAGGGAACGGACAGGTCTATCATTGGTTTACCGTCATAGACAAGATGATCTTCGGGGACTTCATCGTCAGGCGAGATGAAACTCAGCAGACATTCAGGCTGAATGTCTGTGCTGAATGACTCAGCAGAAGTCCGGCAATCTCTGATGACGATCGCTCGTAAACTACCATCCTCCTTCCTATACAGTACTTAATGCCTATGAGTTTTATTATACCCAGTACTATCACTGCTGCCAACACAAGTACTCGAGCAAGGGCGAGTGGAAACGTCGTCATCCGCATGTGGCGGAAGAGTATGTGCTAATTCTATTATGGGCATCAATCGTATAGAAGAGAAAATATTCAACCTCCGTAGCTGCCGGGCATGGGCATGGATCGGGGAGGACCACCACCGCGCCAAACCGCAAGGTCCGCAGGGTAGGGACCAGCCCAGCTGTACCTGCAGGTTGGTCCTTGTCTTGCTAACCGGAAGCAGCTACTTACATCCGAGTGGTCCCAGGTTGAGGCTCGACAGTTGGATAGTAATAACAAGGATATGCTTGGTACTGCTGCTGATGATGAGGCGGTGGTGGGTACAGCATAGGAGGCAGGGCAGGGACTGGACCCGCATCCATGTACAGTCGCTGAGGTAAGGGAGGATGGTAATACGGCTGGGACCAGGGGTATCTGGGAGGAGCCAGATTCTGACAGAGAACCACGAGCCCTGGCCACTACCCTTCCGGGGCGCTAAAGCCTGTCGTGCGAGTGTCGTCATCACTGTTGTCACCATAGTACTTGCTAGGGTCGTAGAGGGGCCTGTCTGAGCTGCCCGAACTGTGCTCCTCTGGCACATCAGGACCAGCATTTGGTGTCGTTGGCTTGTCCCCACTCGGCCGACGAACCACACGATGATCTCGACTATGACGGGGAGACTCAACGATCTCCACCTTACTCATACTGCTGTACCTATAACGAGGCCCAAAGGGACCAACAGGAGCCGAGAGGAGCACTTCCTGATGATGTCCTCTATCGACATGCTTCCTCTCGAGGACATGCTGTTCGACACGACCGGAGGAGGGGGTGGGGCCTCCGCTGCCTGATTGGTGTTTTGCATGAACAGTCTGGAGGACGGCAGAGAGTCCTCATGGGGCTCGGGCTGATGGTTTTGGCTGCTCGCCAGCTGGGACTTCTTGTCAACTGCTGAGTCATAGGCCAGGGAGAGTCTTGACTCGCTCGGTTGGGGCCGCTCCTTTGGGGGTATATTGGCAGGCTCATTGACACCAGCGAAGCTCACCGCCCGACGCGAGATCCTGCTTTGCTCCGAATGGACCCCCGAGGGTTCCGTCGGAACGCCTGAGAACGGACAAACCACGCGTGAAATAACCCCGCTGGACCACAGTACCTTTAGGGGCCCGCGATGAGTCCCATGGGTTGATGAGGTCCGCAGCAGCAAGAGAAGCCTCCTCGGTGGCCCCAACTGTGGCAGTAGGCTCAGCAGCCTTATTGGCAGCCTCGAGACTACTGCGCAGAATACTCTGGCTCCAGTTGGTATACCTACGAATACACTTCCGAGCCCCGGACAATGAGGCGACTCACTTCCGTGCAAGCTCGGCGCTTCGTCGTTGCCAGCCTTCGTCCTTGTCAACTGATGCCCGGCCCCCGACCAAGCACGCCGACGAGTCGTCCCGAGCCAGAGCAGCCAGTAGTGACCCACGCGACTTCCTAGCGGTACTCAATAGGCTGGAACGCTGCAATACCAGGGTGGGTACAACAGCTGGACTACAACAACAAGGCGGCGGCGGCCTACCAGCTCAGCCTCTCTGCTGGTCATCATGCTGGACCTCTGCTCCGTATTCCTGAGCTCTGGTGAGTCAGACTGCTGTTGCCTCTTTCCAGGCTCCGTCCGCCGCGTTGGCCCCTTCCTAGCACCACCTCGAGAGCGGTCCCTCGACACAGGTTTGGCTAAGCGAGAGGTGACACGAGGAGACCATTGGTAGTAGCTACCCGACGGGGGTGGCTCGCGGGACTTGGATCGGGCCGGCTCAGCGTCTTTGATTGCCCCCTGCTGCCTCCGCGTCTGTGGCACCGACCGGCTCCTCTTACGAGAGCCGCCGCCTCCTCCTCCTCCGGTCCGCTTCGGCTGAGGCTTCACCACAGTGGTCCGAGTTGTGCTAAGGTCTCGGACCGCGGTGTCGTCCTCCGCAAAGGTGGACCGTACAAAGGCCTCAAGAGCAGTGTTCTTGGCCCTATGTCGGCGAAAGTCAACAGGTTGGCGCCTGGGGAAGCGACCAATCAGCAGGTCCATGCGGGAGACTCACGATGCATTACTTGGTCATGAACACTTTCTGACACACTCTTTCATGAACAGCAAGCTTCTCGCGAGACGCGAAGGTTCGACCGCAATGGGAGCATCTGTGGCTCGTCGATACCTCCCCGGCCGAACCCGCATTGTTGCTCGGACTAGGCATAAGGGATAGGACTGGTCGATGAGAGGTCTTAGGGGAGCGTCCTAAGAGGGTAAGAGTCTGACGATGAATACCTGCCACCCAGAGGGGACCGACTTGGTATTCTGCTGGGGCCCGTCCCCGCTACTGTATCGCTATCGGAGCCTCGGCCGGACCCAGTCAGAAGGTCTGGGCATGCACTAACCTGGTCGAGGCTATGGGGATAGATACCCCCCGCAGGGGATGTAGTAGTGGTATAAGGCTCCTCGGGTAAAGGGTCTAGCACGCTGAGGTCCTTGAGGTGTGACACGTGGTCAATGCGGCTGATAAGGTTGGAGTCTGGGTCTCGGACAGAGAGCATCATCGATGTGCAATTCATCATCTCCACTGTACAACTGGTCGTAGAATCTCGTGCGGGGAGTCGGCCGTGACGAGCTGAGAAAGCCCGTCGACTGGCCCATGTGACTTGCCAGTCCGGGGGCGTTGGTCCTGTGGGCCCTGCAGGGACGACAAGCCCTGGGTCCTCAGTGTCTGAAAAGGGACGGAGCTGAGCACGTGTACGCCGTTGACCCATACTGCTTGATCGAGAGGACCCAACGCTGGCCAGGAAGGTCTCTATCTCAGCGTCCCAGTCGACGACCTCTGCCTCAGGTATGGCCGTCATGGAAGGTGGCGAAGCTAGGGCGGTCCGCTGTGGGCTGCTACTGGCCTTCTTGCCCAAGCTAGACACTCGTTTGCCGAAGAAGGCCTCCAAGTTATCCCCAGAGGAGGTGGACGGTGATAGCGACGTGGATGGGTCTCGGACCACCTGACTAGTCCATGCGGCCGGGTCAATGGGCGAGGGGCTTACCATCCCTGAGGAGGAGTCGAGGGAACGGTTGGACTTGCCAAAGTCCGGTAACTTCATCGGGGAGCCGCCAGGTGGGACCTAAGGGCCATGGCCATCTCTGGGTATGCCTAGTAAGGGGCACTTTCTCGGCTGCTGCCGTGACCCGCTCGAACGCTTCCATTAAAGGGTTGCTGCTGGCCCCTCCATGTAGGGCCGTGGGAATAGCGGGGGTGACGAGCAACGGTACTTGTGGGGTCTCATGCAGGAAAAGGGTCTGCCCACCGGTGCCAGGCGTTGCCTTGGTGCCCGACTGTTGAGGCCCTTGTTGCTGCTGTGGTAGGGGTAGGGCAGGCCCTGGTACTGACTACAAGCCAAAGGGGTCCACACCACGATGGCTCACTATACGGCATTACATGTAGAGACATTGGAGTTCGCATGAGGTCCTCCTCTGTCGCAGCATCGCCCAGTGCGGGACCATCGAGGGCCGACAATGAGTCCAGAGAACCGTCATGGGTCCGCGCGGTCAGCAAGGACCCAGATCGAACCCTATGTGTACCTAGGGGAATTTGGAAGGGTTCTACTATGGTCAGGATACTACAAGTGAGCATATGGTTCTTGACATCGGCTTTGGTACGGAAAGCCTTACCACACCGGGGGCACTCTGTCATAGTAAGGCAGTCGAACCTACAGGGGCAGGAGGCGAGGAGCCATGGGCCGACCCTACGCTAGTACTGAGTGAGGTCATCCTCTTTGTGAGGGGTGGGCTTGGGGACTTGAGGGGACGCGTCGCCCAGGTCCTCCTCATCTACGGCGAACACTCGATAGTACTGAGTCCACCCTGTTGCCTTACCAGAGTTGGGGTCGTTGAGACCAGTTGCTTGACGATTGGTCGGGGTACCCTCAACCGCAGTGTCCTCTACAACAAGTCATATTCAGTGAGGTCCAAAAGGGCTTACGGTCATCGGCATCCTCCTCACAGGCTAGCTCGACAGGTTGGTCCTCTCTAGACGACAGTAGGCCCTCCTGGCTACCCTCCAACCCAGCTGCGAACTCAGCAGTGGAGGAACCCGGTGAGATGGTCATGAGGGTGTGGTTGCCTTCACGGAGGATCTTCCTAAGGCTCCCCGATCGGCCGCTCGACTTGCCAAGTACTCGGCTCGGTGTAACTAGGTCACTGCAGGACAGCTGACTGCCATCCAGGGAGCCGGGGGCAGGGCTCTGATCGTTGCTAGGCTGAAGGACCAGAAGGGCACTGATGGTAACAGCCGATGAGGAAGGGCTCACTGGTGTCCGCAAGCTAGGGAAAGCCTCCCCCACAGGGTTGGCACCAGTAGTAGAGGGAGGAGTGTTGTCCGCATCAAAGCCCAGCTTACGAACTACAGAGTCCGGTGAATCTGCAGGGTAGCTTGGCAAGACCATCTACTGACCCACTGTACCATCATTGCCACCGCCGGTAGCACCCCCATTGACCTTCCGCTGGCCCGTGACTGCCGCTACAGCCCTCGTGGTCCTCTGGTTATTCACCTCAGCCCTAGCTGGACCTGGGACCGACACAGAGCATCATCCAATTCCAGAGCAAGCGGCGAGCCCCAGCTTGTTATGGTTTCCCATACCCCATGTATCACCTGGAGACGTCCCTACCGCTGTAAAGGGAGATGCCATAAGAACACTATCATCATCGAACCTGTGGCTCGGACGCCCTGGCGGACTGGTCGTGTTGGCCAGACTGGACCGAGCTGGAGGGGCCTGGCGGGGCTGTGTTGCCAGGTTAGGCGCCGTCCACGGCGTTGTATTGTGTAGACCAGCAGTAGTGCCTAATGGCCCCCCATGATGAACAGGAGTAAAGGAGGGCAGAACCCCTTGGGGTGTATGCTGCAGCGGGTGCTCTGTCATTGGACAACAACTACATGCGGTACGGCGGGCGAACTCGTGATTAACCACTACATAACACAACGCAAGTGGGTACACCTGGTGAGACCCCACATGCCAATCAATTGCAACCCTCAAGGAACCCCCTGCTTCGCTCCGTCGAGAACTCTCCGCTGTCTTAAACGACGATGTCTGAGCTAGTGGCCTCCAAAAACCTCTCCTCACCCTCACCGAGACCAGTCGTCCCGCGAAACAGCCGACCAACAATGAGGGAATCTTGAAGGAGCGCAGCGCTGTCGCCAGCATGTCGAGTGCTAGCCCGACTTGCCAGTCCAAGCTTGTCAATATAGCTGTGCTGGTTCCCTAGTACAGTGATCACCCTCAGAGTCGTGACCGAGTACGGTCGATCCACCGAGTTGGAGAACCCATAATAGTGCCTATACTACCGTGGCATTCGCTAACACCAAGCGAGCACTGAGAAAAGAATCAGTCCCGAGCACACAGCGGACTCTGCCAATGTTGCTCAAGGTCCTTGAGTCAAGTAGCCAGCTTAGGTAGACTTTGCAGGGCAGAGGGGTCCTCCCATCCAACACCTTGGGCCCAGACAAGAACAAGTACTTCGGCATCAGCGCTAGAGCAGACGTACAGTGGGATGCCATGAGCAGGGCGGTAACAGTGGCAAGATCCCTGGTATCGGCTCCTGTGGCACTCGACCAATAGGAAGGCTGATAGTAGGGCATCCGAGGACATTAAGTCCAGTTCACTGACGGCCTAAGGTATGATATACACAGCACAGTAGCAGATCCCAGGTACAGCATAAAGAGCTGCATCGTTAACCTATAGGGCAACACCTCCTACAGAGCAGTGGACCACAAGTTGGTCATCTTGCGCCTGCCAGGATGCTCCAATGTGACTCGTTCGAATGAACGAAACATACCCTTTGGACCTGCCTGACTACATTGTAGACGCCTGTCGCATTGATAAGTGCTGACACTAGCTGACGAGCTGAGCCCAGTGGTCCAAGAGGCACGACCACCACCACTCCAGTCTGCTACTATATATGGGTTATAGACTACCTCGAGGCGCGCCACAAACTCCAGTTACGTGTAGGGGTGGGCATTGGACCAGAAGGGACACATGGTCATGGCCACACCTACCTTCGCGACCATAACGAGATTCGTTACCTTAGTTGATCATGGCCGCAGGTGTTGCCATCGAGACCTGACCATGTAGTGCATCTATAAGAGCCTCCTGAGCCTCTCCGTGAGAGCATTGTCAGTGATCTCAAGGCTCGGGGGATCAAAGCGGCCAGCGTATCGAACAGCGAACAGGACTGGAATGGTGAGAGAGAATGCTTGCTTTACAGAAATCGGGGTGACGTTCGAATTCTGAACGAATTCAACTTTTGAACTTCCGAAGTTGCGCAATTTCATGCCAGCAGAAGGCTACGTAGAAACTACTGTGACGCGGAGGGGAAGGTTGGGAACAGTCCCTATCGGAAAACACCAGTCCCCTCCATGTCTGCTGGGGCGCACTATCGTGCCAAGCGTGTGCCCAAGTTGTGGAAGTACCATGGAGACTGCCTAGTAGTCTGATCAAGACGTTGAGCTTGATGAGTATTCGGTAGTAGACCCTATAGACTTTTGCTGAGAACACTCTCAGGATTGGAAATTCCAATTTGGAATCAACGGGTCAACTCGATCCTGGGAGGGGCGCTCTTGAGACTCAGAGGGGATCTATGGAGCTCGTGCCTATGCTGTAGGCATATGAGACTGACCAATAATCGTTTTATCAGAAATGCGCAGAATAGGGACAGGATATTTCGTGCAGAGTGCAGGAATAGTGACGGGCCTCGAAAAAAAGTGATGGAATCTGTTTGGCCTCCCGCAGTGCTATCACGTGTCCAGTTCGCGCACGCATACATATTCCCAAATTAGAAATCCGAAATTTGCTTTCCAAATTAGTGGCGCTATTGGACGGGAATTTTTTGAGGTCATGTGTGCCCAAGACGATCTAGGACGCACTAAGATTGATCCACATACTAAACGCATGTTGTAGCACCGAATAGCACGTACAGTAGCACACGCCTACAACAGTAGGGTCATACGGCGAGAGCAGTCTGTGACGTAGATCACTAAGAGCCAGCCAGTGATCTACGTCACAGACTGTACGTCTCGTGGAGCAATCAATACTACCACTTTTCTCTAACACCAACTTCCTCACACGTCGTGATTGCCCATACATACTGTGTATAACATCGCGATATGCATCCCTAGTATAACAACAGTCGCCGTTGGTGGTTCTGTTACTCTTGAACCTACTACGACGAAATCATACGTGGCGTCACGTAATGGTGACGTGAAGGAGTACCACGCCTTTACAGCATGATGATCATCCTCTTCAACGTTGATATATTTCCCATCATATTTCCAATGCCCCTCAAGCCACGCAATCTCAGTGACGACTCGCGGTTCTTCATGACGACCGGCTTGGACCGTCCCGTGGTCAATGGGGTAGTAGGCCGTCGGACCGTGCTCCTGTCTACTCTCACCTGGTTCCTGTCAGTCCCCCGCCTTGGCCCCTTGCAAAGCCGAGCTTCACCTACCAGATGGGCGTATCGAGGAATTGCCAATATTGGAGGTGGGGCCAACAAAGTGTTTATTATCGTTATTGGCCTTCACCCTCAGGGCACTCACGGTGACCAATTCATCGACATTCGCAACCTAAGTACTCACACTGGTATGTTTGCCTTCGACCCTGGTTTCTCTTGCACGGCCTCTTGCTCTAGTGCTATCACCTATATAGACGGCCCGAAAGGTACCTCATCGTGTTGGGCATTCACGTATCGCAGACCCTCAGGCACGCTCTTGTATCGAGGGTATCCCGCTGCGGATTTGGCTGAACACTCTGACTTCTGTGAGGTCTGTTTCCTGTTACTCAACGGGAATCTGCCCTCACGTACACAGTATAAAAAGTGAGGTCTCGCCCGACATTCATTGATCACGATATTTGTATTAGATTCGATGCGGCCATGAAAGGGCACATGATGGTCCACGAGAAGTTCAAGGAATTTTACGGCGGCTTTCAGGTAGTGTGGCTGTTCCGTGATAGTGGTCCTCGATCCGGCCCTTCAGTCCTCGGCCCATCCGATGGCTATCATGGTCGCCGTAGTGGGAGCGATGTCGGCCTTCTACCATGATAAACTGGATTGGAAGAATCCTGCCCATCGCGATATGGTGGCCCTCCGCATAGTTGGCAAGATGCCCACACTAGCGGCTATGGCCTATAAAACAGCCATTGGGCAACCTATAGTTTACCCCAAGAAGAAGTACAGTGTGGCAGAGAACTTCCTCTATATGATGTTCTCGACTCCTATGGAAGAGTAAGGGGCCCTTCAAACAGGGACGAGTATGGTTAGCGTAGGTACGAGATCAATCCAGTTTTCGCCAAGGCCATTGACAAGTTCCTCATATTGCATGCTGATCATGAGCAGAATGCCTCAGCAGCTACGGTAATGGCTTAGTGGTATATCACCGAGTCATGTATTGAATGTTCTAATCCCGCATAGGTTCGAATCGCGGGGTCGTCACAAGCGAATCCTTATGCATGCATTGCTGCTGGTATCGCCTCTCTATGGGGACCAGCCCATGGGGGTGCCAATGAGGCCGTCATTGACATGCTCGATAAGATCGGCACTAGAGACAAGATTCCACAGTTCCTCGCCGACGTGAAGGCCAAGAAGGATGGCGTTCGTCTGATGGGATTCGGTCATCGCGTATATAAGAATTTTGATCCGCGTGCTACGTATATGAAAAAGTTGACCTACGAAGTGTTGGAGGCCTGTGGTTATCGTGACGATCCTCAGTTGATGTTGGCCGTGGCCCTGGAAGAAGCCGCTTTGAGCGACCCTTACTTTGCCCAGAGGAAGCTATATCCAAACGTGGACTTCTATTCGGGCATAATGTTGAGGGCCATAGGATTCCCAGTGAGCATGTATACGGTATTGTTTGCTATGGCGCGGTCTATTGGATGGATAACTCAGTGGAGAGAGATGGTGTCGGAAGGTCACTTAAGAATTGGCAGGCCTCGGCAGATCTATGTTGGCAGTAGGATGAGGGAGTACGTGCATGATATGGAGGATCCAGACCACCCAGACTCGGCCAGTGAGGCGTCCCTCGAGGGAGAGGTGGCCTTTGATATAGACAAGTATGAGAAATTGAAGCGTTTTGGAGAGTTCACCAGCCCTAGGCAAAAACGTTAAGACTTGTCACCTCTGCTGTCAATCAGCATTTTTACAATCACTACGTAGCAATAGACAACTATTGGTAGTGGGAATCCGCCACGACGTCCTCCCCTGCTTTACTTACATTTTTTATCATAATCTTGGTAACATTGTAGGACGTCAAATTGGTTAGAGAAATGGCGGGTTACCGTATTGATCGTTTCCAGTTATATTTATTCCGTTTCGGCAACCTTTAGATTCAACAGCTTCGGTTCGGGCTGGTGAGGGGGTCTCGGCCGAAGGTGCCATGCCGTGCTGCCGAATCTTGGTATGGTTTCAAACGTCTGGTTTTGTGTTGGAGATTTCAATTATGAAGTAGTCGTATTGTTGTCATGCCGACTGAGTCTGAAGACGGCTCAACAGGGCGTCGATCCGTGGGAGGAGCTGAGGAGCAAGGCAAGGGTGAAGAGGCACCTCGAGAGGAGAGCCAAGGTCGACATGATGATGGCGACGACCATAATGATCACGAAGAGCTTCCAGATGATGCAGAGAAATGGGAAGAGCGTCGCCGTGACGATAGTGCGGACCGACCTCAGGGTAGTCGTGCAGGGGTGGATCGCGATGATGATGACGATGTCGAGCGTGAAGGTCGAGGTGATGACCGAGACAAGCGTGAGCGTCGGCACGGTAGAGAAGACCATGCACGTCGTCCTCGTCGTGATGAGGACGACCGTGAGAGCCGTCGTCATCGTGATATAGAAAGAGATCGCCATCACCACCACCAGTCTCGTCATCATCAACATCGTAGAGATTCCCCAAGCCGATCCCGGTCCCGTCCCAGACGTCCTTCGAAAAGGGACGCTAGTCGGTCCCCCCCAGCTGTCAATGGTACTCGGGCCAGGACCAAGCGGTCGCGGGATGAGGAGGAGTATTTGAGGTTACAAAAAAAGGGTAGAGAAGATGACTCGAGACGAGGACATGAACATCAGAGTCGATCGAGGGCCTCCCGGACGGTCCTCATTGCGCAGTTGGGCATGGACGTGACCGACCGGACTGTCTATCTCGTCATGAGTAAACAGGCAGGGAAAGTCAGAGACGTACAGATTATTCGGGATGGTCGCTCACAGAGGTCCAAGGGGATCGCCTATGTGGAATTCGAGGATCAAAATAGTGCAGTGAAGGCACTGGGAATCGAACCCACCTCCTTGTGGACCAAACTAGGCCATGGAGCTAACATACAGCCGAGTCAGGCTGAGAGGAACCTCTATCCGAGCCAGAGCGTCAGCAATGCATACGGGGAAAGGGTGAACGAGTGCAGGTACGAAGCCTCCCATCTCGTATGCTCATCTGCTGCCCTCAGGCTGTATGTGGGGGGTAGTGCCAACCTTGTGGCCGACCTTAGTGAGGACGATCTACGAGCACTTTTCCAACCGTTTGGTAGTAGTCTCGGGGGATCTGGATGGCAGCGTACTACATAGGTCCACTCGATTTCGTTGACCGTCATCCTCGAAACCAAGGGGAAGGAGGAACATATGCGTTTGTGCAATATGGGGATTCTGAGCATGCTAGGAGTGCCCTCAAGGGCCTCAGTGGTAGGGTCCTGTAGCGTAGGGATGTAGTCAGAGGGCCGTTGATCAGGAATGATGATTGGCGGTAAGGAGCTCAAGGTTGGTATGGCGACCTCAGCTGCATCAGCAGGCTTGTCGTCGTAATGGGACGGGACAGCGGGGTCGGCGGTCTACTGCTATGCTTAGGTCCTCGGTGGTCGTAGGCGCGAATACAGACCTTGATCTTGTGGAGGATAATGAGGAAGGGCCGTCGACCCACACGGGGCTCCTCAAGGATAACCTCTCTCGAGCTCGGCTCATGCGGGCTATGGTCCGAGAGCCCATCGCGGAGGGCAGTTCCCTTCTTATGAAGTCGGCCACGAGGCTCCCGGCATCCAACTTGGCCTCGGCGGCATCGGGGGCGGCTACTGGTACTGGCAGCCGAGTATTGATCCTGCGGAACCTTTGGGCTGCGGGGGATCAGCTGATGAACGAGGGTGGTCCTGAGAAGTTCTTTAAGGAGATCACCGACGACGTGAAGTGAGAGACATGTGGTATGGTGGTCAGCAGGGGTTGTCCTTGACAGGTCTGAGGCTAAACGTTTTGGTACGATAACGGGGTGCTGGCTGGACGAGGCCTCAGAGAATGGCGACTGCTGGTTGAAGTTCACCACGGGGGCCGCGGCTGCCAAGTGTTCCTTGGGCCTCAATCGGCGATGGTTCGCAGGCAGGCAACTGGTAACAGGGGCCTTGATTCGGCATCATCTAGTCGTTATCTTCTGACCCAACCCGAAGATGTGTGTATCCCCTGGGTCTCGGATATTCGGGCGAGAATGAGGAGGGTCAGTTCATGCAGCTATCTCCCAGGTCGGTCCAGAGATCAGTGATTGTTCTTAGGTGGCGGTTATAGTGTCAGAGGACAAATGGGAAGCGGGCCTTTGAGGTCATCGACAGACACCTCAACACCGACATTCGGCCTTTGTCAAACTACACTGTAAGAAGTATCGTCCAGAGGCTATTGCATGGCTTGCGTAACGAGGGCCTCTCACCGCATCGTTGGGCATTTGAGTTGGTCGTTCTCTTTCCCTCTTATGCCCCTCGTCGCCTCCATCGGCATCATTCGTATGAAAATGTGTGTCCTGTTACCTTGTTGGCCATCGAGAATGTTCCATGGGTCATCATCATCCACTTCCGTACGGATGAGCTATGATCCTAAGAACCTATATTAGGTCGCTTTATAAAGTTCATCCGGCTGTTACAACCATTACGGACAGTCGAAGGGACCTTTGGTGGGTCTATGAGATTCCCATCTGGTCACCTCCCAGCAAGTCTATTACTCTAGTTGGCAACTGACCATCTCTCCATGCTCAGTCTTTATTCGGCGTTGCTGCTCGTCCTTCCCAGAGGTTCTCATCACCTTGTTTATGGCCACCTATGGATAATCCGCCCCCGAGGGCTGCTGCATGCATTCACCCTACTTTCCTTGGTTGCTACCTGAGAACCCCATTCATAAGTCTCTCGTTACGAAGGGTGTCGAGTTATCTCCTACCACCGTAGCAACGGTACGTCCGAGCCCTCTACTGGATCGGTTCTATCACCATCTGTAAACAGTCGATTAGAGTAGGGTAGCGTTTTTTAGTTATGGTCGTACCCCAAAGGGCTCCCTCGAGTGCTATTGGGGTTATTCTTCTATTTCAGTGTTATTCGACGATATGTCCAACCACATCCACCGCAGTTCGGGTAGGCAAACGCCTGTCCCGATGGACATCAGCCCGTCTCCTATTCCCCGACGGGGAAGTGCACGACTCTCCCCCTCGGACCACCACCACCAGTCGACTACACTGCTGCAGATACCACGGCTACATGGCCTGGCCCGTTGCCATAGTCAGCCGGTCATTCCTAGTGTGGGGCGACTGGTACTCAAGCCGGCCAAGAGGCGGAGGGACTCTGTTGAGGAAAGAGAGAATGAGCAGGAGCTTGGGACGGCATCTGGCCCACGGCCCAGGAAGCTGAGGAGATCTGTCGTCTTGAAGGCCCGTAAGAATCCTGTGAAGATTGCTGGCAGTACCTCTGGGAAAAAGCGTGGGCGGAAGTCCATGGGGGTACAGGACACTCGAACTCCCTCCGTGGGGTCGCCGGCCGTGAGGCGGAGACTACTACCTTCTACTGGGGGTAAGAGGTCACGTCGAGGTAGCCTGGCCCCACAGCCGACCCCCGACCCTTCCCCTAAGGCTCGGCGACGGATTCCACCTACCTCTTCAGGGAGGAAGCGGTCTGTCAAGGAGAGTGAGTTGCCCAAGCCGTCACCGTGTTCATCGCCACCAACGAGGAGGAGAGTCATACCGCGTAGTGCGGGCAAGAGGTCACTGAAAGGCTCGCAGCAGCGCATGTCATCACCGAGGAAGAGGCGGAAGTCTGGCCACGGCCCTGAGAGGCGGCCCTCGCCCTCCCCTGGTCCACCTAGAGGGTCCACAGGCGGCAGTATAGCTCGAATGACTATCAAGATGCTGAAGGAGGAGTTGACCAGAGAGGGCATTGATTTCTCAAAGTGTGTCGAGAAGTCGGAACTAGTAGACAAGCTGAGGAGGGCTCGGCAGGGAAGGACACACCCTTCTGCTAGGGGCTCGGCGGCCCCCGCGGGGTCACAGGAGCTCCGTCCGCCCCGCAGATCTCTAAGGCTTAGTCAAGCGGCTGCGTTGCAACCGAAGGCCGTACTGAAGTCTCCATTGATGGTGGAGTTGGAAAGAATAGAGGGCTTGCCGTCGTCGGCGAAGGCGATGCAAGTACTTGGTCTGACGAAGCAACCGTGTACCGTTGGGGAGGTTAAGAAGAAGCTCAGGGCCCTGAGTAAAGTGCTCCATCCGGATAAGACCGCTAATGAGCCCCACCTTAGGGGCAGGGCGAGCGCGGCCTTCCAGCGTATCAACTCCGCAGCCCAGGAGGCTATCAAATTGCTCGAGGAGGCGACTACTGCCCCGCCGGGAAGAGTCCAACAATTGACCTATCATATGGAGGGGGAGGTGCTGATAGTCCAATGGCGACCTCCTACTGACGTCAGTAAGAGGACGTTAGTGGGCTCCTATCGTGTGGTGGCCTCAGCCTCTGGTACAACTCCTATCGAGCAAGGCGTGGTCAATGCCCAAGGGTCGACTACTGATGAGGGATGGGTTGAGTGTGCCATATCATCACAGGGTCGGAAGGGCAATGACATTCTATTTCGAAGGCAACAGTTCCACGTATCGGTAAGTGCAAGTAACTCCAGTGGCTCTGGCCCCTCGGCATCGCTGCATGTATGTACTAACAGTAGAAGGGCTCCCTCCAGAATCCCCCTTCCTCCTCCTACCCTAGATGGACCTAGAGGAGCCAACACTGGCTCCTATACCGCCGCGGCTCGGTCCCATGGCCTCGGAGGTCTGCGTCGTCACAATACAGTATTTTGAGGAGGCGTTAATCTGCAAGTATAATATCACTTATTACCACTACCTCTGACAACGTAACACTATCATTGATGTTTGCATCACACGACGACGGCGCTCTTTAGTTGCGTTCGTGTCAATAGCGATGATAGCAGTGCCTCACGCGAAATGGATTTTTTCCCAACTGTCGTCCAGCTGCGGACTATGTCCTGGGTCCCATGGGCCCTGTGTGCTGTCATGACCTCCATTGCTATCACGGGGATACTCTTCGCTACTTCAAAAATGGGGAAGCATGACCCTGAGCCTCTCTCTGTGAGACGTAGCGCTCGATTGAAAGAACGGAAAGTGGGCTAACACTCTGATGTCGTGAGTCGTTCATGTCTGTTTCCCTAGGGGACCACCGAGAGCGAAACCATCCCTACTGGGGGTAGTAGTGTCCTCAACACTATTGTTTCTGCTCATTTCTCCTCAGGCAGTAAGAGGACAATACTGTATTATGTGATCGTGACCGCTCTTATTGCGATGTTTGCTATGGTAAGGCAGAAATTACCTCATTGGCATTTTCTACTTCGCTCAGTTATCTGCCCTCCTAGTGCTAGTGGTCTCTCCTGAGGTCTCGGCCTTCATCAGTCTACATGCGGGATCCCTCTCGTCCAAGCTGGCGTCATTGTTGACATCATTCAAAATGGCTGTTGATGAGCTGTGAATAATTGGTGCATGCTTTCACTGTCTCCGTCACATCGTTTGGTTTAGAGAGTCCAATCTGTCCCATTTCTAGCAGTAGGGCGGCCCTTCGCCTATAGACCTGTTATCGTTTGCCGTATCGGGCTCCGATCAACGATTTGATCCAATGACCAATGAACGTGTGTGAGTCTCTTGCGCAGGGACACTCCAGAAAGTTCACAGGGACGTGTTCATTGGAAACTTACGTTGTGCTTTGGCTTGACATCCGTAAATACAACAAGTTTTTCCCACTTCACGTAACATAACTGATCCTAACGATCTTGGCATTCGATGAACTCCTACGTAGATGTGCTGCCTCAGTAGGCCTACCCGCCGTGAACGTGGGCCAGCTCCCCTTTCATAGCCTTCAGCTTGAAAGGCTCTCCGTCACTCCCTCCGATGAGGTATACCGTGTAATTGACTTCTAACTGAGAAACCAACAGGGAGGAGGTGCTTAAACTCGCCGTCCACCAACCCCCTCGAGTTTGCGAGTTTGGTGTAGAAGTTTAGCTAAACAGTACAGCCTCTTATCATCGCGAAGGTTCCTCTCGTATTTCTTTACAATTTCAGAGGTAAAACTGTCAATAAGTTGTGCCTTCAAGGAAGGTGGACTCCTCTTTGTGCGATCACTCGTCTTCGGAGATGTTCACATCACTTGGTTACCGTATTCTTTCACTACGTCCGCATCAGCTATCACGACAAATTCAGTAGTGCTTCTGAGAACACTAGAATTCGAGAGAGTATTGCCGGTTGGCATCACCTATTTGAATGTGTTGTACGCGCCACGTCCGTGACGCGCAATCTGCCTGATTCCTCTCGATGTCCGACAACAGTCTGCAAACGGGTAAAAGTTACTCAGTTCGGAAGTGTTATTCGTCGAGAACTCTGTACCTACGAGGGATTGTGGAAAGTGATGGTTTTTCTGATCGATTCATTGGAAGGCACATGTCTCAAACGGAAACAGTTCCGTGGGACGTCAGCAAGGCGATGAAGGCCAGAGGGTGGCTCAGCATGACATGTCTGCCCAGCGTTAATATACTGAACTCTCAGAGCGGTCTATAGGACAAAGCTCAGGAAATTCCGCCGCAGTAGTGAAGGATATCAGGAAGAATACTCTGTGGAAACGCACCAGCTTATTGCGTCACACCAGGCAAATCATATCCAACTTTCGGACAAGAGGCCTCTGAACGGCAGGGGAGCTTATTTCTCTTCCCAGACCCGCACTTTCTGTTAATATGGGATACGACAAGTCGCTACCAACGTGATCTATGGTGTGTGAAGGCTCAATAGATGATCAGCATAACCTCGGGGATGAGGGTATCGCACATTCATTCATAAATTCGTATTGGGACTCACAGAAGTGTACCATGCTGCAGACAACCTTAAACCGACACTAATGAGAAACGACAAGACAACATAGTGATGAAACATCAGGCATGCGAGTGGAGGCAAATTGGCATATAGTGAGGCACTAGAACGTAGCCGCTTTGCGACTAGCTGCCCTCCGAGGAGTAATGTAGACAAATCTCGACCTGGAGTCAAGAGACAGTTCCGATGGTCTAGGGGACGAACCCCTCGGTTGGAAACTTCTACGAGCGTCGGACTGACGACTTCCGAATAGCCATTGTATATTGGCCTTCTTGGATGCATCAGTGAGGAAAGGCAGGTCTTGTGATGGGTCGTGACGAAGTGGGGGCGTTGATGGTGTCGCGTCAGATAGCAGTGGTGCTCTGCAGGACGGGCCATGTAGCGTGGCGTGGCAGTATGGGCATTGCAATAAAGACATCAACGAGCCGGCCCACTACTGCTCTCACCGACCACGGTGATCCCAACTAACACAACATGGAGAAGGGGACAGTGAAACTGAGAATTGTGCACAGCTATTCTACAAGTTAGCTTTAATATACGTTCAAGTACCAGCAGCTTTGGCAGCCACCACCCGAGCCCGCTGAGTGGCCTCTTTCTTCGCGTATTGGATCCGTCGCCGATCGAGCTCCTGACGCTGCCAGTCGACCATCCGCTGTCGTTCGGCCCTCTCAGCCTCCTCAATGTCAACTGTAGAAGGCAGTGGTTCCCAGAGGAGCTCCTCTGGCATCTCTCTCATGGCCATTCGGACCACATCTCCTGGGCCGACTTCGCGGTCTCGCTTGTGGGCCTTGATCAGGCCGTCTATAGTGTGACGGTACATTCTGTTGCCTGACTTGTTCGCAAATGTACCGAGAGTCTGAAAACCGGTATGATCAACCACATGTGTTGGTGACAATATGAAAATTCTGAGGAAATCTGATATTTTCACCCGAATTTGTGTGTTAATTCCTATAGTCAATGAGGAAACTCCCAAACATAATCGAGGAAAGCAATCATATATTATCGCTTCAACTCCTCGAAGTCTCACCGGTTTCAGAGAAGTCGCGAACGTCCCTGGCGTGAGGGGAGAGTCACTCTCGAGAGGATATCGATCGTGTAGATAGTCTGCATAGGCCTCGAGTAATGCTCCTCGAGACTCGGCAGAGACCGGGTTTTCATCACAACCATAGAGGTAGACATCAGCATCATGAAGCATGCAAGGGTTATTATATGCTGCCCGTCCTATCATAACGCCTGATCGAATGAAAACCTGTTCAGTTCAAACACTAGCAGTTTGGGTGAAATATGCACATGGTCAACTACATGTGTCGGCAACGATACGAAAAATTCTGAGGAAACTAAAAGGAATTCTTCCGGGCCTGAACACTTCTACCCGAATTTGTATATGAACTTCTATAATCAGTGAGAAAACTCCTAAGCTCAGCTGAGGGGAGCGAACATATATTCCAACACTGAGCACCTTCGAGATTGGCCGGTGCTATTTCGCTGGTCAGGACGTCTTTCGCCTGCCACAGCGTCTCGATGCCACCATTGAGGGTCCATCTTACTCTTGATCCGAAGGCCCCTAAAACCCTGCAGGCACGGGGATAGTCCAGTGGTGGGACAGTACCTACACGAACAACTGCACCGGCGGGCAGGCTGGTTGGGCGGAAGCTTACGGTTCTCAGCGGGAGAAAGGCCTTGGAGCCAAGCCTTTCGGCAGTGCATTATAACACGATAAGGCTGCTGAGCGGCAGAGCTGGCGAGAGGTGGTAAAATGGTGCCGAGAAAAGACCGAGTGAATTCTTCTGTGTCGAGATCGTCGACACCAAGACGTGTTTTGATAGAAACATGAGGAACCTGAAACGGTATAGGGTCCTCAAAGCCGTGGTGACACTCCGAAAATGACCGGTGACACCCCCAAAAGCAAGAGAAAAGATTGTGAGTCCTCATATGGTGGTATACAACAACAGGCTTAGACGATACCACGAGATAAGGAGTCTGTTAACTATTAGACTATCGCTATGAGGGGTATACACAAGGCATGACTATGACTCATAGCCGTTCTTATGGCATTTCCAGGTCGAATTTATTTTTCACCCATTTTGCTAATCTTTCGACTTTTCTTTAACATTTGTTCTAATAAAATAGCAAAAAAATTAATGTTATATCCGGTTCATTAAGGGGTTAAATTCAACCAAGGACGTGGTCATAGGGCTGATCAGCTGGATGCGAAGTCAGATGGGCTCCTCTTATTCTCTACTACCATTCCCGGCTCACTTCATCATCCAGCGTACGCAGACAGTCCCGGACCAACTCGGGCGTCTTCATTAACGCGACTCCCATGAGGCCATGACCGGCTACTCGAGAGCTCGGACAGCCGACGTTGAGGTTGACTTCATCATAGCCCCGACGATGAGCAATCCGGGCAGCTGCTGCCAACTTGCTGGGGTCATGGCCCCCAAGTTGGCACACTATAGGATGCTCCGCCTCAGTGAAGCCTATGATCTTCTCAAGCTGTCGGGGGATATCCTCGTTATGGACCAAGGCCTGGTCTACCAGCATCTCTGTCCACACCTCGCATTTGCTGCTTAGGAGCCGCATGAACTGACAGCAACGACGGCAATCCCCAATGCGGAATCAACACTGCCGTTAGTACCATACGGAAATCCCGATCGGACACATCCACCATTGGGGCGATGGACAGCCGCACTGGCCCTCCCTTTCGGTCGCTGAAGGTTGCACAATCTAGGGTTATCACACTGACGAGAATGGAGCTCACGTTTGAGGGGCCAGCGAGAATCCAAGGTCGGTCGAGCTGCCGACACTAGAGCTGGACTGACTTGTTGTTGAACTCGACAGTTGTGTAACCATGAGGGCCTCGAGCTGATCACATATTGCCTTCTCCACACCAGCCCCCCACTGGGAACACAATACTCCTGTTTGGCTCATAATACGAATACTACACAAAAGTGAGAACATCGTCATCTTGTTAATCAGTCGACTCCTCAGCGGCAGACGCTGTAGGAGTAGCCTTACTCATACCAGCCAGACGACGATCCACCGGGGCCGGCTCCTCTGGTGGTGCTGCCGCTTCCTTGGTCTCAACTTTCTCACTATCACCATGGAGCATCGCATCGGTAAGTCCATACTGCCTCTTGAGGTTATCAACATAGTCTTTCATCTCCTTCCGCTTCTCCTTAGGAGCATCCGCTATAGCCTTATCACACTGACTGATATAGTCCTTCCATTGCTTCAATGTGGCGGGGTCCATTGCTGGCTGCTGCGTGGCAGCAGACGTAGAGACATTCCCGCCACCGCTGCCACCGGCACCACCAGCAGCAGAGGCCGATGGGATCCGTCCAGCGGCCATCTCAGCCATAACCTGTTGATAAGCCGCCTGAGCAATAGCCTGCTCGGTGGGCCATCGGAGGTACTGGGCGTTGGCCCAAGCTTGTTGCTGCACATTGGAAAACTGCTGTGCTTGGGCGTTGAAGTAAGCCCTAGGAATGAAAGCATTGAAGACCTCTCTAGGAGTACCACCACGCCTACCCAGAGCTGTTGTCCAGTGCCGTCATCCTCACGACCGCCTGGTTGATGTCATAAGTTCCAGCCATGACCGACATAACGTATTGGGCCGCTTTCTCGACGGCCTTTTCGGGCCCGGAGATAGTCATATGACGGTCCTCTTTCGAGCCACGAGAGGTACGGTTATCTATAAAGGAAAGTGTGAGGATCCTAGAGGGCTTCGCGTTGTTGCTCATTCTTCATAAGTGTTGTAGGGGCTTGATTCACTTACTGTGCATGGCACTAAGCGATGACTACAAGAGTCTATCCCAGGACCACAATGAGAATTCGAGGACAAGGATAAGCAGATCGCATACACAAAGGCAACTGCATGATATTTAAAGAGAGGTTTTAAGCAGTAGTAGTAGGAGTAGCAGCTAAAACTACACTCAATTTCGAACAACACCAACTTAGTCGTTTGCTCCTGCAGCCCTGATCAGAAATGCTGTTCAACGTGAAGAAGCAGTAGAAACCGATGACGACCAAAGCCGATGTGCTTGGGGTAACTTACCAACTTCCAATTTAGCTCCAGTATCGGCCTCAATAGTCTTGATGACAGATCCCTTGGGGCCAATAACGTTGCCCACATGGATATGCGGGATGAGAATCTCCTACCGAGAAGAGTCCCATAGGGCACTGACACGGTTGCCTACCTTCCGAATTTCTTTCCCACCGGCCTCCATGAGCTGTTCATCAGTATAGTCATCCCAGTTGCCGACCATAGCTTGGACGTAGATCACAGCGCCGTCAACGCAGGTCTGTGTGGCTAAGCAGACAGAGCGAATACTCGAGAGGGCGTCGTAGGTATCTTACGTCCGGAAATCTTGACTTTAGCAAAGCCCCCAGGCTGGCCAGGTTGGCACTGTATCTTGCATAGTGTTGTGGTCTGCAGTTGGTTGATGGTGGCCCCACGGGGTCCAATGACCTGTAACACTCTCACAGACTGGACTGCTAGGCCTCCCTGCTCACCCTTCCTATCACCGATTGTGGGCACTTTACCTCGCGGACGAATTCCTCTGGGATCGACGATGCTATCACAGCGCCGTACGCCCTGGACGCGCTTTTATCACCTATACAAAGAGCAGTGCTCTCCCAGAAGGACTGGAATTCACGAGCCCGTCGTTGCGTTATGATAACATTATCACCTTCAGGAGTGATATCGAGTCTAGCCGGAGGAGCCATAGGTACTGGTGACGGACCACGAGGGACCTGCTGGGCCGACATAGGCCCCTGCTGAGCCAAGGGGGACTGCTGAGCCAAGGGGGGCTGCTGAGCCGACATAGGCCCCTGCTGAGCCAAGGGCGGTTGCGGAGTCGATTGCGGCATAATTCCCTGTCGCTGTGCATCTACCAAACGACGAGCAGTCAGTCACCGTGAGTAGCCTAGCAGGAGAATCCCTCACTCGCAGTGACTCTCGCCGCAGCGGCTGCAGCCGCCGCAGCTGCCTGGGCAACAAGATCCGCAGTAGCCGGTTTTTTCTCAGGCGGGGTCATCGTCTGATTAGACACCTCCCCGCTGCTATCAGGACTACTCTGGTCCCATCCACGCTTCACACCTGTTTGTGGTGCCCCAGAGGATGCTGCGCTGTTATCCATACGGAAGGCTATTAGATCGCTCACTGAATGACGCATGAGTCGATGGAAAAGATCTCAATACCTCAAAACCCGTTAAACTCAACTCCAAAGCTTTTCACGAAAGTTGAATCACAACGGCGATTGTTAGTTACTCGGGATAAGCTTCGGTAGACTATGATGGACAGCACTCAGAGGCAACAGCAGCAGCAGGAGCTAGTGCATGCGTGCTGCCGATCGTGGTAGACCTCCTACTACGCCTCCTCAGAGTCGCCGAAAAACGCGAAGACGACTAAAGGACAGAAGGCCTGTATAACCTGCAAGTCTACAGCTCGGCACGGCATCTTTGGTATAGCAGATGCACGATGATATAGATAAATAAGAATAGAAAAGGAAGAGATGGTGGTATTAGTGGTTTTAATAGTAGTAGCTAGTGGTTGGTAATCAGGAGAAAAATGTAGTACTATGGACCCGACAAACCTCAGGAGCACCTTCGGCTTCCTACTGCCGAGTAACGATAGGATTAGAAAAGCAGAAACCTCATACGTGCTCGGCCTGCACCGCAGTACAACACCCGAGTAGTTGTCATCATACCACTCCTCGAGAAAATACTAAGCTTTCTAGTGGTAATCAGGTTGAACTGAAAGCCACGATATACAGGATAATACAGAATAAAAATTAACTTCATACAACAGGAAGGGACGGGCCCCGACGGGCAACTTCGGGAAGATGCAGCGCTGACAGATCTTATGGGCAGCAGCAGCAGCAAAGTCAACTCCTACAGAACTCTTCTTGACGACGACTAACGGCCTCATCGATGTCGTAACGACCCTAAAACACCAACAGGATTTACCATAAACCACCGGAAAGAGGACTAGACTCACCTCGAGGACAGCGTTAACGAGCTGAGTTGCCTTGTCAAGACTCTCTGGGGTGCCTCTCATGACCAGTGGCCTTGGAGCTCCACGCATGGTCCCTTTCTCCATGGTAAGAAAGACACCAGTGTCGTGTTTGATGGCCCACAGTACCGCACCCTGGGGGCCAACTACATTGCCGATGTACTCAAAGGGGATCTCCAGAACACGCGTTTGGCGTTCGCTAGTACTACTACCACCCCCTGGCAAGTGAGAGCTGCCTCGGGAGGAACTCCCCATCGTTGAATATGACTTGGCTGAGTCGCTCGCAGCAGCAAAAGGCGATAGGACAGAGCCATTCTTCCTGATCAGAAGAAACCATGAAACTAGTTTACCATAAGGAGCGTGATAACTCACTGCTCAGCTGCTCGCTCCGCAAATCGTCGGGACTCAACATCGCTCTCGATCATGGCGACCGCAACATCATATGCAGCAGCAACCTCTGGGCTCCTACCCGAGATTCTCAGAGTTCTGGTACCGGCCTCCTCACTAGACGGAGAAGAGCTCGGAGGAGTGAAAATTGAAGGGGCTGAAAGAAGGAATAATGTAATGCTGCGAAACCCCATCTAGGGCTTACCGAGGGTTGACAGGCTTGTACCATCGAGATCAAAGAGATTAAAACTAGGAGCTGACACAGAAAAAATTTTTCGAGAAACTATAGCCGCAACCACTACATTCTAAGGTAACCGTAGCTCCTGAAGCGCCTTCAACTTTGGTAAAACAATTACTACCATCAGGGCCAGTCATAGAACATATGATTTCTTCGGGGAGGTGAATCATCTGATAAGAAGGGTGCAAGGACTCAGCGATGCCTTAGACCGTACTCTCTCTTCCCAAACGTTGCCGCCTGCATGTCTTGTGAAGCCTGGGCCGGCAGACTGGGACTTAGCGCGGCGATCCAGCTCCTGCTGGAACATCGCGCAGTAGGTGTTGTACTCCCCTTGAAGCACGTCGTGAATCATCCACGCTGCTGCCGCGATCTGGTCAGAGCCTCCTATCAGAGTTAGCGCATGGTCGCCATGATGATGGGCTCGGGAATCCTCATCGGGGAGGGGAGCGAGGACCAACTTGGCACCAGAGTCTCTTTGGATCGCCCGAATGACAGCACCGCGAGGACCGAGGATGTCGCTGACTCGAGCAGCGGGGATAGTGATGACCTGAGAGAATAGTCACTTCACCCAATCACACTTGAATGCGACTCACGCTTTTATCGTAGCCTCTCGGCATCTTTCCCGCATGAGAAGCCAAAACACCAGATATGATTTCTTGGACTCTATTCCTGCACTCTTGCAGCGAAAGATCGGTATCTATGACAAGATAGGAGACGGATCAAGTTAGGAGCAAAGAGGTACTACTTGCCGCTAATCTCAGGGTCATTCCGAGACCGTTACCATCAGGATCGACAACGTCACCACCGAGTTGGATAACACAACGAGATTCGACTTGAATCTCCACCAGTTTGGCCATCAGTTTCCGTAGAGCCTCTTTAGGGCAGACCAAAGAGCACTGATAACGGCCTACTAGAGGCTTGCCTGCCTGGGAACCGTAACCAGAGGCCAGAGCGCTCAAAGGAGCGACTGAGAAATATAAGCGGTGGAGAAGTGATGCCGATGAGATGCTTACAGAACTCCGCTCTGGCTCGTTTCTTCCGAATAGCATCGCCATCCAGCTTGTAATCGTGGGATGGAGTAGGAGGGGAAAAGACAGTATCATGAAGCATTAAAGGCGAAGCAACAGACATATAAAAGTAACAACTAGAAGTAAAGATCAAGCTCCGTACAGCGTATTGGAGGCGCATTATTTCCTAGACTCCCTCCTCTAGCGTTATAGATACTCCATGACTCAGCTGATTCTCTCCATCTTGCCGATTCCCTCTCAACCAAAGCACCACCACTCTTGACAAATACACACGTCGGGCAATCCTCGTCCATAGTGAGCTACTGACTATCGTCGAGACGGAGGTCGTCCTCGTCACGTGGAGGAGGAGGATTAAATGTCACGCTCCATGCAGCACAGCGAGCCATGCTCTAGTGGAGGAGAAGAAGGCTCCATCTTCTGCCCTCATCACAGTACTGACACATCCTTATTTCACCATGAGTCAACGATGCTCTCACCCACCTCAGAGAGTCAGTTCGATGCTCTCTCGGCCAGAGCCTCTGGCTGATGACCCTCGCTAGACTACTCAAGCCTCCCAGAAGCTAACTTAACAGGACGATGCGGGGGGTCTTTAAAGGTCCCACCAACTAAATGGTAACTGAACGTAAATCAATCAATGTCCCTCCCCAACTACTAAAACACTCGCTGATGGGCCTAGCCCAATAAATTGACCTTTATTGGGATCAATTATTCCCCGGGGCAGCTATGCCATAGCAAGACATGTCTCAGTACCATCTCTGAGAGTGGCAACTATTTCGCTCCAAGATATGATCGATTTCTCTGGACAGGACAGATCAGCCTCCTATGCTTTAGAAAAGACAGTTTATCAGGCGGTGCAACTATGCCATTTGGCACAGTGCCTCGGCACAATCCGTGTCTCCAGGCATGGGGCAACTATGCCATCTAAAATATGTCTTCCTTAAGGTATGGGGCACCTATGCCGCCCTAAAGAAGTCTTCATCTGGTCCAGAGACCCAGGGTATGGGGCAACTATGCCACAGCCTCAATTACGGCGAGATGCGGAATGTGATCTAACTGTTGGGGAAGCAAATTCTACTCGAGGGCGGAATAAGGACGCCACAGTCGTCCCGATCCAAGCAACTGAACGCGAAATATTGCAGGCCATGTGTACAGGTGGAAACTCGAGCGCTCACGGTTTTTTGCACGCGCGCAGGTGAAATCCTACCCGATCGATTGGAAATTCCAGCGCTTCGAACGAGTTAAGTCTTTGAGGCATTACGTAATCAAACGAACGTCAATCGTCGGTGAAATGAGGATTATTAAGAAATGAACAGGCCATCATATTTCGAGCCGTGTGACTGAGCTCAGAATTATGCAACACTCAAGTACTGTAGTCGATAAGATACTACAGAATACATTGTGGAATATTCTCCCATCTGCGAAATGAGTTGTAGAGTAATTGTGCGTATTAGTACGATTCTCTTGCCTGATTTAGAATTCAACTCATAAAAATCAGATCACATTTCAGAGGTGAAGTCTCAGAGAATCGGAAAGAGGTTGCTGAACGACTGCGAATTCAACGGCTGCGAGCATCTACTTGTGGAAAATATCTTAGCCTAGCTCGGATGACATACCATCTTGCCTTAATACGAAAGCCTCATGATCAGATTCGATATGAATGCTGATTCTGGAAATACAATCAATCTACATACCGTCGGCATGCTACCGATTCGGAAGCCAATACTGCTGGAGCTGGATGATGGATAATTAGTGAATACCGTATGATGACAATTGTGGGAATAGTTGTTGCGATATCAAATGGCAGAGGAGCTCATTTGGATAGCAGTACGGGCGCGAAGTGGATCGGAATAGCCCCCGGACGGCTCGGGGTAGAAGGATATTCTACAGGTCCGGTCCATGACCATTCGTCAGAGAGTGCAATACCGTGTTCGGTACACTGCGGGACAACACCTTGGTCATCGTTGGTGGCTCCTCCACTGCGGCATATGCTATGGAGAGATCACTGCTGCCTATAGTAACAGAGCAGAAATATAGTCGGATACTACGGGCCACTCAGTAGGTTCCGAGCCTTGAGCGGAGATTGGAAATATACAGGTAGTGATGGGTACTAATTATAATTGTCAATCCTCTGTTCGGAACAGAACTGACATCTTCGAGGAATGCATATTCCCTGCCGTGGAGTGAAGAAAACACGGTAAAGGAGGTATGCGCTGAATGGGTCAGAGAAGATGCGGCGATGTGGAACAGTACCGACAGAGGGTCTAGCGTCAGTAACGGGCATGCACGAGACTTTTGAGATCGATGACATGTGAAGGCTCTAGGCTAACGTACCGTCCTCGATGAAATCCTCATGCGGAGACTGTCGTACCAGCTTCGAATCGGCTCGACACTGTCCCCACTACTACCGAAATTGAAGTTGTCAACCACCACAGCGGCCTGGTCACAGGGCGACCAGCGGAGGCCGCCTTCGATAGTAAGCTTATGAATGCGTCGAAGGGTGGGAGTTGGTCAGGGAGGGTTAGCATGTACCAGGTGTTCAAAAGGTCATGACCCAGCGAGCCATGAAGGCTGAGTTGACGGAGGAGCATCCCTCTAGTCACAAGCCTTGTGACACTGTGTTCGGACTGGATTATGAGCTTATGGTCGTACGGGAATTTGCTACCGGAAAAGGGATGTCATACGAGAGCTAATGACCTATGAGGAGTTCCCGCGGTACGACGATGGAGTTCGGAAGTTGCTCTCTACTGTTGGAGGGGTATATAGAGCGAAGGCTGTCATTAATTCCATTTCCATGATCGACGTGCCTCAGCGGACTGTTGCTTCTGCTGCTGTAGGGTACAGCATAAGAGAGCCAGGTCGAGACGGGTGTAGCCTGTACCGGAGGCTACTATGGCGAAGAGGCAAGTAGGGTTGACGAGGGGTACTAAGCAGGTATGGTTGAGCGATGGACCACGTGTTGTATGATCTCATTAGACTGATCGAACGGTGTCGCTAAAGACCGAGCTGAGCTGGGCCTTTGTATCTAGACCAGATTCTCGCAGGAACATCGCTAGCGGGATATGGAATCGCACCTTCGGACCTCATAGGCTTCGTCTTGAACCCGTGCCACAGTAATCTCTTGTTCTTGCAATGACCACTACTATTCGCCATCGTATCGCGACTCTGATGGTCACCATCGGCTTACTGACTATGAGGTATGTGCAGGGTAGAGTGTTCTCCTCTAGTCGCATCCTTCTTCCTATTAGTCTCGTCACGACAGGCTGCTACTCCTATGGTGGGCTCCAGATTCGTCGACCTGAGGGGTCCCAAAAGATTCTCGAAGCTGAGGCCGCCCCTAGGGTCATCACTACTACCACTGTGGACTATGTATAGCCGTCGCTCAGGTTAATGAGGACTCCTGCTATGCTGAAGTATTCGGAATGTATGTAGTCTTCAATAGGGTTGATAAAGGTGTTTACGAGGGCTTCACCATCAAATGCCGCGATCGCGCTGTGCCTCTCATGGATGTCGAAGGGTATTCGCTCATGAGGAAATACCTATTACGTAATGAGGGTTATCCCGTCTTGCACTGAGTTGTCTGTATCGACAGGTGTAGAGAACGTATATGGTTGTAATGACGTTTACAATAAGTTCTATCGTGGAGACCAGCTGGCGTCGATTCCCACCTCGGAGGCCTATCGTCAGCTAGAAGTAGTAAAAGGTGTGGTATGGTAGTTTTGCATGGAGGATAATATTTCAGACCTTGTTCAAGAATTTGAAGGAGAAATGTAGGACTGATGACTCAGCATGATGACGATGATGACATTCGACCTTCTCTGCTGTCTATGTTGGTATTGTTGTGAGCTTCATTGAGTGCGCAATGTGGTTGTCATGATATGTTGTGAAAGCAAGTAGTGCCTCGCTTGTAGAGTTGGAGTAGGGTAATAGTCTGTCGAGATCTTCAAATGGGCTGTCATCGACACTCTGGAAGTAATCGAGACGGTCCTTAGAAATAGAGCAGCGATCGAGTTGACTTATTATCATAATGGCGGCCCGTCGGAGCTCCGCGGTAACTGCCGCTTCTGTCGTGTCGGAGCTGGAGGATATTTTCGAGGCTGTGTCCAATGATGAGGCAGGTTCATTTGATCTGGAGAAGGTAGTATGGTACTAGAGGGGTTCATCATTTAGTGACAGTTCTGGGTTAGGTGTTGTCCAGTACTAAGGTGAAAAACGCTGTTCAACGAGGGAGCAAGGAGGTCCTGAACACACTCATAACGCAGTTCCCATGGCTTACCCCAGCGTAGGGATACTGTAGAGAAAGGCCATAGGGAACTGGTGGTACTCAGGGACACTATCGGCGTGCGGAACAGGCAGCTTCTGAACGAGCTGTTGACGGCTGGGGCCTCTGTTGGTATACAGCATGCCACTGATGTAATGTATCGGGAACAATAGATCCCTCTGTCGAGTGGCCCTATGCATCTAGGTAATATCAGCGTTGGTTAATGAAGCGATACTTCTGGTGGATCCTACTGTGGAGGGTAGTGCTAAGAAGACGGCCAAGGTCCGAGTGGTCCTCGGCAAGGCTACCTTCCCTGATCTGGCTGCGGTAAGGTAGCAATTTCCCACTCGACTGGCTTGGGTTCATGCCACACTCGAGACCGACCGTGAAACGCTTTGGGTGATTTGATTGCCCCGTTGGTTTCTGTCATATTGTCTATGCGCTGAAACCCTCATACAGTTAGCCTCTGCTCGATTTTTGCTGGGCTCAGGTCCGTGCGAGATGCCGACAGATGTTGAAGGAATACGATGTCAACGAGTTGTTGTCTGATGAGGACCAGAACATCATGTTGCAGCTGTTGAGGTATCACCCACGTAAGATAGCCCATCACTTGGGAGAGCCTCCTCGAGCTGAGCCATTGGAACTCCAGGAGGTTGTGGATGCAGTGAATGTTGTATTTGTGGGATACAACGGTAATACAGGATGGTGTTAGGTTCTGAATCGATTACTACTGAGCTGATGATTATGGTTTCCCATTTCAGAGAACCACGACTGTCGGTCCTTCTTCGTGCAGTGGAAATCGGACATGTCTGCTGAAGATTTCTCCTACGTTCAGTGTGTGCAACATGTGAGCTTGTGGAGTTATGACCTGGCCATAGAGTGTTGTAGTTCCCACTGCCGACCACAGAGGCACTGGAACTGATTACCGATTGCCTGGTAGAGGTTGCTGGGTCCTCAGTACCCCGTGTTGAGATCAGCATGGGTCAGCTTGTGGCGAGGAAGATGCCGTTCAGGATGAAACCACTGGACACACTGAGGATGTGAGTGAGTCGGGCTGTATGTTTTTTGATGGGATTTTGTAAGGTACACCCGGTTCTGTTTCAAGTTGTGTAGGAAGGCTAAGAGGCCTCATCTCATACATAAGAATGTAAGGGGATTAGCATTTCCTTCCTAAATTGGAATTGCCTTTCGACGGAAAACACCCTATCTGGCGCTTATATACGTCGGTAAACTAAGTATGGATGTCGAGGGTAGGACTTTTCATGAGCATGCACCAGTGTAGAGACATAGGTTATGAGATCCATAGCGGCTTGTTAGCTCACTTGGCGGTTCCTGTGATGAATTGATATAGTGCTCACGCAGTAAGAAACCTCTGTTAGATTCTGACGGCCGTTTTCGAGAGACTCTGTGAGATGGACCTCGAGACTCAGACCGACAGTGATGGGGATATCGCCTTTACAGAAGGTAGGCCTTTTGCTCGACCCGACTGAGGTATACTATTCTCGGTAGCCGCGGGTAATCCCCGTTCGGAAGAGGACATGGACCTTATGGCGCAACGGCTTGATGCGCTTATGACTGAGTGCTTCCGGTAGGGCAGGAAACCGCTTGTGAGGTCCGGTGTCGATGCTCCTCTCCTTGTTAGGTTTTTCCACAATACTTTGAGTGTATCTAGTGGCGATGCAGCAGCGGGCGAGGCACCGAGCGGTCAAGACAACAGACTGGTTTCTTATGTACTGGGACATTTCGAGGAGGTGGTCTTGAGGACCCACAAGACCAAATATGTGCAGTACTTAGCGTAAGTCAGTGGGTTATAGGGATGTGACTGTTTTGACTAAGAATACCTCTGCTCATACTCTCGTACTTGTAGTACAAACTAAAATAAAGAGCACCTTGAGACGTTCCTTATGTCGTACAAGTGTGGGAGTACGACCTAAAGTATCCGCATTAGCACTAGGTGCGCGGCATTCGCTACACCAGCTTTCATCTGAAGGCTGAAATTTTCATCGCTGGTCCTTTTTGTTGGTATATTCCGGTGTTGACTACCGTCTGCTGGATTTGCCTGATCTTGAGGTTGCTTGTCACGATGCATAGCTAGATGGTCTCTAGGTACTATGTGTCTTCTTTGCATATCAAATACGCCGAGGCCTTCATATGTATCCTCCTGAAGAGATTGTATGGAGAGACTACTGAGGACGATGTGGAAGGGTCGAATCAGCAGTCCTCAAGCAGCCCTAACAGCAACAGCACTGGATCGGTCAGTCTACGAGATGAGGATAAACGCCCGCACTTGACCGGGCTCAACAGCGGCATGAGAGATGACTTTAGGCGACGACTGTAAGCCTTGGTCGACCTTCTGCCTACCATAAAGTGCTCCCTCACAGGTGTGGTGAATACCTCGGTAACTTCTGTTGTCGCGCTACCTTCCTCCCTGACTCTTACAGTCAACAGACACTCAAGTTCATGTGAGCTTATCATTCTCGGTCTCTGATATTGAGTAGTGAGTCTATGGTAGGTTGGAATTCGTACAGCAACAGGAGGAGCCGCTCAATTTCGACACTTGCGTCCTCATAGTAGTGGTCGTTCAGAGTGTGAGGAATGAGCTATAGCGGCGATTGGTTGTGATGGCATTCTCGTGATCAGATCTGTTATATGCTGTGCTGGAAACTACAGGCATGGGCTGCAGAAGAGAGTGAGTCCTGGGGTATCTTGCGCACAGCGAAGATTTTGTTCCAAACAGGCTCAGAGTTTTTAGAAGCTCTTTTCGATAAGAACTCTCACAAGTCGCTGGTGTATACTCTGACGGTCCAGCCCAAGCTGCTCGACTTTGTGGCTCCTCCTCTGCTACAGCAGTTGGCCAGAACAGTGGTAAGCCGTTCCTGGTAGCATGAGTTGAACAAGAGATGGTTCAGGCATCGGTCCCATGCGCACAACCATTAGGGGTTCTTATAATGGAGGCATTGGCTCATCAGTATGCCTCTATGAATCGGGGCCAACCAGTGGACGGGATCCCGCCGAGCCCTGATCCGTACGCATGCGCAAGGAGAGCCCTGCTGGGTCAACTGTGTGTTTATCTTAGGGAGGCCAGCGAGTTCAACTTCCAGAACCTGAATTGGAAGGAGTTCGAGAGGAAGGTCATGGCCCAGCGTCGAAGCTCTATGCCGGTGGCACCTGGATCGATCAACTTGGCGCAGCGGCTTCAACCGGTTTACCCCTTTGAACCCTACAACCTCCGACATTCCCAGCATTTCATCACCGAGATCTATCGTGAATGGAGTGATGTGTCCGAGGTTGATGATAGCACTGTGGAGTCGGCCGTGTTGGGTATGGTACCTGCTGGAGCTCTTGGACTGCCCAAGGAGAAAGCTGCTGAGGAGCTGCTTACGTTCATGTGGAAGGATCCGGTGTCCAGCGATGCAGACGACGATGCGGCCTCAGGGGCCTCGGATGACTCTGAGATCAGCTTGGCTGGTGAGATCGACCATGGTGAGGAGAGTGGGTGTATATGGGACCTGGAGCATTTGTTTGTAGGTGGGTATTCATCTAGTGCTACTGATGAGGAGATCACTTACAACCCTCATGCGAGGGTGGCAACTCCAGGGCTCCGGAAAGCAGGCTTTGCCAATACCCTACATGCCCCGACCAATACGGTGTGACGGCGTGTGCCTTTGGTGGAATAATCTGATGCTTTTCTCAGGATCATGGTTCCGGCAAGGAAGGACATGATCGCCCAACCATTATCGTCACGTGAGTGTCGGGTATGGTTACTACTCAATGCATAATGTGTTTTTTCGGTTGTTTTGGTTGTTTTCATTACTACTGTGCGGCTCTACGCTCGAGATAGTACGATATTAGATCTCTTTATAGGCCGTCGCCAGCATTCCACCCAGGACACGTACCAGATGTACCCCGACCTCGACGGAATTCCAACCTGGATCAGCCCTCACCTAAGCGTCAGAGGCTTATGTCTATTGATGAGGATGATGAACTGTAAGCAGTGGTCGATTAGTGCTGGGCAGAGAGGCGTGAGAGTCCTTGTGGAATGTCGAGTACATGTTAGTGATCTCACCACAGTCTACTCAGATACGACAGTTCGATCCCTCTGCTGCCGCCGGCCACATTGGTTGCTGGTGATGACTCGTCAGCTAATCATTGGGATGAACCTGATTACGATGATGAGGATGAGTTTGAGATGGAGGATACGTTGGCCAACAGGGTGAGGCAGCTTCTTTGTGTTCATCCATATTACGTACGCTGTCGTCAGGTACTCCTTAGTGTTATGGGCAGCAGGGCTTTCCGGAGCAGCACATAGCCTTATAGTAGCTCTAGGACTATTACTATCACGTACCAACCTAATACGTTTCTTGCATTATGTATGGTTTCTTCCAACGTTTATTGGTCTTGTTGTTGCTCTTGTTGGGTTGTTTACCAATTCATCCCTTACCTCATTCCGTGAACGATTTAAGAGGATAGATATAATCATTCATCCCTCCTCTTAGGATTTGCTAGATGATGCTCGGTCACTGTACGGGCGTCAGTTATTCATAGTTGGCTCGGCGCGTTTTTTCTTGGAAGTTTGAGGATCCGCAGAAGTTCACTTCGAGAGTGGAATGAAGCCGTTGGGTTCTTTCTCCTTCTTCATGAGAGGTTCTTCTATCACCCAGAATTGTTTGTGTTGTGTGCTTCCTCATACCATGTCGGGGAATAATAGTAAAACAGGCGCCCGACACGTAGGAATGCTAGATGTGGCCTTGATTCCAACCGCTGGTAGCAGTAGTGGAATCTTCGTAATTGATATTCACACTGGCGCTATTGTGAGGCAGTTGAAGGTGAGTACTCTGAATCCTCCTATGCTGCAGTGCCAGTCCCGTTCTCAGGACTCCACATCGACTACTGTAGTGCCCACTGCTGACGGCTACATATGTGCCGCACAGAGCAACAAGGGTCTATTACATTATTGGAAGATTGCCGATGGTATCGATGATGATGACGATGATGCTACGCTCAGAGGGATGGCTTCCAACCCGTGCTATAAGTGCTCCACTCCAGAGGTGACTGTCCGATCATAACGGATGTCCTATTCCCTATCCTCAGAAGCTCCTCAATCTCCTCTTCACTCAAGGGCCGGCCCAGCTGCTGATCGGTGGTGGTATCTCGGGAACGATTTATATATGGCAATTGTAGGCAGCACTTGTCCTGTTCCTTCACATTGCGATTCTGTGTCCTTATAGGAGCACAGGTCGACTCTTGCGGACTTGGAAGGCCCATTATTCTGGAGTCACTCAGATGTGTCTTACAGCCGATGGTTCCTTCTTGGTAACGGCCGGTCAGGACACCACGGTGAAGGTATGTGGAAACAGCATGTCTAGGAGGGGAGTTGCTGTTTCCGCTCCAGGTATTCACATTGTCCAGTCTGATCACCTCTGGGGGAGGGGGAGGTAAGCCATTGGTGCTGTGTGTGAGGGTGATCCCTCTTCGGTTGCATCTCAGCGGAACACCATCGCCGGCACGCGTTTTCCGTGGTCACACCTTACCAGTGAACGCGTTGAAAATACTGCAAGAAGTTTGGACCAGCAGCCACCTCTCTGAGCCGTCCAAGTAGGCTGAGGCTTTCCCTCACAGTTTTGCAATCCGTCATCACTCGAAGCATAGCAGTGCTGGTGGTGTTCAGCGGAGATTTTTATATATAAAATCCCTAAAATGGTTTTCCGCTATGCGGACGACGATTGCTGTTCGATGCTAGGATCCTTATCACGTCGGGATCTGCCGATGGGAGTGTGAAGGTATGGGAGTTCATCCCGGGAGGTAGCGGTCGACAAGTCGCTACCTTCAACCTCCCCACCCCTGTTAAGCACATCGCTCTAAGTCTTCGAGACCCCCTCTATGCTGGTGGTGATGATGGCCGAGTCCACGTAGGCACGGGGTGGACCGACGTGACAGGCGACAAGTCTTGATGGTAGGTCATTGACTTTGAGAGTAAGGAGACTAGCGTCCTCACAGGCTCCCATGAGTCGGGCCTAGTCGGTTTGGGATGCAGTAAGTGCAGCAGCTCCACTACTATCATTTTTTATTATGGCTTGATAGGCATCGACGGTAGTCGGGTCGTCAGCGTTGCAGCAGACGGCTTGCGTGTTTGGGACGTCTTCAGTGGACAGACAATCAAACAGGTGAATGGCCATGTCGCTACGTTATCAAGAGAAGGTTGGTCGTCAGATATCTACGGCGCAGCTGAGTCTTCAACCTCCTTGTGGACTAACCATGCTGTCTCGTGTGGATCTAGTGGGGCAGTCTATGGGTTCTATTGCTCCCCGCTTTCAAGCACTCCAGCGAGTGCTTACTCCGGTGGATGAACTCGAGACCGTCCCTGTCCCCTCACGTAAAGTGGACTCTAAGAAGAGCGCGTCGATCGAAGATGTATTCGAAATTGACTTGGAAAGGGAGAGGAAGCAGTCCCCTGTATCGTGCCTCACTTATGGTCTCCTTGAGGACGTCTTTGCCTCATCTGCTTGTGACGATGCAGTGACCAAAGCGAACGAAGTGGTAAGCATTATCTTGCAGCAACACAATGAATGTGTTGGTCTAGCGAGTATGTTTCCTCTCAGTGATGATCTTTTCTGATCTTTTCCTCTCAACGATTTTATTCAGAGAGACAAGTGGCAGAACGTCGCCTATACCCTCTACCAGCAAAGCACTAGTTCGTCCAGTCCTCCAGCTCCCGCTGAGTCAGGAGTAGTGATACCTCCAGTTGTGATGGAGGCGGTAGGGTTTCCCCATAGTGTTCATGAGGGCGAGCGCGTTTTTGACTGTAGGCCGTGGAAAGTACTAAGGAGCCTGAGGCGGGCCCGAAAGTAGCAACAGTGGAGCGGCCAGTTCGTCCTAAACGTAAAGCAGCGAATAAGTCGATTAAAAAGAAGAAGAAGAAGAGTTTACCATAATAAAAGTTTACCGACACGTCAACGTTCCCACTGCTTACGAGTTGTTTGTGTTTCTATGACAGTCAAGATTAATTTTGTGGCGCGCGAAAAGTCACAGCGCACTTTCGAGCTGTGCACTATGTCTCCTCCGTAGTGTCTACTAGCATGTCTGATAGAGCATCGCAGGCCGCTGTGGTTGGCCATCATGAGGCCTCATCATCAACTCGGAGTCGAAGGCACATCTTACCTAAGTCGAATCTCTGGGCGATGTCGGGCTCAGCAGAGCCCCCGGATGAACCCACTGAGGATATCCTGGCGGAGGACCCGGACCAGGAGACTGTTGTAGAGGCACCACGGGAGGCCAGCTGTTGGGAAAGGGCCAAACAGGACGTAGGTTCGACATCATCTTGGTTGATGAGGAACTCGTACTAGTAGGTGCTACAGCAAACCTTGACGGGCACAGTGCCGTTGTTGACAGTCGTTAGGGCCGCTACTTGTGTGTTCATATTCGGAGGCATTTGTATTGCATACGGCCTGGCACTGCTGATCTCGGCAAAGTAGTATTAAGAGACTCTCTAGTATAGTGAACGTTCTGGCTTCAGCGCGATACGCGAAATAGAGTTGGACTATACGTCTATTCCTGGCGATGCTAACGGAGTTGTCACTATGAGGACGATAGTTCAAAGCGAGATGGAGGCCCCTGTATATGTCTACTACCGACTGGGCAGGGTCTATCAGAATCATCGATTGTAAGCTCTAGTTGAACTAATAGAATGTGTTATACATATCGAGGGGAAATTGAAAGTAACACATCGAAAGAAGGGCAGAGGGGACCCGAACTACATTTGATAAAAGAGAAATATCAACGGGCGAACTGACAAGTTCACACCGAGTATAAATCCATCGTGTTTTATGTGATACATTGAGACTTTGGCCGTCTCTCTGGAGGAGTGTCTGATGCAAGGTACATCACATCAGTGAACACGGCTCAGCTGAAGAAGGGCAGTACTATGTTGGCTGGGGATGTGGACACCTGTACGGATTGGAAGACCGCTGATGATGAGCCTGCCAGGTTTGGTGAAATCGATAGAAGAGTGTAAGCAAGCGACTCCTGCTCTGACTTCTGATGTGTGTCCTAAGGCTCTACCCTTGTGGCCTTATTGCTCGGTCAGTGTTCAAGGACAAGTTCTTCCTCTCTGTGAGGAACTCCACTACGATCGTCTCAACGCTTGGTAATAATACGATTGCTATGCTAGTGAGGAGCAGCTCGGAATGTTCAGAAGTGGACCAGAATCCGGAAAGGGTGAATCCGAAACCGCAGGTCGCGACGAAGAACCCCGAAAAAGCCGATCTCGTGCAAGGGTCGGATTTCTATAGGTGGTGTGGGTTATATGATTACCGCTGTAGAGTGCACTTTATCAGAACGCACAACTTCTGGTTGTTGGAGGAGTTCCCCCCGCAAGTTTGTGTACCAGCTGATAGCAGCACTGTCCCTATCCCCACACGGGTGGCACGTACGTACGGTTGTATGGACGCGTATTGGTGTTGCCTTTTGACCTCGCTTTAGTTGTGCTCGCGTTATAATTTCAAAATTGAAAAAAAATTGGTATGAAAAATTCTATGGAGAGTAGGTGCTGGGACTACCACAGAGAATTCAGTGTTGGGACGTGTTCGCTTGTGATTTTTATCGAAGGTACAACTACGACTGATCTCGATGGAAATGAAGTGGAGATGCCTGATTGTGATTTCAGCATAGGTAAGCTGGCCTGAGAAGGATGAGGGGGTTAAAAGAAGTGATGTTAGTAGACGTAGTAGAGCTCTTCCAGTCGATGGTTTGATGTTGGTGATGGCAGTGTGAGAAAATGCGCACGGATGTTAGCGACGACATGAGGAAATTCGGGCAATTCTTATCGACACTTCTACCTCAAGTCGTGTGTGAACTTCTATAATTAGTGAGGAAGCTCCTAAGCTCAGCTGAGGAGAACGAACTTATATCCCAACACCGGATGATGGCAGATCCACCGAGGTGCAACTTTGACCCTCCCTGCTCGTCACTACCCGGTCATGAGATCAGACAGAATCCAGCCGGATGGGGCCTTGAGAACGCTCACTTCAAGAACTGGATGAGTAAGCAATGTAAAATGGAGGTCCTGGGAATCGAACCCGGGTGTATGTCAGTCACTCCACTAGTGCCGAACTTTCAAAAGAAGTGGGGCGTAATAGATCGGACCTTGCAGCCTGGGGATGAGATAACAGCTTATGTCGAGAGCTCATGGGACGCACTATCATTCGGTGGCACCAAGTGAGTCGCACTATTCGATGATGCCTCACACGTTCATAGCGGTACCTCTATTGTGGCTCATTCATGTACCGTGGTACCGCTCGGTTGAATATTCTGGGTTAGCAGCTCAACCCGTGCTTGTGAGCTTCTGACCGATTCACTTATTGACTCGGATGTTCAGATCTCTTATTCTATCTACAGCCAACTGGCAGGGTGGTCGTAACAGGATGCTGGGCACTGGCCTTGTTGTATGCGGAGCTCTCTATGTTGCTTGGGGCATGTACGTTGCCGGACAGGGCTGGAAATATTCATATGTACCTTCAACTAGGTGTCTTGGTGACAATATGAAAATACACTATTTTGTACATTTCCACCATAAATCGTGTGTAATTGTCCATATCGTAGGGAGGGAGGTCCTGAGCTTAGCAAAAGAATCCGAACATATATTCCAATACTGTTCTCCAATAAAGAGCAATATTGGAGTATATGTTCAGTATCCTATAAGATTCTGTATGATTAGAGAGTTTCTAGTTTGCGTATATGACAGGTACATACTAAGTCGTGACAAGTCGAAACATCGACAGATAGGAGGTATGCAGTACTTCCAGTTCCACGAGAAGGGCCCTGCAATGATAGCCAAACTGCAGGCTGGCGAGGCAGCTGGCTGACTTGGTGATAATTTGAAGCATGTTCGTGCTGATGTTGCTCAGTACAATTCTATGTGGTAGTATAATAGTCTGTAAGTTGTCATCATCAAAGGCGTGGTGTTGTAGTAGTAGTAGTAGTAGTAGTAGTAGTAGTAGTAGTAGTAGTAGTAATAGTAGTACTAGTAATGCCACTCTAATGGTAGGGAGTTCCCTCCAGTCGTATCAGCTTGTATGCCTCAGTCTTCCACCGAGGTGGCTTGTCCATTGAAACATGAGTAGCTGTTGCCGACTCGGCCACACGGGACGGGATAGAGTAGGAGCTGAGACGTGACCTGTTCTGAAGCAAGTAGAGTAGTTTTCATCGGTTGTTCAGAGAGTTTACAGTAGATCCCTTACATGTGCGCCACATTTGGTTTGGTAGCAGTTATGTTGCTCGATACCAAGGGAAGGCAAAAATGGCTACCGAGTAACGGACTGGTTGAGGTCACCAGCCTCCTACTCCTCACGCCTAGACATAGCTAGATGTCGATTACGGACCTCACAATAGTGCTCCTAGACCAACTCGATCGGCATCGTCTCTTGCTGCCCGAGAAGTGACCCACGTCTTGGGTTCGGAAATGTTGGTGCTTTATTATTACGCGGTTGATCCTTGACGTTGTGACCATTCGCTGGTGCAAATCATTACGCAGTCCTCCTTTATTATGGCGGAAGAGTTTATGACCTCACAGGCCGTCGATCAAGAACACCTCTACTGCTCATGCCATACTCACCACCATTGCTTATAGAAGTCGAGATTGTTGCGTTTCAAGGGGCAACCTTTTCTTTATTAGTTGCCATGCGTTTGCTGCTACGTTGTATTAGCGGACTAGAACGCCTGCTGGAGAAAGAAGTTTTGTCAATACTCGGCCGAGGACGACCTTTTGTGACTGAGAGGCCCTTCTCGTGTGCCGTGACCGTATCGGGTAGCCTCTGCCCTCGAGACGTATATAGATTGCATTATACATCGCGGTTAGTCACTCATATATGGCGAGAGATTGGGAGTGTACATCTCAACCATGGGTTCTATGACGATGCTCTTCACTCCTTTCTAGAGAATATCGACTACCCTCCCTCCCTGAGGGGCAATATGGTGGCGATCTCCATCCGCAACTCAGCGAGGCGGGAGGATTTCTACGCTATCGATGATATACCAAGACGATGGGCTGACATTCTTACGAGGCGATATGATGCTCGAGTCCAATGGGATGATTATCAAGTACGTCTATTGCTACTGGCAGACAAAGGAGGCTTCTTCCGCGTTTATGCTGGTGATGGCGACAAGAGCCTCCACATTCGAGGACTGCGTAGAAAACAAGGCGTAGCACCAATGAACGAAACTCTCGCTGCTGCGATGGTTTCGCTCGCCTCTGCGGGCAAGTGGCCCGTTATTGATCCTTTCTGTGGATGTGGAACCATTATACTGGAATATCTAATGCGATCGCTGAAGGTGCCAGCACAGTATTTCAATCCTGCATATCGCGCTGCATCAGATGGGGAACTCTTAGCGCCATCAGAGGCCTTCCAGACGTGTACCATAGGGAATGGCTTCGACGAAGAGGAATGGCGAAGGACGATCAAAGAGGAGGACTCTGAGATTCGCTTCAACTCCACTGACCCGTGTATCGTTGGCTTCGACAAGGACACGAGAATGATAGACTTCGCCCGGTACAATCTAGAGCCTCTCATCGGCTTCTGTGGCATGGCCCAAGTCCCTTTGCAAGCCTTCGACTGGACTAAGCTTTCTCGTCTTTACGGCGGTGCGCCAGTCACGATGATAACGAACCCTCCTTTCGGTCTCCGCTTGAGCCGCAGTGAGACTCTGATACACTCCATGAAGGAATTCCTGCATGCTAACGGGTCCGATGGAGTGATTGCTGTTGCTTCTGCAGAAGATGTGAAGGCCCTAGGCTGTGACCTCAATGGTCCCGATGTGGTTAGAGTGAAAGTTGCTAATGTGAATACATGGTTATGTCGTGTTATTTCTGATCCAGTTTCTGTATGGGTTTTAACTGTTGCTTTCCTCGAGTTTTAACCCACCCCACTAACACAATTCAAAAGAGGCTTGGTATAACATCGTATTGGATGATCACATGGTGATGCGGTGATGAACTTATCTGCTACTCGGATCATGCGCTTTCGTGTCAGCGAGTTTAGCTTTATCGATTGGAGCAGCGATCTTATTGTTGGTAATTCTTGAAGGACTGCCTCGAGAGAGGAAGCTGGCCCACCAACCGCTACTGGCAGCATCGGGAGATTCTGAGATAGGAAGAATCACCCAACAGTTCCATAGAGCATATGTTCTCACCAGCGATATCCTTGACGCCTGTAGGAGGGGCACTCACAGCATGCTCCGGAGGTTTACTCGCGCGGATCTTGTTGCGGACTTCCTGTGAAAGAAGGAAACATAAAACTACTCCGTCTGTAAGGCAAGCACCTACCGTAAGTTTAGCTTCCATGAATTGATCTTCTTCCCTCATCATTTCTTTGATCTGGGCCGTCATATTCCTCTGCTTGTTCATCAACTCATGAGTCTTTTCCTTGACCTCGTTCTGCAGCTCAGTGTACTCGTTCTCATGACGCTGTTCCATATCAGTGTGTTCCTCCTGGAAGTCAGAGAGATCCTTCTTCAGCTTCTTCCCTGAGCTCACATAACAATGACAGCCCATAAAACGACTCAATGTACTCACCAACATCCTCCATCCTGTGTTCAAGAACCTGCTGCTTGCTCTGAGCCTTCCTCAAGGCCTCCTTTGCTTGGTGTGACATGAGGAGCATATTCACATCAGCCTGAGAGACACGTTCCGTTGTCAGTCAGAGACGAACGACCCACCCTTCGCAGTTTGCCGTTCAGATATACTCTAAAGGCGTCGATTTTCGAATGAACCTGCACAGAAAATGCAATGACCGAGATAGGAGATGACTCCACTGCTTACGTCATCGAAACCAAGCCGGGAATGGGCGAGATAGCCTTCGATGACCTTCACAAAGGCTTGCACGACATCCTTCACCGAGGAGATCTTCTTAAAGTCAACATCTCGGTGACTAGCCAGCTCTTGGAGCATCGTACTCTCGCCCGACCTAGCAAGCACCAATCCGACGACGCCTTAGTCAACGCTTGTAGTAACTTACTCTATCTTGTGGAGCATCTTGGTGAGCTCGAGCCTAGAGTCAGCTCCCATACCCTGGATAAGGCTTCCGAGAGCATAGACGTCCTATAATGAGCGATGCATCGATCCACAATGCACTATAGTGTATACCTTTTTGTCACCAGCAAGGGCCAAGTTAGCCATAGAGGAATCCTTATGGAAATCCGAGAGCATCGACGAGACCTGGTTACCCAAACCGCTCAGTCGTCTGCCGTCCATGAGAGCATATCCTGCAAAGGCACTTATCACACCAAGTACCATCCCTCCTTCAACTCACCGTGAATAGCATCTTCATTCTGCATAGCATCGATTCGTCGTTGGTGATCCAGTGCGGACATCTCCTTGCTCAAGCCAGTCTGCATGTGCTTGTAGAGGCCACCAGTGTTAGTGCCGAGATGCAGGACTTCATGCATGATATCGTGGAGCTTCCCGCCTCCCTCAGCCTTCACCAGGCCAAGGTCGCCGGCCAGGCTAGCCAGTAGCTGAAATTGAAGAAACTGATTTGCCATTCACCAACTCCCCACAACGCACCTTGCTCATCTCCTTAGTGCCCTCAGCATTGCTCAGCTGTGAGCCGACGAGCTGCTCCAACAGGCCTGTCTTGCCAGCCAGGATCGCCTCGTTCAGTGCAATTACAGCCCGAGCTCGTCTCGCGTTCTGCTCATCACGGTGTTGGTTAATGGCACTCCTCATACTCTCGAAGTTCTTAGCAAAAGTCGATACAGTTCCTCGAGTGTTCTCTTCCATCTTGCTGATGTCCTCCTTCATGCGGCTGGTCTTTTCCGCAGTTGCCTTTGGAATGTCATGCATGGCCTGGCCGATGACCTTTTCTCCCTTGGCCAAGTCCTTCTTTAAATCAGTCGACCAGGTGTTCACCTTGTTCTTGAAGTTGCGTAAATCATCAAATTGTTTTTTGCTCTCGCCACTCAATGCATCCTTGGCCTTCCCCATGCGCTCGTTGAAACGCTTCGCATCAGCGCTAAACCTCTCAGCCTCTTTCTTAGCCAAGTCCTGCACTTTCTCGCTCTCAGCACTTTGAGCGTGGAGTTGGCTCGCCAGCTTATCTAAGGCTTGCTTCTGTAACTGGAACTGTTTGTCCCCGCTGGCCTCGGTCGCTGCTGAGGCTTTCTTGATAATGTCCGTCATACGACTCTTGAAGTTGTCCATTTCCTTAGTCTCGCTCTCCTGCACTTCATTGATCTTCTGCTGACGCTGTATATTGGCGTCATCTGTCTTCTGTGCAAGAGCCGACTCCAGTTGATCGAAATCAGATTTGCCCTGGACAACGACAGCTACTCCGCAACTGTTCATGGCCCGACACTCACCGTGGTCTCAAACTCCTCAGTTTCCTTGAGGAGCTTATCGACATCAATACGATCATTGGCTAGCAACTGCTTCTGTCTATCAGCACTGCTCTGGAGTCTGTTCATGGTGTCCTATAGAAAGGCGATATCGATCAAAACATACAATTATAAACTCACATGTGTCTTGGCCTGAGCGTCCGAGAGATCAGAAGTGAATGCAGTCATGATCTTCTGTTTTTTGCTTCCAATGGCAGACTTCTCCTCGTCAGTGAGGGTAGCGTAGTCAGATGCCATCTTGTCTCGAACACCATCTAAAATGACCGATCAGACGCGCTGGTGGGAAACTAATTGCTGACCAATTTCGCTCTTTTCCAAGGCCTTCGAGGAATTTATCTGTGATGCAAGGTTGTTCATAGAGTCCTCAGAAGCCGCGTCGACTCGGCTTATCCATTGGGCCAGATTCTGAGACAATACCGCGGAATGCCTTTTCGTTCGGAGCAGTTCTGGTTACGTCCCCCGCATTCTTCTGCTCTTCAACGCCTCCCTCGAGCTCCTCCACGGCCAAGCCGAGCCTTCTCATGTCACCTTGAGACTTCTGGCTGTTCAAGATCTGTCGTTGCTGCAGCTTGTTCCTGAGAGTGCAAGTGATAGCTGCCCATGAGGACATCCAATCTTACACTGCATTGTCCTGAGAGTCTCGTGCCTTGCGCATCTCCTCGTGACGGAGCTTATTGGCTTCACTCATCTCCCTCGAGAGGGATCGACTAAGTGCATGGTCTCGCTTCGCCGCATTACTGGCCATATCGTTCTTGGTCTGTTCAGTGTCGCGCAGCTCCGAATCGAACATACTCTCGACCATCTGCCTTCGTAGGTCGTTCGAGTCACCGCCAGATTTGATCATACCACCCAGGAGGTTCTTCATTTGGTCGACTTCAGTGATAGCATCTCCGAGACCTTCAGCGTTCTTCTTGCCACCTCTCGCAGTGTAGACTTTTAGGCTGTTAATCTGGGCATCCAACTCTTTGGAATCCTGCGCACCCTTCTGTTTAGCCTCAGCCCCTCGTGCCGCGATTTCCTGGTTTGCCTTATCGAACTGAGCCGAGGCGTCCTTCGCCATGTTCCGCTGGGCAGCCGCTACGCTACCCTGCAGGTCTTTAAAGTCCTGCGCGTGGCTCAACTTGGCCTGATTGAGCTCAGCCTCAGATTCGGCCCTGACTGCTTTGGCTTCCTCATCGAGAGCATTCACCCCGGCAGCATTCTCATCAGTAGTTCTCTGAACGTCCTTCAAAGTCCTCTCTTGAGAGCTTTTAATGCTCTCCAAAGTAGCATTGTTCTTCTTCTCCAGAGCATTCACATCTCCCTTGGCTTGCTCATGCAGTCTGTCAACCTTGGAGTTAATCCCGTTCAGTTCGTTGATAATTTCATCGTTTGTTGCTCTCTGTTCCTTCTCAGATGCTTCCAAACTCTGTTCTCTGTGAGCTTCCAACTCCTTAGAGGTAGTGGCCAACTTGTCATCGAGTTGCTTCTGAACTCCGCTGAGATAATTCTCGGCTTTCTCTTGCATAGCGTGAACACTAGCTTGCAGATCTGCCTTGACCGTGTGCTTCAGATCTCTATCTTTCTGCTTGCTATCCTGCTCCTCCGCCTTGATGGTATCCTCCTCGTCGTCAAGGCTCTGTCCGAGCTTATCGAATTCATCACGGACACTCGCAGAGAAGTCCGACACTTCAGTGCGGGTCTGTTCGATTTCAGCATTTGTCTGATTAGCATTCTGAGTAGCCTGTTGGGCGATACTAGCCTCTTCAGCGTTAACCGTCTCGGCACTAGTTTGAAGTGCTTTCATCTGAGACAAGCACCATAAGAGGTTACTAGCAAATACTCAAGGGCTTACTTCCAGACCCATCTGGTCGTTCATGAGCTTCGCACTGGCCGCGTTGAGGTTCTTAAGTTTCGTCTCCACTTGCTGAGGAAGGAGACGTTGAGGTCAGCTCAGTCAGGATCTTCCTGATCTCACCTCCTGCACCATGGTCGTCTCGGCCTTGAGCTGATCTGCGAGATTCTTCACTTGAGTGCTGACCGCTTCGGCTTGGTCATGAATGGTAGACTGAAAAGTATCGGTACAAAGGCTATGGGCTGCTGAAGGGGCACACCTTTGTATGGAGAATACCGTCAGCAACTGTCTTAGCCCTCTGTACGAGCCCATCGGGACCATCTGAGCGGAGCGAAGGAAATAATACTTGATTAAGACATCGAAGGGCATAGTGACTTACTGAGAGCATCCTTAAGATCATCTACATCCTTCTGACGGCCATTGATACCCTTGGTGACAGCCATCACGGTATCGAAGGCTTTTTGAATGAGGATGGCCACGTCTACTTGGTCCTTAGATAATACCTTCAGAGCTTCCCATCTGAATGAAACACCGTTGTACTGGTCGAAATAGCATCTACCACCTACCGAACTCTCTGACAGTTCCAATCTCTCTGGTTCGCCTGACAAGTTGCCCATCGCTGGTCGTTCTCAATGGCGTTGAGGTTGGACTCGGCGCCTTGCAAAGCTTGGATCAAGGAACTGGTCACATCTGCCACACGGAGCATCAATAAGGCCTCAGGGTGGAAGGTGTGCTCACTCTGAGGAATCACTTTGGTAGTGATGACTTTCTCCGGAGCGAGTAGGGCCAGACCCGATGACAAAGACCTGAACAGGGGAGAAGTCAACGGTCGTGAGGGAAACAGGAGATTTCATCGGGGAAGCACAATCGGCCTTACAGAATAGTAGTAATAGTAGTTCGCAGTACGGCCATGGTAAGGCGGCGTAGAGCGAGTAAGAATTAAAGTAGTAATAGCTGAAATGAATCCGTTGCTATCAGTGCTCGTCACGTGTTCACTAATCCGATCACGATCTTGCGACGATCGCAATTTTGATTCAGCGCGCGCCATGATGATCGATTCGGGTTGGTGGTTTCGTGCGAGGTCCTTGGAAGGCTGCTCGAAAAAAAACGATGACTTATACCTGTTGGCCTAATCCGGCACGTATGAAGGACAGATCTTATAGGAAAACTCATGAGAAAAATCCAAACCTCGTCGAAACCGAACTTCGGTTACCAAAGACGCTTTCGGAAAAAATGGTCTCCCCTATTGTTGGTGGCCTTTCCACTTCAATGATCGGATGTGCCCGATTCGGGTTGCTCAGTCGAAACCAAATGTGGCGGGTCTTCCGGATAAGGTAAACATTCGGAATTGCCTCCATTCCTTGGTGGCTAAATAAGTGGTTGGGTTATAGAACTAGAGTCGTACGAGTGACGGTATGCTCATTGGCCATTACGGACTCGTTAGTCGTGTTGGGGGAGTTGTCGAGATCATCGTTCAACACAACCATAGGAGAGAAATCAGACCTTAATCTTGCTTAATTGATCATGCTGCTACGAGTTAGTATAGAGCAAAACGGTCGGGCGGGCGACGACCAAAGATATGAGGATAACGGATCGCCTACTCAAGGCGTTGCTTAAACTCTAGGAGTAAACTGCACCTTTTCCCAGGGGTACTATGCTCAAAACGCTTGCGTAAATTATTCCTAAACGATTTATTGATGTATCTCCATGGCGCGCTCTCTTTGGATTAGGAATATTCCGGTTTGGAGAAATTGTTGTGTTATGCGTCGGCGCATTTCTAGCGACAAAGCTTCGACCCCTAAAATTCATAGTGAAATCGTTGATATTATTAGTACCAGTCGTGTATGAAGTGGAAGATGATCTTATGCAGGTGTTTGTGACAATATGAAAATTCCGAGGAAGTTTTGAGACTTCTCACTCGTTACTGTACAATTCTGCACTAAATCGTATGTAAGCTCCTAGAGTTGGTGAGAAAACGCTTGACCTCAGCTGAGCGAACCGACCATATTTACCAACACTGGTGATCGGTCTTAGTGTGGCGCTTCATGTCCAGTTTTTTCTCCAACGCTGCCGATACCTTGAAAGGAATGTCCGACCAAGGTGACGAAGGGCAGACTGTCCACCCGAGGACTATGTCTTCTCACGATCAGGTAAAAAATCGATAGAACTTCATGAGGATTCCAAGAAGAAGCTCGAGCGAATTGAAGTCGAACGGGCTGGCACTTTCCGTCAAGTTAGCAGCATTTACCAGAGTGATGCAGAAAAGATGCCTAAACAGGTAGACGGAGTATATTGTCAATTCCCTGAGTCTAAGCTCAGTTACATCGCCATCAGAAGGACACCAAAGCGGCCGTTAGTAAAGGCGAAGATGAGAAGGAGGCTCAGCATGAGAAAGAACTCCGTCGACTCAGACGTTCACATCCACTTGGTCGAGTTGTGAACAGGAAATGCAATGTGTGTCGGGAGTGGTGACAGTTGAGTGTTATCACTTCCCGTATAGGTACCTCTCCTTGGCATGAGTGCGAAGGGCATTAATTACCGTGGTATAGTGAACCTTATGGGCCTCCTGTTATTGGTGAGATGATCCTTCCTGTTGAGGGTTGGATTATGGGGTTAGGCACTGAACCTTCGATTGGTGTTGGAGAATCTTATCAAGTACGGTATATTGTTACGGCCTTGGGCGTATCTTTCTATTGACAACCTGCGGCATCATTTACCCCTAGTCTACACACTTGCACTTGTCTTGTGCTGCCCTGCCCTCAGCTATATCATAGAAAGGTACTAGGATGATGACCGTGTATGATTAACTTCCATGGACCCTCTGTATACCGATTGCGCCAAGTTGAGGTGGGTGTGGTACGACGAGGAATCATCACACTGTAGGTACATTGCTCCTCAGCAGAAAGACCGTCATTTGGCGAACACCCTGCAGTTATTCGTGTTATTAGCAGTCCTTCTCGGACCACTATATACCATTGAAGGTAGGGGTCACCTCTGGCTATGGCAATCACTCACGCCTCTTCCTTCAGCTACATCACCACACGGCCTTCTCGCTATGGCCTTGCTGTGCTGTTCGGTCACCTATGCAATGAAGATAGGGAGGTAAGTCTCAACTTGATGAGTATAACGCGGATGTTTGTCTACTCAGTTACTGGCATGTTTGCCATGATCTTTTCTGGTCTATCAAGACTAACAGGTTGGAGGTAGTACTACCGTGTCACATTTTCCCTCTAGTGTGGCAAATTTCAGATGCTTCTTGGTGATGAGAAGGAGACGTTGGAGATAGCAAAGAAGTACCCACGTTGCCTCTCTATGAAGGACATGTAATACACAGTTCATCAGCAGCAGTCATAGTGAATTGTGCTCGAGTATAGGTACTTGTACATTTCTTATCCAACTTTGTGTTACCAGTTGTGGTATCCTCGTTATCCTCGTCGTAATGTGAGTACCACACCTCCGCCTGATCGTAGCTATGAGTTTGGTATCCTCAGTGGATGCGCCTGTTGAAGTACACAGCCCTGTTGTTATTCTGTCTGGCATTGCAACTCATCATCATGCAACAGTAAGTTATCACTTTCCGTAACTCTACTAGTGCGGCGTACATTGTGCATGCTGATAAACGTGTAGCAGTATCATTGCTATCATCGTTAAATTCGCGAGGAGATGTGTTGTAGGTATATGTTGCCTATACTTGTCAATGCACGGATAATGCTGAAGGAATCCCAAAGTTGGCATCAAAGCGCTTTGTAAGGCACTGCATGTTGTTTTGGTTGATACTAGGTTGTTGTTATGGACAGGATACTCGCGGAACGAATATTGAAGCTGGCAGTACCGAACCTCTACTGTTGGTTGTTGATGTTCTTCACACTCTTTCATACTTGGCTGAGTAGGCGAGCGAGCGGTATAGGTTTGGTAATTTCCCTCTTTAGATATTCTGGCAGAATTGACCAGATTTGGTGACCGCGAGTTTTACCTCGACTGGTGGAACTCAGTGAGCTTCAGAGAATACTGGCAGAAATGGAATCTTCCTGTACGACTAAATATTGGATTGAAATTCAGCAGCATTCGACAGGTTCATTATTTCATACTTCGTCATATGTACGTTCCACTGAGGAGATTGGGGTGTTCACAGGATGCTGCTGGAATGCTGTGTTTCGTAAGTACTTGGTGATGTTAGCAGTTTTATTTGTTATCGCTCAGGTCTTCTCTGGTGTCTTGCACGAGTACGTTTCTATGATACCCTTCGGGTTGCCATTCTACACTTTGGT